GATATCTATACTGACAGACAAAAGGAAAAGGCTGACAGCAAAAACCGTCAGTTGTCATTCCCTGAAGGGAGTTACGTTATGGTACGTGACAGAGAGCAAACAAATAGTCTCTCACCTGCTTTCAAAGGACCATACCGAGTTGTACGTCAAACACAAGGTGGTTCTTATATTCTTCGTGATATTGATGAAACTCTCATGTCGCGAAATTATTCTCCAGAAGAGTTGAAGCTTATTTCACAGGATGAGATCATTCCAAGAGATGAACTATACGAAATCGAAGCAATTATCGATCACAGAGGTGAACCTGGAAATAGAGAATATCTCGTACGCTGGAAGAATTACAGCAAAGACGATGATAGTTGGCTAACTTCTGATGCATTTACTGATCCTGGATCCATAAACAATTACTGGCGTAAACTGGGTAAATCTCTGAATAAGAAAGATGAGGTTGTCAACAAGAAAGGCAATGTCCTTGTGAACTTTACACTGTCTTGCTCTTCCAAAAACTTAGTAAAATGAAGATTATGCTTTACTTGAGTAGAGGCAGCGTGTAAGGTTCTAATGTGGCTGGACGTATAGGTTATACGGCTAAACAGTCTTTTTATTAAACTCAAGTGGGCACGTAGTATTTTTATACTGAAATTGCCCGGACAAATTCAACAAAGTGGAGTGTATAGTGTGGTGAGGGTGAGAAGGCAATGGGGTAGGTAGAGGGAGATAAACTAATCATTATAACTGGTAGGCTAAGACTTGGTAGTGTTAGGGTTCATGCTCATTTCAACCTGGGTGGGTAATAAAGTCAAATGCAAAATACAACGCACTGTACAACAAAGAGGATCTATATTCATTCCTACAACAATATTAGTCATTTCATATAATATATGCTGTATATATAAATGCCCTTGGATTCAATGATATTCCGCATATCTGAAGAGTCAGTTGATAGTTTGACTTAGGGATGGTTTAGATGTCAACGATAACTTCCAATGATATTTTTGTTACTTTTGTGTAAAATTATACACTACAACCACATACCCCACGCTATAGTACAGATTCTCTTATACAGTTTATTTAGACAGGTATATATGCTCTTTGAATACTTTTTTTAAGTGAACATCAGTGCTAAAATAAGATAGATGTACGCTTACTTTTCCTTGCGTATCAATTCTGCATCTTAATCTTTATATAATTGCCCAAAGAGGACCAGATCAGGAGCATGCTTGATGCTTGTTTGTGCACTTGCGATTCGAAAAAGAAAAATGGAATATTCTACATAAAGTTTAGGAACAAGATAGAAATAGAAGCAGCATAAATTAGTGAGGAAATAGTTGATTATTCAGGCAATATGCTGTGATTACTCTTTTGTCATGTACTACAAGTAGAAGTATTCTTATTTTCTCCTTTTTTTTTCCAACCAAAAGAAATAGCAATCTTTTAGCTACAGAAACTAAAAGTTATTAAAATTATCCATTATATGATGGTAATAACACTGGTAAATGCCTTAACAACGAACCACTTCTCTCTCTATTTGATAATTCAAGCACATCTTGAACGACAAAGTGATACCATGAAGTTTTTTTTTAGGGGACAGCACTCATACTGAGTGTCTAATTTATTGAATAATATCAACAGGAATGTTACTGCTTGCCTCAACTACGTGCACGTCCTTCGTGAGCTTCGACGTAATGGCATGGTTCCTCATAGGTTTCGCTGGGTTGCTGTTGCTCCTACAAAACGTCGAAGAAGAGTGAACGATCAGGAGCAACCAAGAACTAGAATACGCTTAGGTGATGATTTTTCGTCCTAGTTATCGCTAAGACACATCTAGATGCCTTCGGGGGTAAGTTGTATACAATAATTTTCTTACATAACAAACTGTATAATTCTTTATATTCTCCCCTTATTACTTATCACTCTCATTTGTATGCCGTCTTCTTTTGCATGCATTTTATTTTTAACCTTTGCATAAATACTTTTTTTATGCATCAATCATTTTTTTCACACACGCCATAATTTTATCCTCTCTGAAATTTATTTTTAATAAAACAGTATAAGGTTCCATAAAATGGGTAGATAAACTGGGTAGTATGTTGTAATAAGGTAGAACCTACTCTTATTATTAAGGGAGCAGAGCATCTTTTCTTTGATAGCAAAACATTATAAAATAAGTGATACAGTTAAGTGATTTCAAGGTAGTTACAAAGAATCCTTTGATAAAATTCTTGTCTTCTCTGAAATTTAGGAATAACATGAGAGTTTAAGAGAGGTGTTCCATAGACTGTATGTAAAATTGCAAGATCCTAGATGTAGGGTTGTTCAGTTAGCAAAAACTCTGAAATGGCAGCCTGTTGTTTTAACCCTTTTTGACTGATAGAGTTAATAATACATCTTGTTATGCTCGATATCCATCCTTTTTGCTGTATCTGTAATAACCATTAATTAGTGTAACAGCGAAATATTGAAGTGATTATTTACGTGATCTTGATCTATCAAGTGATTGATAGTAAGCTGCTTATTAGGACATAAAGGTGAATGACACTGAGGATTAGTTAAACCACGGGTAAGAGAGTAATAATGCGTTAGAGGTAAAAAGATGCCAGTGACTATCTTTTGAACATTGGCAATGTAATATTCTTCTTGATATAAAAGTAAGCCGTGATGAACAAAGGTATTACATAGTTGTGAGTGGATTAGTTCATTCTGTTCATATAATAGATAACTTATGGTATCCTATGTAAATCCTAGTAAACAACAAAAAATAATAATATCATCGCTTCCAACTAATTGTTGTTTTATTTGCTTATTATATTGTATAGTGTTTATAAATAGAACAGACAAGTTGGATAATAAGCAGTCGATAGTTGAGCCCTTTTGATTTGTTAATCATCCCTTTTATAATTATTGTATATTATTACTTTATGATTCGTGATGATTATTTATAAAAGAAAAGGAGAAAAGAAAAAGAGGACTTCTTGTATTATCATGTGTTTATACAACAATATTTATTGATCTCATCAACTCTTTTTTAATACATTTTAATACATCATAGACATATACAAGTTATACTGTCTTTCCAAAAAATAAATTCGACTATGATCGAAAATAAATGCACCCAATGGTGAGAGCAAAATTCATATTGTACGAAATGTAAATTCGTCATCACCAAGAATATTTTCATAGTGCCAGCTTTGACATCCATGGATATACTGTATTTCCAAATTTTGATGCCGTATTGAAACCGTTGTAATTTTATAAGAGTAATAACAAATACAAAAAGAATATGGCTCACTATCCCATTTGACAGTAATATTAATAGGTGAGCTGTCTTGGAGTTGAAATTAACTTGATATTGGAATAGCCTTCTTTAGTCTCTTTGTAAAAGTCTAAATTCTTTATTCGGTTTTTCCATGTAGTCATGTTTGGCAATGCATATTCTTGAATAATCACCATGTAGATTTTTCCTATTTGATATGATTTCTTTGTTCCAGGTACCTGATCCTGAAGCTTGTTTGAAAAAGAAAAACATATAGAAATCCATTTTAATCGAGTCCTTTTTTTGCTTCTTTACAGCAGTTATCAAATGTCCCTCTGAGTGTTCAAAGATTCACCAATCAAAACTAGCCTGTCCTCATGGTCCTTGCTCTGACTCGCTTGTCCCGCCCTCTTTGCTCTCTGGCGCGTATCTGGAACGTTCCCCAATAGTCTCTTCTGACGCCCTGGGTTCTCTCTGTCCTCCGTTCCTTTTTTTTTTTTTTGTTTAAACTTTCCTGGGTAGTTATCGCTACCCTTCCCAGAATGCACCTTGGTGGTAAGTAAAACTAATATTAGGATATGTGCTCTAATACTAACATACTTTTTCTCTCTTTTTCTACATATACTCATTATCTCTCTCTCTTTTGACATGATGTCGTTTTATTCAAACATATTTTTCTTTGTCGTCTTTTTACGACAATATTTTATAAAATTAACGTCAATAATTAACAAGTACAGATTTGGCAATCGGCCCATTTGGATCGACTATAAAATAATATTTTGATCAGATAAAAAATCATTTACTGTTGCTATCCATTCTAACACGTATTATTAGATACGTATTCTGCCTATAGATGAGCTTTTATAAAGAAGTGAGCACTTTTGCCTCATAGCCATATCGTTTTGAAATTGGTCGGTTTTTCAAAAAAATCAATCGGCCCATTTGGGCTGACCCTTTGATGAATAAAGTGATATAGCAACTTGAAGCTTTTGTTATTGAAAAAAAAATAAAAATATTGTAGACATAATTATGAAGAATTATTTTTAATAAAGCTGGCGAAGCCAGACAGCCTTCAAATGTTGATTATGACAGTCGAAGCACAAGGAGGTTGTGGGGTCACAACTACAAAAATGTTCAACCCGCTTGCCATTAGTACCGCTTTCTTTTCATTTACGGCATACCAATCTCTTTCTTTTGTTGCCTGCATTACTCATGGAGACGTAGGAATGGTTAGAATCACTTCTAAACATTCGGTTGCTGTCTTGGGCCACTTCATTGTGTCTCGACTTCAATTTCTTACAATGTTCAAGCAAGTTGAAGGTCAAATTATCCTTAAAGGACGAGTGGCCCCTTGAGTCACCTTCCTCAGAGAAGACCCTGAAGGAACTGTATGCGTTCGCTTCATCAAGGCTCAAGAAGAAACTAAAGAAGCGCATTTCCCATCTTTCGGTTGAGATAATGTCGTGATAAGAGGTCAGATTATCACGTAAATTATTTGCAGCATCCACAGAACCTATAGCGAAATAATCGATTTCAACACATGCATTATATTGCAGCTATTATACCTACTTTTATGTCTTTCGAATCCATCTATTACTTCTGGATGCTTGATAGTAACTAAGTTAGATTGTGCAATCGTCTTTCCTTGGAAGCTTAACTTAGGCTCGTTCCAGTCGTGCTCACGGAGTAATATAGTTTTCACTGTATTATCAGTAATGAAACGCTTGCTAACTGGCACTTTTACGTTGATATCAAGTTTTTTTTTGACAGGAGGCATGTTTGAACTTTAAATTTTACTGATGTTGTTTGAGAGATTTAGATCTGTTTAATACTATAAAAGATAATTTAAAAACTCAACGAAATAAAAATACAGGTCTTAAGCTTTGTAGTAACCACACGTGTCGTGTAAACTGAGGGGTCTGTCCAATAAAAAAATGTAGTTTATATCGGTCCAAATGGGCCGACCAAATATTTACTTGTTAATAAAAACACAGTATACTTTCTACATACAAAGTCGGGTAGTTATTCGCTCAAGAAAAAAGATTCTATGTATATATACTGCTTTTTATAAAGGTAACAGATGACATCCTAATGTTCCTCTACCGCCCCAGCCTGTTTTTGGTGTTACTGTGAAATCAATAATACTCCCATCTTCTTTCAGTGCTTTCACCTGAATTTGTTGATTTTCACTTGAGTTGACAACTGCATTCAGTGCTTGTAATCCCTGATGATTATCCTTATTGATTGGTCCAAACTGAATAATTTTATGTTGCCGACGTAATCCTGCAAGATAGGCTGGTGAATCTGGTGCGACTGCATTGACAACAGCAAAGGGTATAATAGTATTATGCGACGGTTTGATGTCATTTGTAGATAAATAATCGCTTTCGTCAGCTTTTTTCATTTGATGAATTTCAACAAGTAGTTTTTCTATCTTTGAGGTGACAGAATGAATGTCATTACGTAACAGATGAACTTGATTACGCGTTGCTCTGACCATGGCAACATCAACATCTGCTCTTGGGAAACCCAATCTATCTACCAAAGGGTCGTTCATACCTACTCCAGATGTATGGAGTACTTGTTCGTATTCTTTCAAAGTGTTTTCCATGTCATCCTTCTTCTGAATTAACCCTTGAGCTTCTTTTACAAGTCCTTCAAAATCTTTGGGTGGCTGCAGTCCCATAACTGAGTGAATTTTAGTTTTGATTAAAATAGTGAAGAATTTCTACTTCAAATTCAGACGATGTTAGTTTTTTTCTGGACGAATCAAAATGTAAACTCAGACGACCTACTTACCTGCTTTGTGCAAGATAAAATAGGAAATTACCTTTAGACAAGTCAACAGTACTATCAAAGGCACATTTAGTATAAACACAATATTTTATTGACATGACCCAATTGAGCGCAAAAATAAAGTAAACAAATGCCCTTCTGGATTAGTTTAATCCGTTAGGAAGCTAATGTTAGGGATCAAGGGTAAAATGTAAAAAAGCATTAATCAATGGAAAATGTTGTCAAGTCTGACAGATGATTATTGACAACGAAAGTGTACATTAGCGCCCCTTTTTCAACAACACAATTCGCAAACCTTTTTTCCTTAAACCAGTATGTTTAAACAAGAAGGAAAAAAATGCAAGAAGAAAAGAAAAGATAAGCATCCTTCTAAAGTAAACCAAAAGTAAGTACTTCGTATAACATGGAAAATAATCATTATTATTTACTATTTATTATAGAAGGAAAGACCCCTATTGGAAGAAAACAGATTTCTTTTACGATAAAGAAAGCTGCCGCTCATATCATTTGGAAACGGAATGCTCGGAAAGGACCATGTAGAATCGGTGTAACTGGAGTGCTTTACTGGCAGTTAAAGAGAAGACAGAAGTCTGGTGAACTGTTGCTTGCAACGGTGGATGAATTTCGTACATCCAAGGTAATGAAAGCAGTTACCATTTATGTCATACATCTATATTTTTTTGTAAATATAGGTATGCCATTCATGTTAAGATACAACTCTTACTACAGTTATGATCGACCTCCACAGTGTTCTCACTTGCAAAAGTTGCGAAATAATGTGGCACCATGATCTAGGTGCTTCCGAAAACATTTATAAAATCTCCAAAGATATTATTACTGGATGCAGTCGTCCTCCAGTTTTCTTGCGAAATCAACAATTTAGAAGCTCTTCTTTTCTTTATATCGTCATATCGAACATGGTTTCTCTTTCACAAGAGATTTAGATTTCTACAAGCAAGATGTCCCAGAGATCACTGTTGGCTTGTTTAAAGCTAATTTCCTATTTTATCTTGTACAAAGCAGGTAAGTAGGTCGTCTGAGTTTACATTTTGATTCGTCCAGAAAAAAACTAACATCGTCTGAATTTGAAGTAGAAATACTGTATAAGGAAATCAAGCATTCATCTTCCGATAGATCATTTTTTTAATTGTAAAAGAGACTTGTCTTAAAACAAACTGTTGTAAAATATTTTTCAAACATATTTTGTTAATAAAACATCTATAAAATGGTTAAACATTTTTATCAAGTGCGCTTGAATTCTCTTACTTTTAACACCTTTTGAATATGAAATCATTGACTCTCCTCGCTGTTGCTGCTGCTGTCACTTGTGCTTTTGGTACGTTGCTCTGTGTCTTCCTTTGTTTTGATGATCTAATTATCGTTCTTAGCTGCTGATGTACATCATGGTGGTATTGATCATCTTAATCACGATCTTGTTGGACATGACCATGATCGTGACCATGATAAAGAGCATCGTCATGGCTACCTTCCCCCTCATTCATCTCCTATTGACGATCAGCCTGATGTTGAAATTGTAGACAAGCCTCCTGTTGTTGTCTTTGAAACCACCACTCGTACCAAGCCTTGGGTTGTAGTCTCTGATCATCGTCCTACTGTAAGTCAGATGATATATAAGAAAAGGGACAGAATATGTACTTATTTATTTTTTAGGATAAGCCTGAACCGGAAGAGTACAATGACGACCCTGTAAATCCAAAGCCTACATATGATGATGACGATGTTGAAGAAGACGATGATGACAAAGGTAACTATGGTGGACGTAGAAATCATGACAAGGGACATGACAGAGATCACCGTGATGGCAAACACCACAAAGATCATGATATTTTTGGACACCATGACAAGGACTACCGCCGCGCCCGTCAAAAGGCATATGCTCAAAATGATCTCCATGCCAACTCTGTTGCCTCTGAAGCTGCTGAAGCCCCTGAAGTTGAACGTATGGCAGCCGCTGCTGTCTCTGCTAGTGCTGTTACCTCTGCTGTTCGATCTGCTATTTCTTCCAGAATAAGCAGCGCCACTGCTTCTAGCACTCAAGCCTCTGCATCTTCTGGTAATAGTTCCACTAGCGGTGCCACCATTCCTCGTTCTGGAGGTGCATTTGTTGCTGCTGCTGCTGGTATTGCAGCTTGGTTTTTACTTTAATTCCCTCTCTGTCTCTCTCTTTATAATTCACTAAACTAGATTTGTAACTTAAATCTAATAGACTTTTCTCTTCAAATAGTTTTTTTTTCTTTACTTTTCAAAGTAAATTGTCATTGAGAAAAAAGGATTTTCCTTTATCTAAAGTGCTCAAGATGAGTTTCAGTTTTTTCTAAAGTACATTTTCAATGATCCATTTACAGCTAAAATGTTCTACTTTCAAGTATAATTCAACTACTACCAACCACGCATTCCCCTTGAAATCAAAAACAAAAAAATGCTTTCCAGGTTATCAATGGTTTTAATAGAAACGGAATTCTTTATGTTGACACTATGTCTTAATATTATTTGCTGCAAGTGTGCTTATAATACAACATTTAAGATAGCACGCTATTTATTAGATCTTTAATTATTTCAATTCGAGCGTCTGACCTAACCTTGACACAGTCAGAGGTGGTGGTTTGTTTGCGCATCTGTGCGATAGGTCAAGCAGTTTTTTTTTGTATGTTTCAATTTCAAACATTCTTCAATAAGATTCAAGAAGGGGTCAATACGGTGAGATAAGCGACAATCAATACTCTCATTTGTTAATAGCATCCCATTCACAAGCTTTATGACATGGTAAACCATTGCGCCTGTTTGGACAGCAATGGATCAAGTTCGTTTCGAGGGCCAGACCTTAGTAACTGCGGTTTGCCACTGACTAAAGATGCTGAAATGGCAATTCGCGTATCCTTGAAGCATCGCGTTTCAAGTGTATTTTGTTCTTCCTTTCAAAAATATATCAAGATTTTCATAAATCGAATATTAAGATTCTGTAAATGTTTGTACAACTTTTGATTGACTTCTTCAAGGGCAGTGTTTCAACCAGAAAAGCAGTGTATTTTATAAACTATTTTATCTCCGATATAAAAACTTATCCAATCAGACAATAATGAATCTCACCTACCCTCTCTTTCTATTTCTTTTCTTTTGTTTTAATAAAAAGAATGGCTTCAAAGCAAGCAAATACTACGAATGCCTCTAAAAAAATTCGAATGACTATGGCCTGTGAACGATGCAGGTAACGCTAACATTACTTGCTTTAATTTGTCATTAACAAACCCTATTTCAAATAGATCAAAAAAAGGTAACACTTTTATATACAGCATGCAGTAGCCAAATATAAAAAGCAGTAATCAGCTCATAGTCATTTTTATTTGAACAGTCAAGTGTGATTTTGCTCATCCACAGTGTGCAAGATGTCAACAAGCTAAGGGTTAGTATTATTGACTGTATTAGCTGTAATATGTTATATATCATATATATTAATACCTTCTTTAGCTGAATGCTCTTATGATGGATCAGCTACACAAATCGACTTGTTTAATCTACTGAAGCTGAATGAAACGGTCGATAGCTTACAAAAGCGTGTGCAATCAATCGAGACAGACATGAAGAAAGTTTGTGACAATACACAATATGTGGCTGATCAACTAAAGAACAATAAAGAGGATAGTAAGAGCAAGGAAACCCCTTCATGCAGCCATAATGCCTTTTTGACAACAGCGAGCAACAACAATACGAGATGGTCTCTATCACTGACTCCAAGAGGCCTGAGAATAGACACAAATATAATTTCGTTTCATGATTTGTACGACATTTTATTATCTGGAATATCTCAATATGAATTGCATCAGCATGACACTGTCGACTCTTCATCCCAATCTTCTTCATCTACGGATACAGCAACAGTTGCGAAAAAGAAACCACTGTGGAAATCGAGGCTAAAGACATTTCCACTCTACAGCAGTTGGGAACCTTGTCAGCGTCCTGATCCATTGTCAAGTCAACTGAATGATTATCAGTTATCAAAAAAGACAATGGATGAAATGATACACATCTATAATACCTGCTTTCTTTGCTTACCCTGCCCAAAACCTAACAATTCGATTGCATCAAGATATGCTCGTGGCACGCTCGACCCTCTCCTGGCCAATGCTGTCTTTGCCTGGACAGCGAGACATGCCGCGATTTATCATGACTTATTTCCTGGGCAAGATCCAAACCAAGTGGGGGAACCATTTTTTATAAAGGCCAGATCATTGATCAAGGAACGCTTTATGCAGACAAGTGTTGACACCATGCACAGTCTGTTGATCATGTACATTTACGCTATTGGTATACCTATTGAAAACAAGGCAGAGATCGAGTCAGAGGCTTATATCTACCTTGGACTGGCCATACGCATGTGTCTAGACTTGAAGATGAACCATGAGAGCACGAGCGAAGACAAATACGAACAAGAGAGACATCGACGATATTTTTGGGTTCTTTACTTTTTGGAAACGTTGGGCACGATTCACACTGATAAACCATTTTCGCTTCCTCCCAAGAATATGATCACAGTCAAGTTTCCGACAGTGATGGAACATGAAGAAAGTATACCCGAAGTCAAGTATCGAGTCGAGTTTATGATCCATCGATTCAAGAGTGTTCGTATTTTCCGTGACATCATCCACAAGACTGCAGAAGAGAAGCCACTACTTTACCATGTGTCAGCGATTGATAAGGAGCTTCAGACATGGTATGCTCAGTTGCCCAGTTACTTCAAGTATGAACCAGGGGATAAAGATAAGCGACAATGGGATACAACATCGTTCAAAGAGCAGGCATGCATCAAGTTAAACTTTGAATACAACTTCTTGCTTTGTCAGCTCTATGGTTTGTTCTTCTCTAAACAGTTCGAGAATGAGCCATCGACGATCGAGATTTTGTCAAGAGATAAATGTTTGAAAGCAGCACGGACTACGACCGAGTTGCTTGAATGCTGGAACCAATTGAAACAAAATTGGTGTCATTTTTCACTAGAAAACTTGATGATGGTCACCAATCTATACGGTACAATCGTGTCACAGCCTCATGATAGCGAAAGAGAGACAGCCAAAGAGAATTTGGAAAAAATTGCAAGGATATTGGCTGCTTCACCCGTGCGCCACCATAAATATGTGAACTCACTTGTCAATTGTATAAAGAATATCTTTTTGGAATCACTACACACCAATCTTGAACTGGATACTATTGAATCTCTGTCAATCTCTGTGCCGTCGCAGATACAGGAAAATACAAAGCCTGATGCTACCAGTACTGCTACTACTACAGCAATAAATACTGTCCGTAGACCGCATTATGAAGTGACATCATTTATTCCTAAAAACAACAATACAACCATGATCGATAACAATAATCACGGTCGATTACCTTCAAACGCATTTTCTGAAGAGATGTATTTTTCAGATTTTGTGTATACACCTACTTTAATGGACTATTCACTACTTCCGTCTAGTATTATGAATTACCACAATTCAGCACTTCAATGTAACAATAATAATGAAATACTCACAAATTACAACCAGCTCGCTTCTTCTTCGTCTTCTTCTCAACCTTGGATGTGTCATAAATTGAATGAATCATTTTATCAAGACTTTTCAGAGAATGGCAACAATAACAACAGCAACAACAACAACAATTCACGGTTTTACTAGAAGCAATAAGGTGTATGTAGCTAGAAAGCTAATGAATAAAAATAATATATTCGTTTTATACTTACCGAGTCATTAAGGGATGCACTGCCGTTATAGACGGAGCATTAAATCAGAAGAACCATTAATCTTTTGAAGGTCTTGATTTGTAAACAAAGATACCATATACATTTAATGCGCTATTCACATCGCGATTCCACACCATACCACAAGATTCACACTTGAGGACAGCATTTACTCCTTGCTTTGATCCAGTAATAGAAAAAATATTCATTTCTTTCGTTTTACAATTGTTACATATTTGACTTATTAAATACTCGTCAACATAAACAAATTCGGTCACCCCCATTAGATCGTTTGCATTTGCATTTGATTTCTTCAATAATACGTCTTGTAGGTGCAGCTCGTTCTCCTTTCATGCTTGAGCCAAAAGAACCGTTTTTGAACGCAATAGTCCGCTTCCATTGAGAGGAAGAAGGGGGATCAGCAAGAGATAGAGGTACATGTTTGCTTTTAACTAGGGTTTGGTTTCTTAGAGCCAACTGTACTTGATGTACTGTTTTCAAAGAGACTTTTAACAATTTCTTGAGCTCTTTTTTGCTTGTTGATACACGTCTTGAACTTAGCTTTTAAGGCCTATTCCATATACAGCTTTGTTAAAATCCGCATCATGCAAGGGAGCGGCATACCATTTATCTTGACAGTGTTATAGAATGAAGATCATAATTTCCATAATAAATAAAGACAGAATCTGTGCGTAGTCAATATGGAATATAAAGTGATTTATAAGCACTATTCCAATGTGTGGTCTTTACAATAAGAATAACCAATTAGAGTAACTTAGTAAGCATCCAGATTATTCTCATAAGCCAGGCACCGCAGCTTTAGCCATTACCGTAGCAGAGTGAATCAAATCATATCTTGATTTAATTCACATCAAAAAGTATAAATAGAGCCCTCTTTTCATTGTATTTTGCATTATCTCAATTCTCAGGAATAAACGAATTCTCACAAATACTTGTTTGTCCCTGTCTTTTGTCTTTTATATCCTAAATCTACCTCAAGTTATCTCAGACAGTAGTAGTTATGGACTCTTTGATAGTTTTGTAGACATGTAGAGGCAGCTAGTAAAAATGAGGTCAAGTTTACAGGTTTTAAAGTAGGTAATTCGCTAATATACTTAAATTCGTCCAAATGATATTCTTGGTGTTCTTCTCGTCTTCTTGTAGCAAGACTGTAACCACACAAATGATAGTATTCTTCCAAGCTTGTTGTTCGGACACGTTCATGTTCTGTAGAGTCAACTGCAGTAAAGATAGCTGATATACCAGGGTCAACAACCCAGATTTCTGTATCGCCAACTATATCAGCAAAATCCTTGGGCGTCTTTGGTTCTCTTCTAGGTTCATCTTGGATGGAGACAGTTTCTTAAACATAAAGAATATAGCATAACCATCAGTAATGATCACTTTTCTACAATGACAGCATTTGTTTAGCCCAAAATAAAAGCCATGTAAGCATACATACGCAAACTTCTTTGAACGTGAGGTCACGCTTTCAAGTGCCTTGTGCTTGCCTTTGAAAAATCAAAAGCATTAAAATATTATAAAGCTAAGTCATTATAATTCTTTTGACCTTGTTTGAACTTGTTGTCACATTATTTGGCAAGTTTCCAAAAAGCTTGAGCATCAATCTGTATGCTCTTAGAATCAATCTTATACAAGAGAAGTAAAGAAAGGTATCTTGTCCCTCGAGGGTCAGTGTATTTGAGAGGCATGAAGGCCTTGTCTTGAATTCTTGCTTGTACTGTTTTGGTAAAGCTTTGGACAGCATCGATATCCTTTTTATTAATGTTCTTCAGCTTGCTTGTTATTTCCAAGGTCTTGTTGGAATTGATAGCAGGCAATGTGTTTTCCTTTAATGATCTGTATTTGCTTGTATTCAACTTCTTGACAAAAGGAATTTCTTGTAACTTTCTATGAACATAACTACTTGATGCTTTGCCTTGAGGTTTCAGTTCACGAATGGACCTCTTATGCTCCATTTGCTTCTGTATAAAGTGTATCCATTTCATGTAGCATTGAGGTTTGGCATACGGATTAGCTTCACTTGGTACGTCAGCATCATTGGAAGCACTGTACGTTGACCAGAGAGTAAGAAAGTTATTGACAATGGTTTCATGCCGTTCAATTCAGTCTATACTGGATGGCCAGGCAGACTTGGGATTTATCTTTTATTGAAAGATCTGTTTGGTTAAAGGCTTGCGTTGTTTGGCCGTTAAGTTATCACCACAGAAGTAAGGAGAAGTCTTTTTTGGCAGGACATTAAGAATATGTTTAAGAGTTTGATCTTCATAAGTAGAGCATACGTAGTTGCGGACTAGTGTTTCATACTGTTTGGTCATAGAAGATACAGTGGTGATATATCCTTTACTTGAGTACTTATCCAAGTCAGGTTGAGTAAAAGAAGTTGATTCACAAAAGGTCTTGAAGCTCTTCTTAATACCATCAGAGGCATGTTTTCCTTGGCTAGCAAAGATGGATAATATGTTATAGAACAAATTTTGAGTGACCACAGGCAGTTCTTCACCATTCTCGAGAAGTTTCAAGGAATAGTAATTAGCAAAAATGGATACAGCATATACCAGTTGAGTAATGTGGTCAGCTACTTCTTGGGTCAAGGTAACGAGCTTGGGACATCTGCAGGTATCAGCCAAAGGTATCTTAATCACAAAAGTTTTTTCGACGTTATCTTTGGGCTTTGGAAGTTTTGTTTTTGATTTGTTCATAGAGCATAACTTACTGGAGGAGTGAGAATGATCGGTTCCATCAAAAGAAGGACATGTAGCTTGATTTTGCTTATTACTTGTCACCTTGTTCTTTTCTCTCTCCTTTTTAAGTACTTCGATCTTATCAATCTTACCTTGATGCTTCTTAGTGGCCATGGTGGGAGCAGAAGTATATCACTGGACACCTTTCGACAACCCCTCAAGCACAGTGGATTGGGTTTGCAGGAGCCAAGTTACCAACACTTGGCTCTTTAGTATCGATGGTTAACTCCTCTCTTGCTCAATGACGACCCTCCTAGCTTTGTACCTTATGGCTGCGCGCTCATTTGCTTAGCTTATTACCTTTGTCGATTGCTGACGCAAGATTACCTTTTCTCTTCCCGTTTTTTCGCAAAGGCCCTTTAGCAATGTATTCTCCAGGCGTTCTTTCGGTTCTCTTTCGGTCTTTTGACGCTCTTTTTGATTCTGGTACAGTTCTTACTCTGCTCAATGGTTCCTTGTCAGAACATCCTAAGGCTTCTGCTGAAACCTGTTTATCTTTACTATTATCGGAAGTCATAAATTGGCCTGCAGATGGCTCACTTAGGATGCAAAGGCCTTATAAGTCTCTTCAGGCTAGCCATGCTTTTAGCTTATCACCTGGTCACTCTCGCCTGATTCCCAAAGCATGAGTGAACGGTCAAAGGCAGCCTTCCCAGGGTTGTAATCGTATCCGAAAGCTGGTTCGCCTGCTTTTAGCCGGACAGTTTACTTTACATCCTTTTTTCGCTCGCCCTTGTTTACCGGGCAGTCTTATGGCTGCTGTTCCATCGCCTCTCTGAAGTCTGTATTCAGCTAACCCATCCTTGGCTCAAACCAAACTCTGATACCATTCTACCTCGTAATTTTCACAAGCACCACCAACAGCTTTTACAACAATCTGGTGGATGCCAAGTTTCCAATATGCCTCGATCAATGTCGTTCTGGCGTCGATTTTGAAATTTGTCGATTCCATTGCAAATTCGGGCTCCCTTGTATCGTCTGTTACAACACAAGTTTCCTTGTGCGTCCAGAATGCATAAATTGCTAGCGTCTTCTTTCTCCTCGGAATGCCGATTTTGTCAAATTCTAAATGTAGAAGATGAAATGCATTTTATTCTATTATGCCCCAAAAAATTCGAAGTGTGAGCTCGAGTTTGGTATCATTTCTTTGGTGAATTGACTTTAACAGTAAATACTATGGAGCAAGCAATATTTCATTTACGTTTTCCTCCTCAAAAACTTTCTGCTTTCTCTAATGAAAGTATTGTCGGTTGCGCCTTTTGGTGCATCTGGCGTGCACACTGGATGTTTATTTTCAATGGACATCCTTTTATCCCATCCACGGTTTTCCGGGTTATTATTGGTTACCTGGCATCCTTCAAGCATTAATATTTGTTAATTTTCCTTAGTATTTCTGTCTTTCAATAGTTTACCACTGATTTCAAGTGGCTATTTCTTTTATTTATATTAATATTGTTATACTAGTGGCTACTATAGTTATTATTATAAGATATTCTTATCAGATGCGATAGAGGAATGTAAAGTAGAATGTATGCTCTACTGTAAGATTATACTCGAGTTATTATAATGATTATCTCATCAGACACGTCATACTCCGTGGTATACCGCTGCCGCCGCCAACAGCTTTGAGTTGGAACATAGCGGATTCCTTTCGTCTTTATCTTTTGAATGGAAATTGTCTTCTATTATCGATAAATAATTTATTTTTGCTAAATAAAGTCCACGCTTTCATACAAAAAAAAGTAGTAAGTACGTATTTATTAATAAAAGAGAGAAGAAAAAAAAGATGTTAAACGTCTATTTCAAAATTCGTGATTTGAGGTAAATAAGCGCAAGCACTTAATTCCAACATGTGTACATCGTCAAACACATTCTTTCCGTCATATCCACCTAGTACATATAATCTAGAATCATATAAAACAGTTGTATGATAGCCACGGGGGTTGGGAGCTACACCATAAATCTTGCGTGATTCCCAGCTCATGGTCACTAATGGATAAAGTTAGATGAAATATAATGTACAATTACCATCTTTACCGAGGTTAAACAGCAATACTTCTTGAGAATACCGTCTGCCATCATGTCCTCCGATAACAAAAACATAGGATCCAACTTGTGTAGAAGTATGTGCCAATCTTGGTATTTTCTTATCTAATTCAATTTGACTCCATTTTGCAGATTCTATAAAGATACATAAGCTTGAGTGTTATCAAAAAGATAAGCAGGCCTTACTGAGATCAAGGACATGGATATCCTCAAAACAATCATGACCATCACTACCGCCAAAGACAACCAATTTATCTTTAACAAGGTTGCTCGTATGATAACCTCTAGCAGGAGGACAACGACCGGTAGTTTCTAATTTTTCCCATCTCAGTTGCCCTTGTTTTGAAATATCTAGCATATAAACATCATCTAATGCACGAGCACCATCACCACCGCCAATGATGACCAACTTATTCTCCCACAAGCAAGACGTGTGAGCTCGTCGCTTGGAAGGTCTCGATTGTGGATCAATATCTGGTTTTGACCAAGTCAAGGTTTCTTTATATATTCAAGATTAACTTGCCCTTACTTTCACAATACTCTCTGCTTACCTGCATCCAATACATAAACGTCTTGAAAGTAATCTGGCCCGTTACCTCCTCCAAAGAAATAGAGCTGATGGGACTTTTTACCATATCCAAGGTCTTTTTCAACCACCGTGCATGAGTGAGCACGGCAGGGAGGCGGTCCATACTGTGGATGAACAGTACGTGGCTTTGACCAAATCATAGTATCTATTTAACGTGTTATTACAAACAGTTATCATGTCAAAAAGCATAGCCTTATACCTGCCCATATCTAAAATATAAAGCGTATTAAAACAGGAAGATGTGTCACAGCCACCAAAAACGAATAAGCGATCTCCAATCAAGTTTGCAGTGTGAGCACGTAAAGGGCGAGAAGGGCCCTTGCCATAGGTCAGCGTACGGGACCAATACATACCTGCGGCAGGGGCAGGAGAGGAAATAGCATTTGTCGTACTTATTTCGATAGCTGTAGCCAAATGATCAGGTGTTTTGTGAAGCTTGGTTGATTTGGTTCTAGATGTTCTTGAAGAAGTGGTCGAATTAGAGGCAGATGGTCTCGATTTGGATCTTGTTCGAGATTTTGTTTCTTGAAAGGTACTTGTCTCGTGAACTACTATATAAGAATGAGGTCTTTCTTTTATAATGTTTTCTTACTTGTAGCTGTGCCTATATCTGGCATTGACCTGGTAGGATGACTAGGAGAAGTGGGATTATCATGATAATCAACATAAGAGCGAGTTGAGCGACCTTCGTTTTCAGGAGGAAGCGTAGGTGATTCTGGACGTTGATAGACTCTTGTGAAAGAAGACGATCTCGAAGACGACACACTAGGTGAAGTAGGTAATCGATGTTGTGGCATTCGAATAAAGAAAGAAAGGAGACAGAGAACAAAGCACAGAGAGAGACGGGAGGGGGTCGTATATTGATTAATTTATTGTGTCACGGATGCAATAACCCAGATTTATAATATTCTTCGGCAAATGTAATGTTGTCAATGTTTACCACTTGATGCATATCAAAAATATCGCTAATGATCACAGCTAATAAATGTCGACACTAATACATCGTAAGATATCTTGATCACGCAATAAATAACTTACCATCAATAGGTCTTTATGACAAAGTACTCGATCAAAAAATTCCTTGCATGAACAATATCTTGGTTCGATAGTACAAAGAAATATGTCTCGACTATATTCATCCTTTTCTTCCTCTTTTGAATAAAGACAATGATCAGATACATTGAATAAATATCTTCCTGATTCACAGCATATTTTGGTAACTATTTTACTGTTATTATATTGTTGTCGTTGTTGTTGTCTAATCTTTAACCTGATTTGCTTTCAGCAATATGAATAGATTCAAATAAATATTCTTTGAACAGAGAATGAAGGACGTGTATAGAATCTTGATCAACTAAAAGTAAAAGGTTAATTTAGCCTCTATTCTCATTCTTTATTTCTATAATGCATTACATTCCTGCCTTTCCTTTACTTGGCGAATTACATTGTCCAGGATAGCATAACTGTGTTGATCTACAAATGGTGACATTAGAAAGATCTCTCTTTTTTTATTTTTCTTTTTCTGTTAAAGGAATGGAAAAGAATGCGAAGAATATACAGTTGCTATTTTATTCTCAAATAGCTAACAGATTAAAAAAGACAGTTTGTATCTAATATCATTTTATTTTGATGCAGTGTTACTGTATTAAAGAAACCAAGTACCTTTTTACTAGTAAAATTGTGGGACAAGAAGCCACATTACGTTGATGAGGCTTGGAGACATGAAGAGAAAGAGCTGGTATGGCAACGCCCCTCTCTTGATTCAGTTACCACCCAAATATAGAGCATGGCTTGGGGGAGGTAAAATCATTATCAGCATCTCTTTTGAATAGATTCGAGGATAGTCAGTTTGACCATCGTAGATTGACGGCACTATTTTAAGGTCAATTTAGCCCTCCTTTCTTTTTCTCTTTGTGCTCAATTTTTAATAATAATAACATACACTTTTAATTGATCAAGTTGGATGTAAGCCCAAAAAAATAAAAAATAAAAAACATCATACAACTTTTTATACTTTTATAAATAGCTTTGCTTAATTAAGCCCCATTGAAAAGGAGAAGCAAACCAAATGTGAAAACAATTTAAAGATAGAGTGAGTTACAGTAAAGATATGGGTATAGTTCATAGAAAGGAGAATTGGCAAAAACGATATACATTTGAGATTTACAAGAGAAGAGCAAGAGTCTATTTTTATACCTCTTTCAAGTGGTCTGATTTTTTCGGAGAACATAAAATAATAAAAAGAGCTGTGAAGCCCTCTCTGCCTCTATGTCTTGTTTCTTTCTCTTGTTATCATTTAATGTCTTCCCTTGTCGTATACGGTGATTCATATTCTGGTGAATATAACATTCTCCATTTATTTACTATGATGCTTATACATCATGATAGATCTTAATGTTGAATCCAAAAGGACCAATGGTCCCGTCTGGAGTCAAGTCCTTGCTGAACAATGGGATGCAAAATTAATTTCCTTTGCCAGGTCGGGTGCAAGGATCTGTCCGTCCAGTAACCCGAAATCAAGCTGGTTGAAGAAGCAAGTAGAACAATCACTCTTATCAATAGAAAAGGGCAGTATTCATGCCATCTTCTTGGGTACAACAGATCTTGTTGTAGCAAAGGGAAACACTCAATCAAGGAATAAAGAATGGATCGGCTGTATTGAAGATCAAGTGGTAAGACAGATAGACTGCTTCATTAAAGGTCTTTTTAATCTTTTTATAATAGACAGCTATTCTTGAAAAAGACTCTGAAGCACGTATCCTTATTCTTGGCGCACCTGCTCTAGAGTTTTCACCTTTTGGGCAGAAGCGTAAAGACCAGCTAAAGGATAACATCATGAGCTTCAAAGTTGATCTTGAAGAAAAAGTGGAAGAATGGAAAGGCCAAGACAAAAATGTAGAATTTTATGACACATATTTAATGTTTAGCAACCTTCTCGGTGATCCTTCTGAAGCAAAGATTACCAATGTGGATGATGCTTATTGGGATAAATGTCAAGGCCAATGTAATGATGAAATGAATCAATATCTCTGGTGGGACTCTCTTCATATGACTGGTGCTGGACACATAGCCATGGCAAAAGAAATTGCATCCTTTGATTTCTTTGGCATAAAAGCCAGTGAGCCTACATCCATCCTGACTGAGGCAGAGGATACTATCGATAATAATAGCCTCAATGGTTCAAATCTATCACAAAACTATATTCAATGCCTATCCTGGTTACTATTGGGTTGTGTATTCATGATGATCATTTATTCATTCAGACACAGCAGATTCATTGTTAGCCTCAAGAGCAAATTTCATTCAAAGACATCCAGATTATATCGAAACAAGGATTATACACTTGTTTAATATACCATTTTTAATAATAAACCATTCATCGTTTTAGGTTACATTTTATGCCGATCAAAAACGCGTGCGTGTGTGTGTGGTGCTTGACCACCCTTTTCTCTCTTTCATTTTTTTTTTCTCTTTCTCCTTTTATTAAATGCAGCCAATTACATCATACAATCCTGGCCGAGGAATAACAGATGATAGAAGATGGTCAAGTATATCAGTCGTTGCAAGACGAAGGCATTCCATAAATAAAAGAAATTCATGGAAAACTAGACAGAAGAGAAGGACTTTTCCTCCTGCGACTCAAAACAAAGAAAGTGATGGTTTAAAGCAAAAGAGGAAAAAGCGCAACGCTGGATTATCACTCTACTGGTTAGATGGTAATCCCATATTTCAACTACCGCCTACCATGTCTAGTCAATCGTCCTCGTTACCTGTTGCAGTAAAACCTCCCGTTCCCGATAGATTCTCTGCTATCTGTGTTGATCTTGAAGGGAATACAACCAAAACTGTCTATAGACGTTCGCGGCTAGATGAAGTCACACTTGTCTATGTTGAGGCTGGATTGTTCTTGTTTGGGTTCCTATTCTTCCCTTGCTGGTGGATAGGTGCTCTCTTGTTTTTCAAGCATCGTCACATCTTTACATATTTAAATATTGCATTTACTTGTATAAGCTTGTGTCTTATCGTTGTACTTGTCGTATTGCTTGTTTGGCTATCAAAGGAACCTGTTTTCATGTAATAAATAGCAACATTTCCTAAAATAGAGCTTATGTTTTTTTTCTTAGATTGTACAGAGTAATCTATCCAGAAAAGACAGAATTACGGTGTAAATTATCCATCTAATAGTGATTTAATAACTACTGCTTCAAAAATGAAGTCAAACGCCCTTCATCCTATAAACTTGCATAACTGGGAAAAAAAAAGCTGTTTTCATGCAAGCTAATGTATCAATCTACGTCAATGAATAATGAAATTAACCAGTCACACGCGTACGTTCTCCTACCCATAAAAAATTTCCATTTCACTTCTCTCTCATATTTCGTTCTTTTTACATTAGCATAAAGATGTCTGCATTTTTACGTCAAACTTCTTTTTCTTACAAGCTTGCTAGAGTAAGTACATACACTATATGAGAGGAAAAAAACTGGTAACTGAGACTTTATGCTAGTCTTTTTCTTCTTCAGCTGCGCGTCGAGACTGTAAATATATCAAAACACGCATGTACAACAACAAAAGTCTAACATAGTATATCTGTAGTAAATAAGATTCAACTTATTGGTCGTGTTGGCAGTGACCCTATTAGTACTGAACTCTCCGATAACCGTCGCGTGTATAATTATACTTTAGCTACTTCTGAAACGCGGCCTGGCAAAGATGGTATATAATACAAGTCGAAAACAGCGACGCTTATATTATTTTCAGATAGCATCATTAAACGCACACAATGGCATCGTATTGTCTATTGGTCAAACAATGATTGGTTTTCCAAAGTGAAAAAGGGGTAAGGACAACAGGATATTGTATACACCTTGTTAAAAGTCACAATAGTGATTTAGTCTATGTTGAAGGCGCACTTCGTTATGCTGATTATGTCGATAAGGAAGGTGTTGGTAGAACCAAAGCAGAGATTACTCAGAGTAAGTGATGCATGTGTATGCGTATATTGTAAACCCTTATTCTTTTCTTTAGCCTCATTCCGACTTTTGAATCCTTCGCGCCCCAAGGAAGAAGAACAAGAATAACCGTAATAATAATAATAATAATAAAGAATTTGTTTACAAAGAAAATACATGTTTATTACTTGCATAAACAAAAAAAAGCGATATTATTCATTAAAGGGAGAAAAAAAAGAGGGGACGAGTATACATGTAAATAAGCTTCACTTTTTTTTTCTTAACCAAGAAGAGGAGCATTTTCAGCACTGGAGTCACGTCCGACAAGCTTAAATACATAAGGACGAGCAGGGTAAATGAGGGTAATGACGGCAGCCACCAAAGCAGACCAGTGGATCCAAGGGTCATGTTGATTGGTGAAAATGGCCAAAAGACCAAGACCGATCACAAGGGCACCTGTGACATCTCCCTTGTGCTTCTTGTATTCGACGTAGCCAATAGCGGTAGAGGTCAAGAAAATGAAGGCGAGGATAACGAGGATACGAATCCAGACAGAAGGACCATCTTCCTTGACACCAGTGAAGGCTTGGAAGAGGTTAACAACAGCAGTAAATACGATCCAACCGTGCCACAAAGAGAAGGGAGCATGGATAAAGAGTTTATCGGTCCAACTTGTGGCAGGATAGTCCTTGGAAAGCTTGTCTGTTTTAATATGCATAGTCAGTATATAATAAAACTAAATTTTACACAAACTTACAAAAGACGCAAGAGACAGAGGAAGCGGTGAGAAGGACAAAGATGAAACCGATGATATAGTGGCCACTTTTCTAAACAATAAAAATTAATCTCACGATTTTGTATTGATTTTTTTTTTTACGTACCAAGAGACCAAGCCAAATAGAGCTAAGTATGACAGAAATAACGAAATGCCAGCCTACGCCATGAATAGCAGCCTCATGAGCAGGTTCGAACCATTGATAGATGATGAAACCAAAGAGAAGGAAATGGATGAGAGACCAAATATAAGCGATCCAGTAAGCTAAATCATGTATAAGTTTTATGCAACTTGTTTCAGTCTCTTTTACTTACAGGGTGTAATATATGTCTGTCCTTCGTGTTCGACATCATCAGAAGGAGCGGGGCCAACAACAGAGTAGACAGTAGCAGAAAGGAAAAACAAGTAGACGAGTACGTTGACTACCTTTTGGAACAAGTGAAGTCTTGACATTTTTTACAGTCAAAATATATGAAAAAAGAAAAAGAAAGAATTCGAAAGGGAGTTATTTATATTGTTGGTAGTGTGTGACAAGTTTGTTACATTATGCTGATGTATAAGTTTTGTGCATTTGTTTCATCTTCTCACTGAACCTACTTTTCTCTCTCTCTTTATTCTCCCGTATGCTCCACACTGTAGAGCACAGATACATTGGGCAACAAACATGACTATTGTTAATAGAACGAAGAGACTATTTGTTTATCACTTTTCTATTTCTTTTATATCAATATACTGTGCTCTCTTGTATATAAATCGTATGTTTGCCTCATTGTCGAATAGCCGACATTTTTAACCGGCAAAGGTTTTTTTTCTTTTTTTCGTGTCGTTCAAAAGAAAGTTGTACAGAAACACTAGCTTACACAAGCGAGTCATTTAACAAGTGCTAAAGTAACAGATTGTTTTTTTTTTTTTTTCAATACTTGTCTCAAAAGAGACTAAGCTTTTTTATTTTTCCTTGTACATTTTGGCATTTTATAAAAAAAAGCAAGTTGATCAAAGTATAATAAGCCTGTTTAGTTATTGAACGGTACTTGTCCTCAAAAAGGAAACACTGTCACTCTTCAAGAGGAACACATACTACTTTAATTTCTTTAACCACTATGAAATCATAATACATACTGAGTTATTATCGTTATTATTCAGTAAACAGTTTAGGGTCCTTTTCACAGCTTATAAATAAAGGTTATTCTGTGACATAAACAAAACATACCAAGGAAAAAGGAAATTATATAAAAAAAAAAATGGAAAAAACGGCGGTTTGGTTGTACAACATCCAAAATGAGGAGTAGCTAACGGAAAGGTGCTGTAGGAACCGAACCAGAAGAGGGGAAGTGGCTGTATTAAAAAAAAAAAAAAAAAAAAAAGACTCTACTCTTTATAGACCTTTTAGAAAGTATATCTTTAATCTTTCCCTATAACTATATCACTTATAAATAACACGTAATTTCCTCTCTCTCTCTCTCTCTCTGCCATCTTTGTGTATATGTGTATGTGCATATAAATATATGCATATATGCGCTTGGAAATTAGTATGAAATGCTGAGATTAAAGTAGCAGCACAAAATCATTAACTTTGTAACTTTATACTTTCCCCCTTTCTCTTTAATATCTCTTTATAAATACCCTCCATGTCCATGTTATTATTGGAGACATTAAAGAAAGCTGAGCTTGACCAAGTAAGTTGACTATTAAGAAAAGAGTCGAAGAACAGTTTCTAAAATAGATAAAGTATTATTCCAGGTACGACTGAACTGACATAGAAACAACAAAGACTCATCTTGCCATCTTTTTAACAAAAGCTTTTCTGCTAACGGAATCACTCAGTTGGAATCCCTTGCTCAAGTAATAAAGTCATAAAAGGAATGATTTAAAAAAGGAACTCATAATATTAACACCATTAAAGTTATCACTTCAAGAATATAGTAGTCTGGGCATTACCTCAGTAGCCGATAGAAAAAAATTATTCCACGTAAACAAGGAAATAATACATACATAGTTTATAAAGTATTAACCATTTTTTTTTGTAACATAGCTTGTTCAAAGCTTACGCCAGGAGACACCTAGTTTAGAAAATGGGCTTGTTTCGTCTTCTTTAAAGCCTCTATCTTACAAACACCGATCTCCATCTACAAACAATGTGGATACCGTTCGACGTGGAAGCACAGCGCAGATCATACAGTCACCCATACCTACGCGTACACGCTCACGCACACTACCTTCACTTGAAAAGCCTGATTTCATGAGCGATCGTGGTGAAGAAGCTGTAGAAGAGTCAGATGAGGACGATGAGGAAAAGTGCGAGATTCGAAGAGGATCTAATCCACTTTTAGATCCTTACGGTGTGCCTATCAAATCGAGGTATCAACAGAAATCGAGTCCTCTTGTTGTGAGCAGCCAACCGAGCGACTTAAATCAAAAGATACGCGTGTGTGTCAGGAAAAGACCATTGAATAAGAAGGAAATTGAACGAGGAGAGAAAGATATTGCGCCTACCTGTGGCATGAGAAGCATTAATGTGCATGAACCCAAGTAATGTATATATATATACATAAATATGTATATGAAATGCAGTTGATATAACCGTACATTATTTATTCCCTTCCTATTCAGAATGAAAGTCGATCTGACAAAGTATATTGAACAACATAGCTTCACATTTGATGATGTATTTGATTCTGACGAAACGAACGAAAAGATCTATCAGAGAACGGCTCAACCATTGGTCAAGTACGTATTTGAAGGTGGAAAGGCGACCTGCTTTGCATAGTAAGTTTTTCTTTTTATTTCTTTTACAACAGGGTCTTGATGATTCATCTACAGTGGTCAAACGGGGTCAGGAAAGACGTATACCATGCTTGATCCAAAACTTGGGTTGTACGTCTTGGCAGCTCGTGACGTATTCCATTTGATTCATCAACCACAATATGAACATCTATCAGCTTGGATCGGATTTTATGAGATATACCAAGGACAGTTGTACGACTTGCTAAATGACCGAAAAAAGCTCTTTGCTAGAGAAGATGGCAAGCAAAATGTGGTTATTGTGGGCTTGAAGGAGTATGTCATCAATAACGTTCAGGATCTCATGCAAGTCTTTGAATATGGGAGCCAGGCACGTAGCACTGGCAGCACGGGAGCCAATTCGGATTCTTCGCGTTCCCATGCTGTGTTACAAATCCTACTGAGGCCCACGAAGAACAGAAAAAAGATCGTAGGCAAGCTTAGCTTCATCGATTTGGCCGGTAGTGAACGTGGTGCGGACCGTGGAGACGCTGATGTCAAGACTAGAATGGAAGGTGCAGAAATTAATAAGAGTCTTTTGGCTCTCAAGGAATGCATTCGTGCTCTCGATCAGGATAAGCGACATACACCCTTCAGACAGAGTAAGCTAACTCAAGTGCTCAAGGATTCGTTTGTAGGCAACTCTCGTACGTGCATGATCGCGACCATCTCTCCTAATCAATCCAACAGCGAACATACACTTAATACCTTGCGATATGCCGACCGAGTGAAGGAGTTGAAGGGCGAAAAGGACACGAGACGTTCAAGCATAGCTCATCAACGTCAATCGTCATTTGAAGAGTATCAAGAAAACGAGTTTTTTGAATCAGACGATCCTGAACTGTACAATGACGTCGAAGATGATGACTTGCTCTTACACGATCAAGACTTCCCTAGTGATGGGGACGATCATATTCTCGACGAAGAGTTTCCTCACGAAAACAATTTGAAACGACACCCGCTTGATGCGATATCTTCATCTCCTTCGACATATCTCCAGGAACCACCACCTGTAAAGCATACACCACAGCTTGACGACTGTCTCTTCTTTGACCCGACCACGATCGAATCCTTCATTAAGTTTCATCGAGCCCAGATCAGAGAGGTGACCGAATACTCCAAACAAGAAACAAAATTACTGGCCAACTTTTCATTAAGCTTGTCAAGCCGAAAAGAAGAAAAGAGTTCGTTAAGAGATGAGCTCAAGACGTCAAGTGGTTTTATTGAGTACTTGGATAATCTAGATGAAATACTGGAAATGAAAACAGCAGCTATTGAAGCATTAAGAGACAGAATTCGACAGGTATTGTGCGAAGAAGAACTCTAAGCTACAAGTTGTATACCCCCCTTATCGATTTATGTACGTATATGTATATGCTTCCATTCTTTTCTTTTTTCCTTTTTTTTAATATGGATTCTCAATATATACATATTTATGAATGAATAAATGCCTTTTTTATTGCAAAAAGCTGGTATCGATTCCATGTGCAAAATCATACACGACTAATCTTGTTAGGTTTGAACAACACATGATTTTTGAGAAATCAAACTTGATGTTGAATATTCTATAAAGATAAAGAATCAGGAAGTGAGAAGAAACTGCTTAAAGTGAACATACCTTCCCTCGGTTGCTTGGCCCAAATTTTTTTGTAGTTTGCCCTCTTTTAGATCCCACAACTTGAGATGGCCATCATAACAACCGCTAATGATTCGATTCAGCTGTGAATTAAATTGTAGTGTTCTCACAAGCTGAGTGTGTCCCATGAGAGTAAATACACAATCGCCACTTTCAGCATCCCAGATCCTAACAGTCTCGTCACTAGATCCACTAACGATACGATGACCGTCGAATTCGACACAAGCAACACCTCGGGTGTGTCCCTTGAGAGTTCGTAAACAGACGCCACTGTCTACATCCCATATTTTCACTGTTCGATCCCCTGAAGCAGAAACGATTCGGTTATCATGCCACTGTATCGCGTTTACGGCTGCTTCATGGCCGTCCAGTAACCGCAAGCATTCTCCTGTGGCTCTATCCCACAGTCGAAGAGAGCTGTCCTTGGAGCAGCTCACCAACTTGGTTTTTCCAACAAATTTGACACCCAAAACACTGTGAAAATGTCCTCGTAAGACGTGCTTGGCCTGTCCTGTCACCAGATCCGTGAGAGCCACGGTCGTATCAGAGCTCCCACTGAGTACATGTTCATCATCAAACTGCAAGCAAAGCACGCTACCGTTGTGTACGCGTATGGTCTTTTTACATCTACCTGTCGTTACATCCCACACTTTGATGGACCAATCTCGACTACCGGTCACGATCTTGGACTTGTCAAACTGAGTGCAATAAATACCTCCGGTATGTAATTCTGATTCAGGTGTAGACTCGGTCGGTAGCATCCGTGTCACACAGCTGCCTCTCTTCCATCTCTGCTCGATCAACCATCGATTTTGGTAGAGCCTTTTCCAGTTGATCATACGCTTATGGGTCTCAGGATCATGATGATATTTTAGTTTCTCGTCAGCTTTGTGCGTTTCCTTTGACTGCATTAAAAGTCTATTCGTCATCGTGCTCTTTCTTGGAATAAATGGTGAAGATGAGCGCTGAATGGGTATAGGATGTATACTGTCTTTGTTTAAGTAGTCGTCAATCTCTTGTTGGTTATATTGCCATCCTTCTGCTTCGTATAAGCGTTTCCAAAGATTTGAATCCTCACAGAGTGCATGCCAACCTTTGGAGACCTGAGATGCTTGAATGAGACTTTTTGTGTCGAGAAAGCTTAATATGTTGATGGCTATCTCATAGGGTAATTGCTACAAAAGAAAAAGAAAAAGAGTTAGCCATGTTTATCGTAATATATTCTGAACATAAACTTGCGCAAAGGATGTTTCTATAGATATAAGGAGATATACGATCTACAATCTGAGTCACTTGATAAGGTGGTAATGTTGTTAATAAGTGAAAAGTGAGTTCTAAGGAAAGGAGTTATACTTATTCTCTCTTTAGTTCAATAATAATAATCATATATACCAGCTCTTTGGGCCTCTGTCCAATTAGATATAGATTCTGAAAGTTCAAATTGTTCTTTTGTCAGGTTGCTGTAATTTTGATCATAATGAACTTTTTTATCATTTAGTCGACAAACATTTATAAAAAGTTGAATAATGGGAAAAGGGGAAAGGGGAGAGAAAAGAACGTACTGTCGTTATTATTAATAGACATCTTTACACACTTTATTCGCAAATTGAAAGAAATAAAATAAAAATTGGGTCTCTTCTATCAAAAATATAAAGTTCTTTTTATGTATTAAATATTGTCTTTTTACATAATAAAAAAGATGGGTAATCAACAAGTGTAATTGATTTTCTATTGTGTGCAAATAGTTTCTTTACATATTTATATACAAGGGTTGAGAAATCAAATACTCTAACAATTAATGACTGCTCATAAGGGATTTAAGCGTCTCATAGGAAGGAAAGAAAATACCACAGATACCAAACCACCAGAAGCTCCTTGGAACTGCACCAGCAAAGAAAGCATGATAGATATTTCTTGATTTTGTCATTGTACTTGCTTGAGAGTGAGTCCAGTGGGTACGAATCATGAATCGAGTCATTTCGGATACAGTCATTGGTTTGTTATGATTATTCTTCTTTTGAGCAATGACCCTCGTACGGACCACATCCATGGGTGTTGTAAAGTATCCGGCCATGAACCCACTGACGCCGCCATAGATGACACTACGCATAGTAGGTATATCTGCTTCTAGTTCTTCAAAGGATGTACTGGCTACAATTTGATGCTTTCTTCTATACTCTCTTGTCTTTTCAAGCGTCTCACGTACCGATCTATGATGGAACGCTTTAAAGTTTTCATAAGACACTAACAAGATGATCATAAAGGGTGAATCTCGTGCAGCAATAGCCCAAAACCCTCGAAAGAGTCCTTTTGGTCCATCTTCAAGAAGGGTCTGACGGATGACATAGGCTGCATTAGGCCGTTGTCCAGTCCTTGTTTTATAATGGTCGATTTGAAGTCTATTATATATTTAGTTATTTTTTGTATACATATGAGAGAAATGTCCTTTACTTACTTTGCTGTAATCACCTCTCTTGGTACCTTAATGATGCTAGAAGCTAAATCACCCAATACAGCAGATAAGGCAGTAACAGGAATTGTCCATCCATTTTTCTCTTTGGGCAACATCTTTGCCTTACAATATTCATATGTGCTAAATCGAGCGCCGCCCTGTCCAGCTGCACCCAAGGCAGAAACAAAGAACCCTTTACCGAGGCTTCTGAGAGTTGCTTTAGAAAAGATAACTTGACGCCAGCCTACATTAGGGTCTGCTGCTTGAATTCGTGTTTTGATAGTATCGAGTGGATGCATACATGCGTATGAGAATGAAAGACCAGTAGCTCCAGATATGAAATTGACTATTGTACACATGAGTGATCAATGAAGGTCGTTTGGTAGCTTTTCTTACTTTTGAGCTGCTCTTGTGTGGTTGACATGATGAAGAGAAAAATAGAGAAAGAAAGAGAGAAAGTATGTGCTTTCTAGCATGATTGTTAGTGTTTGTTTTATATAAGTGAGTCAAAAAGGAGTAACCAATGAAATTAGAAGGATAAGTGACAATCACTGGATCGTCAAACTAAGTCATTGACTAAATAAAAATGATTGGCTGAATCAAAAGATAAAGAAAAAAAAAGACAGGTTCAAAAAATAGATTTATTACCATCCAAAAAAGATTTCTTTAAGCTTTGCAGTGATACTATTATCAACTGGCTTCATCAAATATTCCTCATCTGCAATCGTACGTCCATCAAATGCTGTGATACCCTCTTTACCATGTCCAAGTTCTTTTGGTTTCTCTTGTTTGAATATGCCCTCTGATTCTTCTAAAGTGATGACTCCCTGTCGAATAGTCGTGGATGGTTCGATATGAGGTATGATTCGAACTGGGTAACCATATATTTCTGTATTATTTTCCTTGAGTGCCTGTGTTGCAGCTGCATTATTTTCAAATGTCACCAAAACCCAATCTGCCAAAGATCGTTTACATTCAGTCACGTTGCCATATTTTTCAAAGTACTGTTTCAAATCATTAAATAAATGAGTAGGGAAACCATAAACTCTGATGGTTGATGAGCTCGTTGAGGGTATCCTAGTAAACATAATTTGCCTTTAGTCCGAATAGAAACATATACAGCTTGTTTTATACTCACGCTTCTTTCATTGTCTTCTTTTTTAAATCATCCACTAATATATGAATCAGCTACTTGTATGAATCAATATTATCATATCTACCTTTATTACGCTTATACACATTGCCGTCTCCAAACAATCCACGAGAAGGGTCTGGTACTTCCAATAGTATTCTTCTATAATAAAAGAATGAGTATATATTTTCATTATAATTCATATCATTCTTACTTTTTACCAACATTTGATCCCGTCTGACTTGTTTTTGACTATAAATAACATTAGTTTATCAATTCTATTTCTTTTGAGTTGAATTACATCAGAAAGAATATTTGAAAGTCGTCTATCTCCGTAATTAAGAGAAATAGAACCAGATCTTGTCAATACAGGTTCCATTGTTTGCTTTTTTTTTTCTTCTTTTTGACTACTAACAAAAAATATGGGAGCTGTATGTATCAACTCTTTCTTTGGCACATATGGTTGTTGTTGTTGTTGTTGTTTGTCTACAGCAAAGCTTTGAGACTGCCCAAGATTAAATAACGAAGGCGGCTGGTTGAGTAATTGCCCTTTTTGTTCATTATTCTGTGTCGTATTTTGTTGTTGTTGTTGTTGTTGTTGTGTATTATTAAATGTAGGCTGTGAAGGTAATATTTGAAATAGTGATGTTGTAGTAGACATGATTTTACTAGGAAAAAATAAAAAAGAGGGGCAAACAAAGAAAAAATTTGAATGGAGTAATCGTGACGTTTGTTAAATTTAATCGGAGTATAATTTAATAAAGACACCAGATCTTACGAGATAGAGAGAAAGGGAGAAGGAGAAAGAGCAAGGTTCTCATGTACTGATTATTACTACTAGTGTTCTCTGTCACTGAAGTGACTATATCTGTATGATTAAAATGAATTATTGATACTAAATAAAAGAGCTTTATCATTTTAAATATCTGTGAAAATATTTATTCCGCTTACTATATACACTTGTAGTTATCAAAACTCTATCTTTCACTCTTTTTATTCACTTTTGAAATGACAGAAACTAAAAAACTTCGTATACTTTGTCTTCATGGAATGGTGCAAAATGCAACTGTATTTCGTAAAAAGACTTCAGTAATTAGAAAGAAACTTGACAAGATCGCCGACATGGGTAATATGAACTTGGCCTATTACAACATAAGCTCACTATCTTCTAGTCTACGTTACTGCACCACAGATGACAGTTGATCCTCAATATACTTCAGAAGCCCACAGAGAAGCAGCTGCGGATGAAAATGCTCCTGAAGGTACTTAGCAATTAATTTGACACTTTAAAACTTGACATAGAGTTAATTAGAGGCAAAACCATTTGCTTGGTGGCATCCTTACAAGAATGACGATAAAAACCTTACAGAAGATGGATATTATCGAGGATTCAAAGAGTCTGTTGCTTACTTAAAGGATTTTATGCAAAAAGAGGTACAATTTATTAAAATAATAATAATAATAATAATAATTGGTCAAAAGGGACCCTTTGATGGCATCTTTGGATTTTCTCAGGGAGCATGTCTTGCTGCAGTCATGCTTGTTGGACTTGAGAATCGCAGTAATTTACCGCTCTTTAAGGATCTTAATCACCCCAATTTTAGATTTGCCATGCTTGCTGCTGGCTTTAAGCCTTCGAGTCAAAAGGCTACACAAGACTTTTGGACACACAAGATAAATACACCAACACTACACATGATCGGCATGGAAGATAGCTTGATTACGCCAGAAATGCAGCAGACTTTGGTTGATCAATGTGTTGAGCCCAATGTTATTCGACATAATGGAGGGTAAATAAGATATTTACACAAAAAAGAAAATACTGATCTTATACATAGTCACGTTGTACCTTCCAATGCACCTTCGAGGAATGAAATCTTTGCCTTTGTCTCAAGATTTGTAGCATAGAATTAAAATTTAGAAGAGAGAAATATAGACTTTTGATGCTCTCAATCCAAGAGGGAAAAAAAAGACTGAACATGTTGCTAGTTTACCTATTCTAATGCCTTTCTATTGCTCTCGAAAACTTTAAGCATTTTATTGTATTTTTAACTTTGATGAAATAACGTTCGCGAGTGACCTTGTATATATTAGCTTTTGAGACTTTTTTTTGAAAACAGAAAAGTGTATCATATCCTGCTTATCTCCATGTCGCTTGATCTGTACATCTTCAGCCTAGTTACTTATGATCCATAGTCAGAATATATTACCTTACCCTGCTTCTCATCTATCAATTTAGAATAGCAACTGTTGGTTATTGACTCTTATTGTTCTTATTATAAGCATCAACAATAAGTATAATAATGACAATAGGACTAATAACAACCCTTGTATAAGTGTAATATTCTCAGGTTTAAAGTTGGAAAGAATTAAATATGAATGTTGACATATGATGTGATTTCAATGGTTCCACTAGTTTCATCATTACATGCTGCTGAGTTCCCGATTCAAGAAATGAAGGCTTATTATTATCTTCTTTCCTTACTGTTATAAAGAGCATGTATGATTTCCCTTTCTTTCTTTTTATTGTCTCCTTTTTTAAAATGTAAGTCATGAGGCATAAAGAAATACTATGTTAAAAAAATACAGTCTCTATATCTTGTAATTTATGCAAGCATACCAAGACTGCCACAGCACGACAAAAGTCAAGCAGAACTCAATGACAAACAAACCTTTGAAGTTAAAACGTTCACAAGTCAAGAACGCTTGCAGTACGCTTTTCTTTTAAACGAACTTTGACTCATTCTTTTTTTTTTTTAATGAAGTCAACTGTAAGAAAGCGTGTAAAAAATGTGATGATGGAAGAGCCTCTCAGAGATGTATCAAGTACAATCTAGTCAATACATGTAAAGGCTCAATTCGAAAAGAGCGAAAAAGGAAGAAGAGAGGACCGTACAGAAAAAATCACACAGATGAAACAGGTGATGCCAAACAATCAACAAATAACACTCTATCGTCACCATTATTGACGTTACCCACTGTGCCTGTATTTTCCATCACCATGGAAACATACATGCCGTCTGAGCAACAGCAAGAGCTATCGGCTGCTAAAATAGACAGAGTTATAAGTACCAAGAATATCATTGGAATCAATCAAAATGGCTAGTTGGAACGTTTCCTATTGTTAGTCCGGATAGTTTGCACAATACCTTTCAAGCATACACATGGAATAGCCGTGACGATAATAAGAATTTAGATTATGTAAACAGTATAAAGAGCTCTGGCACCATTAACGACTCAACGTTCGCTACTTTTCATTAATAAAAATAGGAGTCTGCACTCCTCTGCTAAATGGAATAGCATAAACGTAAATAGATTGAATAACATCAAAGTCTCGGTTTATTTTCCAGCGTGAAGCATAGTTGAGAGTCTTTGGATCATGAAATGAGTCACTCTTCCTTTCTATCTCTTTCTCCAAAAATATCGAGGAATGTCGAATACTAAACCTTACTCTAAGCTACCATTGAAACAGGCTCTATCGAAACCGATTAAGCGACCAAAGGCTAAACCCAAACATTTATGAAAAAGCTTCTTGATCATAATGTACAGCTTGAAGTGAACAAATGCCAGGATATAAAGTAAAATAGTTTAACTTGCAAGTTTTTCTTTCCTTCCCTTTCACAAGTCGTTTTATTCCTTGAATTGTATGGTTCATATATATTTGTGTAGAGTAATGGCTGTACTAGTAAATCTAAGCCATTAGTCTCTTTTTTTTTAATAAGGTTGGACCGCTCCAATAACGCTATGATATTTTGCAGCATGATTACGAGCGGGGTGTATCTCGGATATTGTACATTTTTGTAAAATTTCCCATTATGCTCTTTTTAGATTACTAATATGATATGGAAGACCATTCTTGCATCTATGTTCTTCTTGAATATGCACTCAGGATATGCTTCATGTCTCTGAATCAATTGAAAAAGATATCTCTTTTGCGACAGTTTATATCTCTTTTTTGAAATTTAGTAGCTGAAAAGAGCCATATACGGCCCTCACTTGAGCCTTATAAGAAAAACCGACTCTTATCTTAAACCGATCAGCGTGTATATGTCTGTATGTGTGTGTCTTTTTCTGATCGGCGCTTTTTACAAAAAAAGAAAAAAAAGAGATTCCCGCGGAGAGAAAAGAACACTAAAGGAACATGTAGTAAATGAAGAAATTCACATTATTTCCAGTTACTGAATGTAGCGTGTATGATCAAAGAGAGGGGCAGAACCATAGAATGTTTCATAACCGAAGTCTTAGCTTTTCATACAGAGGTATATCAAGAAAAAGTAGTTCTTCTTTTTGATGCAACTTTACACAAAATACAAAATCTGGTTTGAAAGTGGGGCTCTGACTTAATTTTCGGTAGAAGAAAAATATTCCTTTTTGTGAGAAATGGAAAAATCTATTTTTAGGGAAAGACACGTTTTGATGCTACTTTGCTTTGCCGTGGTCATTTTCATATTCAATAGTGTAACTCAACACAATGAGATTATTGAAGAACAAAGGGAGGTCTGTCATACACACGCATTTCTGTGGATAATCACCTGATAATGCTTTGACCAGCTGTTTATTACTGGCCCATAGTCGCACTATAGCTGTCAACCCTCATCTCAAGTGACTATTGTCTTTTTTATAAGGAAAAAAAGAATGATAGAGAGCTTGTGAAAGAATTTTCTTTGTTTTATTGATACAATGTTTTATTCTGCTAAAGATTGTCACAATACACTAAATAATGTGCCACTTCCACGTATACAGTGTATTATAAAGCCAAAAGCGCGATTACCTTTTTTTGGAAAAAAGGGAGAAATAATGCAAAGAATATCCGTCATAAAGACAAAAGATAAAACGCCGCTCATGTCATTTCATGCGCTATTACATTAGTTTAAATCATTTCTGATGAGAACAGTAAAAAATTCTCGGAGTAGCAAGTCCGGACTTGATACCACTATGCTACCAGTGATTTGCAAGGCATTTCTATAAACACACAACATGGAATGATATGTACATGCAACGTCCTACCTCCATATTTCTCTGTTTCATAGCGCACTGATCTTTTATAGTTTCAAAACACACTACTTTAATTATTCAGAGCAATGTAAACGAAAAAAAAGAGCAATTAAGGTAGAACGTACGGTTGACATGTATAAAGAAAAGGGTGGATAAAGGAGTCTAGGATGAATATGGGGGATGATAATAAACTGAGTTTGATGGGCTTTTAAGATGATACGGGTAGGAAGCTTCTTGTTGATTTTTGATCCAAGGCGAAGGGTATAATTCGGGATTGCGATACACTATAGGCATTGGAAATAAATATTAATGAATAAAAAAAAGATTCCGAATGACACTTACCACCGTCAACGGTCAATTCAGAGTCATTGATACCGCCCTGACACTGATCTGATGGGCACTTGCTATCTCCGCATTCTTCCTTTTGCGGCGCTGTAAACTGAAGGGAAAATATGTAATCTAAAGCCCTTTCATCGGTGTTCGAGAAGCTGGTCTGCGTCCAGTTATTCATAGAGGCTGTAGAATAGGATGCCATGTCCATTTGTTCTGTGGATGTGTAATAAAGTTTGCCGGTCTTGCGAGTATACAGCTGCTGAGTAGATGAGCTTCCTGATATAGATTGCTTGACGGGAGTATCAAAACAATTGTTTCGTGCAAAAGAAGTAACTGGAGTTGAGACAGATGCAGTAGGAGTTATCATACTTGGTTTATGCTGGTTCATGGCAATATGAGCCATCAGACGCCTATTCTCATTTTGAAGCTGCATGATTTGATACTGGTACCGCTCTTCCTTTGTCAAGTTTTGTTTGACCCAGTCTAGTGCCTTTTCAACAATCTGCCCTTTGGATGGCCTTCGATGATTTTGGAGATTAGGTAGCACGTCTGCTAATTGTTGAAACTTTGAATTCAGGCATTCTCTTCGGGCACGTTCAATTGCATTATGCTCAGCTCTACGTTCTGCCTTGCTCAAGGAGACACGCCTAAAAAAGGTAAGAGGTAAGTCTGTGCGCTTTTACATTGGTGCTAACGTCACAAAGTTTTACCTTTTCGAATTAAAGTTGCTTGGACTTTTTTCCATTTCTGACTCCGGCTGTTCTAGGCATTCTCTATCACTGAAACAAGGAGATGGTTCAGCAGTAGGTGGTGATGATGTTGACGAATCACTTGTCTGATGACTGGGTTTCTCAGGGACATGATAGTGTTGATCAGCAAATTTGCCGAATGGAAAGGTATCAGCACTGCTGTAGCTAAAGTATTTGTCTTCTGAAACGGGGGATTGATACATATTTTTAGCTTTAAACAGTCAGCGCCGTCTGTGAACAGAAAAGATGAGAAAGAAAAAGGAAAGAGAGAAAAGAATAGAGTTTTTATAAAACAATTAAAACTATATTGTTACATTGATCTTTTGGGTTGAATGACCGACAGTAGTACCTTTTGCTATATAACGCTAGGCCTACAACGTCGTGGCACTCCGAAAAGGGCCCATGATCTTTGTTTCTGATTTTCTGTGAAGTATGACAGATTAGATGTTACATCCCCAGGGTTGTTACAAGCTGAAATCCATTTGTGTATACGGAATAGTCTAATATGGATAGAAGAAAGAATAAGGGTGATGTTTATCCGATTGAGGTCCTGAGTATAATTGAATCAATCCCATCTCTCTTTTCTTTCTCCCTTTTATTTTCCTTGTCTCTTTTCAACTAAGCACGCATAAAAAACAAGATGTCCTGTGTATGATTGCTTTTGATAACTTTGTATTCCTGCTACAGATGATGTTTAATGCCACAAATTGAGACAACTTGAGAAACGTAACACAATCACGCGCCGACGCATATATTCTGATCCTTCATGCATGAAACTTCGAAGCGGTCAATCAAGCGTTGTTGTTGACAACAGCGGAACCAAGTAACCTATGTTGCTGTAGAAACTAATACATAAACTACAGTTTCTTGGATAAAGCTTTCATTTTGTCATGAATTTCTTAAAGGTGATGGAACACTATTTGCCTAGCAAAGAATTCATAGTGACATAATAAAAAAGACTCAAATATGATATAATTAGTCATCTTTCTCTAGACGATTCCCTGGTATAATCAACATGTTTAAATTATTCCTAGCTTTCGAATTGAGCGATCGAGACAATGTCTCTCTCTTATTTAATTGATAAAGGAAGGGATATACAAATAGCCCCTATGCTCTCATTCTTTTGTCATGGAAACAAAGAGCTAATCACCACTGATTTATGTGATAAAGCATTGAAGAGGGATAACTTTTTTTGAGATCGTGCGATTGTAGATTCTGCTAGATCTAAAGCACCTTTTAATAACCAATCGTACGATATAAAAATAGAGTGAGGCACATTCTTTACAACCTTTTGGTAGAAGCTACTGGAAATATAAACTCCATCTACCGCATTTGGAAGCTTTATCTGCTGCAAGGGCTTCTCCTATAAGCTCTCAATAGCTTTGACCTATTAGCAACTTCAATGTTAATTCAGTGTATGATACTTTGAATGTTTTGTCTATTCTTAAGTAATATTTTCCATTTCCCCCTAAACCATAGCCGATCCCTTTAAACTTGTAAAGCCATATTCGGTATAGGGCACTTTAGACAAACTATGATGCACTAAACCCAAGCTTTCAAGTTTTAATTGGAGTAAAATCGATATTGTTGACTGTTCTCCTTATGCAAGTGTTTTGTAAAGAAAAGGATGTACAGTTCAAGATGTAGACTTTCACCACCTTAAACAGTGCCCACTACAGCATGATCGCAGCTGAGGATGATTATTAGTGGAATGTTGGACAATAGCTTTTTAGTGAAAAGTTGCGAAATAAATAAACCACTCTAAAGCAAAAGAAAAAAAAAAGGCCTCTTTAACCGTCAGTCAAAAGTAACATATAGTTTAATTTTTCTACAAGTATTTAGTTACTGACTTGTCATTATTATTAGTGTAATATACTTTGTTCATGGGGTCATAAAGAACAATAAATAAAATTTCTAAATAAGACAAGTGTTTAAAGTTATGAATGATACAAGGATGAATGTTTAAACGTTAATTATATTCCGCTCTTATTTTGTTACCGCATAATGACAAGAACATTCAAGAATACCATCCATTTTGTTTATAGGTTTTACTGTTACAAAGCCACTTTGTTGTCAAGATGAACAAAGGCTTATTTGAATGATGAAAGAGATCACCCTTTCGATCTAGACTTTTCTTTGATGTTACAGTCACTTATTTTCCGACAGACAATGTAGATTGGCTTAATTTAAAGGGTGAAGTAATAAATGTTTCTTATAGTTTAAATACGACATGGCTACCTAATGTGACTAGAATGACTATGATACTGAACTACTTCTTGATTCACTTTCATTTGTAACTAGGAAAGTAAAGAGTAATTAGGAAATTATGTGCAACTTTGATCTTAAAACGATCTCATGCGTCCAACACGCGTATTACCTCAGGTTACTCACGTGTTGCATTGATAAACTTACCTTGGGATTATACATCATGTCAATGTTTATCTTGTTTGAAAGCAGTACATGTCTTTGATATTCGGTTTGACTTGTAATACTCAATGCTGGCCCCCTTTTTTTCAATCATTGCCTAAAAGGATGGTTTGATACATCAGTACAACAATGAAACAAAATAAACATCTGCTAGAGGCCCAAACAAGCATTCTAATGAGTAGTTTTTTTTTCTTGAAAGGAAAAGTGAATGGCCTTTCGAAAGAAGAATGTGCGCCAAGTAGCTCACGTTAATGTTGTATATATATTTGATTATCCCACTATTAATGTATTCAAATTAGCCTTCAACCACACCTTGAGATTGTCATTAATTGTTGCTGTACGTCAATTGGAATATCGTAAAGTGGACCCTATATTCTTTAGCGTCAGCGAAATCGACGACAATGGTTGAGACCAATAAACGAATAGAATACATCCAATTCACAAAACAGTAACAGCCTAAAGCCTTTATGATAACCACCACAATCTCAGAGAAAGAAACTATGATAAACCATTTTGGATGCTTTTCTAAAAACAATATAATTGTCATTGAATGATTACTTCTTTTGTACACCCTAGATAATAGTGTCTGAATCCTTCATCAAATGTTGTCAATATTTATACTAACATCTTTGTTTTCATTGAACTGTAAAATGTTATAAAGCTCAAACAAGAAAAGGCTACTTTAGCCCCTGGTCGATTTCCATTTATGGAAATGTACTTATCGTAGATGTTCGCTACACTCTTCTCACTCTTTCTATATTATTGAAATATCAATAGTTGGCGAATCTTTGAAATTAAGCTTAGAGTAAATTAAAAAATAGTGAAGATAAGAAATAATCGTGGGCGTAGACCTTATTCTCATGTGATCAAGCAAATAAAAGAGGGCAGAACAAAAAATTCTTTTTTGCTTCTTTCTTTCCTCTTTTTTAAGGCAAGTTCATTTTAAAAAACTTGTATAGTATAAGGCACAGTTGATTTTATTATTCTAAAGATAACCAATGAACAGTAGCTATTTATTGGTTACCTGCGACCTGACTAGCACTTTAAGATAGAGTTGCTGTAAATGACTTTCCTCCCATGTGAGGAATAACAAGGCCATACGAGTCAAACTTCTTGTGTGGGAATAAAGACGTGATGTGTCCTGCACGTGAACTTCCTTATTTTTCCAATTTGGGGATTAGTAATCTATACAAGAAGATATGTCTTGTTTCTGACTCTTTCTTTATATTGATTACTTGGCAAGGTTAAGAAGCATGTGTGTGTTATCTTTTCGTTTATTGTGCTTTGTATATTTTAAGCTTATTTTTTAGTCGGAAGTACAATGTTTCCAACAAGCAATGTAGCAACCAGCCAAAACTAAATATCCAGGTTCAACATCTTTGCTTGCCTTGAAATATCTACCTTATAATTCGAGTGCCTGTTGTCCCTGGTTTCTAGTTCTTCCACAAGGTTAGAGCTATCTCAGAAGAAGAAGAAGAAAAAGAGCGAAGTCTACATTACTGCAAAATTACATACCAATGAGACACTTACGATGGTTGTACCTAGTCTTGACAACTTACCTTCTAAATCGATCATTTGTCCGGAAGTAACAAGCTAAAGTCGAATAATTGATTTTTCATGTATGGCTTACTACTAAGTATGGATACAACAGGTACTACCACAGTCAAAAATAATAAGAGCAACTGCTACTCAAATTCCAAAGAATCAGGAGTATGATACCCCTGAAAAGACCTGATCTGTAAGCCTGCTCATTGGCTGAGGTCGTTAATTCATTGTTCATTGGCGAACGTTTTCAAAATCATGATAAAACAATTCTCTACTTTAGTATTCTTAGCATTTACTAATACGTATAAGTCATGCTGTGACTCAAATAGTAATGTACCTTGCGGAAGGTGATATTCAGGAATCCATAGACATAACAAGAACATCCACGACTTAAAGAAACAATGGATAAAAGGCGCAAATAGAAGATTAGCAGGTGGATATAGGACCAAGCAAGAGAGTTTATGAAAGAATTCAATAAACGAAAGCTTCTAGGGCTGCTATAAATGAAAAACTTGTAGACACGAAACAGCGATTGTCAGATACCAGAAAAAATTGCATAATAGTCTTAACCAAGCAACTTCCTATGGCAGCAATAATAAATAGCTATCCTATGTTGAAAATTTCAAGCTTGATGACGCTCAGCCTGATTGAGCAAATTTCGCTTTTTTCGGGAAAGATAATGGTTTAGTGACAATGACAGAAACAGTAAATTTATCAATTCAAGTCTCACTCTTATATAACAGATAAACAGCTTTGACAAAAGATAACTTGATGCGGCTTATTTTCGTGCACATAAAGTCTATGTTTTTCAAGCTTGGAAAGCCCTTTAAAAATACACGCGTTCGACATTGCTTACGGCAGCCGTGAAAATCAATAAAGGTCAAAGCTTCAAAGCACCAAGAAATTAAAAGCTAAAGTTATCTCAGAAAAGTGAGTGAATGCAGTTTCCACACAATAAACAGTATTATAATAAAATAATCATACATCAAGACTTGTCCCGAGACTTTTACTACTAGCGACAAAGAGTACACCAATTGCGTACGTATGAACTACAGAAACGGAAGTGTATCAACAGGCTATGCTCTCAAGCAGCGAGCAGCAATCAATCATGTTTATCGGAGACAGCGGACTCTACTTCGGATCGTTCATAAATGGCTACCAGAGGTATAGAGATTATTGGAAGCCTATCAAACGTAGCCTGTACACTTTTCGATCTGGAACTTATAGCACATTTATCCTATCATAAGTTTCTTGCATCAAGATCTGTTAAAGAAATTTTACATATAATTTGACTTCTTTATTATTTCGAGCAAATGAAATGAACTCTCTGCTATTTCGATTGTTAGTTATTTTTCAAAGATATTCACACTATTTCTGATAACAACATAATATAAAGAAAAGAATTTATGCTTTTGAAAAAAGTGTAACAGCAGTTTTTCTTTATTGGGCATAGAATCTATGCTCCTTATCTGCATCTTTGATTGTGTAGCCTCAACTGGCCGATAATTGGTGGAGGAGGCCTTTGATTTCGGCAGTCACTTACTGATAGGAATATGTGTATAAAGTGGAAACGAAAGTACACATTGTATATTTGGTTAACGCTTTTCTTCCCCTTTCCTTTCCTCCTGTATATAGATAAAGTACTAGTATGAATGAAGAAAAACCTGCATCTGGAACCATTGGAAAGGTTGCCTTGAGGTTTATGTCCGAATCATCTTTTACGTACAAGATATTTTTTGGCCCTGATCCAAACAAAGTTCGCCCAAAGGTATTATTGCTGCTTGCTGGTTTAGCAGTTGTCAACATCGTTATTTGGGTGGTATCCGTTATTGTCTTCAAACCATATCCTTCCATGCTCGGAACAGGCACATTGGCGTATCTCCTTGGTCTTCGTCATGCAGTAGATGCAGGTAAAGGCGTAAGTGTGTAGAACGTGAATGGCTTTGCTAATAACTGACAGATCACATTTCTGCTATTGATAATGTCACACGTAAACTACTGAGCAGCGGTCAGCATCCTGTTTGTGTAGGGCTGTTCTTCTCACTTGGTCACTCAACTGTGGTCTTTATTACATCGATCATAGTAGCCGCTACTGCCAATGCAGTGGCAAAGAACGTAGATGACTTTTCAAGGATTGGTGGGATAATCGGTACATCGGTTTCAATCACGTTTCTTGTGTTGATTGCAATTTTAAACATCATTTGTATGATTGGCGTCATCAAGACGATGCGACGGGTGAAGAAAGAAGGAATATACACGGAGGTTGATATTGAAGAGTACCTTACGAATAAAGGCGTTCTCGGGCGATTCTTTTACCCTGTATTCAAGTTTATCAATGCTTCATGGAAAATGTATCCCCTAGGCTTTCTCTTTGGTCTCGGCTTTGATACTGCTTCAGAGATCACATTATTAGGTATTACAGCTGTACAAGGCGCGAATGGCATGTCTATGTGGCTCATTATCTTGCTACCTCTTTTATTTGCTTCAGGTAAGCATCAGGCTTTATTCTATTGATCATGTATATAACCTTTTTTTGTAGGGATGGCCTTGATTGACTCTTTAGATAGCATGCTGATGCTATTCACCTACACTTGGGCTTATGTGAACCCTGTTAGAAAACTATTCTACAACTTGACTATTACGTCCATCAGTGTTGTAGTAGCCATTGTTGTTGCCTTGATTGAATTATTTTCAATGATCGGGGAACAACTGGAGCTAGACAATGGATGGTGGAGATTTTGGTACTTTTTGTCTGATAGCTTTGAGTACATTGGTATCATCATTGTTGGTGCATTCATTATCACTTGGGTTATCAGTGCTATCATTTATCGCTTTGCAGGCTATAGGCAGCTTGAAAGAGAATTTGATACCTATGATCCTGAAAGAATCCGGAAGACAGCTTTAAGTGATGAAAGGTTAAAAGTGACTGACGAGAAGGACAATGTGCCCAATGCCATTGAAATAACCAAAAAAAGTGATATCTCTAAAGTTGTTTAGTGTGTGTATATGTACAGTGTATATGTTTTTTCAAAAGGCACATATAAATATCTAGCGCTCTATAGCACAATACCATTGTATTAAATTTACCTCATGAAATAAAAGCATCATTAAACCATAAATAGAATATGTAAAACAAGCTTTGCATACTTGTATTGTAAACAAAAGGTGTTGTTATGCTACCATCCTCGATCATAAAGAGAGCACCTTGTCTTATATTTCAATGTTATCAGCAAGTGTCACCCTCCTTTGTCCAAATGTGTGTAGCATGTTGATGGGTAGTCCGATCCGCAACATTAATTTCCTTTTTTGGAAATAACCGGAGCTTCTGTCGCTCGTTCCTTCTGCTTAAGTCTAATCCATGGTAAACATCCTATAAACCCTTCTCTCTTAATCGACAAAGGTAAAAGAGATCCAACACAAGAATAGATGGATACAATATAATATAGATCGATTCATACTGATGCGCAATCCCAACCTTTTTTTTTCTACATATACTTCATCTCTCAACTTGGATATTTTTTATTGTTGGAATTTATAAATTTAGGCTAGCATGGTTGCTTTGAATTTGCCCGCTGACGTTTTGGCCACTGCTGATGGCTCTCGCAAACTTTTCAACAAGTGGAGCTATGAAGATGTTGAAGTTAAGGACATCTCTCTTCAAGATTACATCCAAATCCGTCAACATGTTTTCTTGCCCCACACTGCTGGTCGTTTCGCTGTCAAGCGTTTCCGCAAGGCTCAGGTAATGAAGAAGATTAGGTATTGATTGTTAAAATTGACACCATATAGTGCCCCATTGTTGAACGTTTGACCAACTCTTTGATGATGCATGGTCGTAACAACGGTAAGAAGCTCATGGCTGCTCGTATTGTTCAACACGCTTTTGAAATCATTCACTTGTTGACCGATGCTAATCCTCTTCAAATCCTCGTTGATGCCATCATCAACTGTGGTCCTCGTGAAGACTCCACCCGTATCGGTTCTCAAGGCACCGTCCGTCGTCAAGCTGTTGATGTTTCTCCTCTCCGTCGTGTCAACCAAGCTATCTCCTTGTTGACCATTGGTGCTCGTGAAGCTGCTTTCCGTAACATCAAGACTATTGCTGAATGCCTTGCCGACGAATTGATCAACGCCGCTAAGGGTTCTGCCAACTCTTATGCTATCAAGAAGAAGGATGAACTTGAACGTGTTGCCAAGTGTAAGTTGTCATGGCAAAAGCTCTTTCTGATCTTTTACTAATTACTTTTTAAATAGCCAACCGATAAGCAGCTTGCCGCATATTTTCTGGTTGTGACCTGTTTCTTATTTTTACAATAAAAGAGACGTTTGCAATGATAGCAGCTTGGTTTTGGGGAAAAAAAGGGGAGAGGAATACTTTATTGGATACAGTGCGTATAATAGATTATGTGGAAGGGAGGATGTGTCTGTGTGTGTGATGTCTATGAAATTATATGTTGTATAGTTGTATATATGTATATATATGTGTGTACAGATTAGTAAATTACTGGTTGTCTTCTTGAGCATAGTATAGTTTTTCTTCATCTATTTGTTGTTCGATGGCATGTAACTCGGGAATTCGCAAGTAAGCAGTTTTGTAATACTGAAGCACTTCGTCAAGAGACAAATGTGGAATTAAATTCCTAAGAAAAAAAAAGAAATTAATAAGGAATAAAGTGAAGCGTGGAAAAAACTTACTTTCTGGGAGCAACTTTTAAACAATGTTCAGCATCCATGTGGAGATCAAGAACAGAATCATAGTGTGCACCTGGACTGAATGCTATACGAAGTGAATATTCTCTCTCTGTGCCATCATGTCGATTTCTTTCGTATAATTCAAATGTTATTTGTGTCAAGACTAAAATAATTAATAATGATATAAACACACATACAGCAGATTGCCACACTTACAGTCCAGTTCAGGCAAAATTGGCCTAGGAAATCTTGTAGGCAGGCCAGAGAGATAGACCAAGTTCAAGAGTGCATGAACGTGGGATTCTATTTGATGTTAATCATCGTGCAACCCTAGAATGTTTTTAATTTAAATTACCTTTTGTGAAATACAGTCTTGTCTTTGGCTTATCCGAATTTTTAAACTCTTCAAGGTCACCCAAAATACTCTTCAGTAAAGGTAAACCAATGAGCATTCCAATGGTCTTCTTTTCTTTTTCACTAATGCCATATTCCTGAGGCGCAACGAAATTGAACAGCTCTCGTACGTATGTATAGAGGTTTCGAAGATCGTTATTACAAAACTCTTTGTGTTTGATACTGTGGGAATCATGTGGACTATCTGGACTGGCCACTGGGCTTGATGAGAGTGGTGTCGACATTGCTTCGGGATCACTAAAGATGGCCTCCAAGAACTGACGGTTATGTAGGGCATCATACTTGAGTGAGTCATAAAGTTCAGGAATACCAGATGGGTCTGGCCAAAATGAGCCTTCCTTCTTTGCATCTGATAGATTATCACTGCTGTCAGTTGTTGTCGAATCCTGGCAAAAATTGTTAAACATCTTTTCCCAGCGCTCTTTAAACAGGTTAGGCGATTCAAAACAACACCAGCGACGCTGTAATTGATCGACGTCCTTGGTAGCCCAGTTGAGCCTCATGATATTTCTTAGTCGAGCCATCGTGTTGGATACTTCTTGCAAGACAACGTGGGGTTGAGGAAGACTAGAAGGCCAGTTTGTCTGTGCAAGTAAAACAGGTGATATTTCATAACCAGGACGAAGAAGGTACTTTAGTTGTTTCTTTACAGAATCCATTTGCTCTTTTGCTGCGTTACTGTCGTCAAGCAAGTACTTGCTCTCAGAAATGACCCCTTCAATCGATTCTGGCTGTCCAAGGAAATATCGAGCAAACACGTCGGCTTTTTTGAGAAAGAGAAAAAATCAGATGTGAAATTGTGAGAGCGATAGATGATAAACTTACCAGTAGCACGAACTCTTCGTTCTGAACTACTCCATATCTTTACGTCCTCATACAAATGCTTGTTTAATATGTTGATATCCTTTCGCAGATTTTCACCCAAGTCTCTTGACTGGTGTAAACCGGCATGGGTAAACTATAACGAATGAAACAATTAATAATTAAATCAGAAGGGATAAATGGATCATGTGTACTTACTTCGCCACCCCACTTGACATTCACCTGCAACTTTCGCAGCTTATTAGATTCTTTATCGAAAATAGGCTTGACCTGTACTTTGGTGCCCGGAAGTTCGCATTTCCTTTCGAGTATTTCTTTCAGGGCCAACAGTTTACTTTCCTGTTCCAATTTAAGTTCCAAACACTTATTGATCGCATTGAGAACTAACTGTAGCTGATGTTTTTGACGAAACACGACCTCTTGAGTGCTTCCTCCCAACAGTTCAACAAAGGGCTGAGCAATAAGGGAAATTTTATGCTTATTCTTTGGCGTACGATCAGCATGACGGAACACGGCAGCAAAGCCCTTTAATCTCCAAGAATTTTCCGGGGCAATACCACGAGGAATATCATGTATGGTCGTCGATGGACGTCTTTGTACAGATCGAAGAAAAGCATCGCTTAATCTCTTGGAGCATTCGTCATAATAATGCTCATTTCCTTTTACAAAGCTCCAACCATTGACGTCAATGACATAAGACTTTCCCTGTACGCGCAACATATCGAAGCCACAGATCATCTGTCCAAATGCTGCTGATATCTTGGCCGAAATATTTTTTTCTTCTTCTGTTAATTCGGCAACATATCTAATTTCTTTACCCTCTGTATTTCGCTTCACTAGTCCATCCACAGTAGGAGACCTAGATATAATGTTAAATTTAGCCATAGGTCCCTATCTGTACTTACTTTCTGGTTTCAGCATGAACATAAGTTGAACCGACTGTATACACTTTAACATCTTCGCTATTTTCTGTTGGCATCAATTGTTCATAAATCCATGATCCATCTTGAGCGGGGATACTTAAATCTGGATCAAACTCACTTGATTTGTTACCAACCTGTATATATGTCCATCAGAGATCAGCACACTCAGCCGTGGTGTATCTAGCTTTACCTTTCTGAACAATCTTCTTCCACCTCCACCTTGCTCCTTTGAATAATAAATGTTGATGTTATGGTCTTCACTATCCACAGGTTTTTCGAGAAATGTCTTTTTGAGCGTCGTGCCTTCTACTTCAATACTGTCTTCGGAAATAGAATAGTCTGTCGTATTCTTCATATATTTTTCCAAAACGCGATGTATATCCATACCCGTCCTTTCATAAAATGCCTTTGCTGCATCAGGATCTATTTTGGCACCACCGTCGCGAGAAATGACAAGACGTGGTGGTGTTGGTACACCGACAGCATCAAGAATGGCAAGGACAATTCGACGGTCCCATAAAAGTGACTGCATACAAATGTCATTGACAATAAACGGTTGACGGAGCTTCCAATATCTGATGGCTTTATCAAGTGGGAATCCATAGGAAAAAAAACATATCAGAAAATCACAACCCGGCCAGTTCTCTACGTCTGTGATAGTAGCAACGTTGCAGGTTTAAAAAAAAAGAAAAGAAAAAGCATATATATATGATTACCTTCATCCAATATAGTCTTGTCACCAAAAATAATAATTTCAAAATTTCCGCAAGCAAGTAGTCTATTCAATATATATCGCATAGGCTTGGATCTTGCTTTTTTATCCATAGCACAAATACCAATGATGTCTATAGAGTGAAGTTTAGTTCTCAAATTTTCTAAATAGCCGTTCTACTCACATTTTGTAGTATCATCTGACGTTACTGACAAGGAAGTGGAGGGCATAATTCTAAGAAAGAGAGAGAAAAGAAAGTAAAAAAAGCTTAAAAGAGATTTTTTTGACATTTTGCTGTGCGGGAAAGTGCAGAGTATGAATTCACTTAACCAATAAAATGATGTGATGGTTCAAACTTTTACATGGGTGATATAGTCATAGTATACATTGCTCTTACTTACTGGGTATCAGTTGTTGTTTACAATAGAACTAAACAGCGTTCTTTGGTATGTATCGTAGATTTTATTTATGAATAATTTTTACTGGTTTCTTTATGTATCACAGCCTGTTGACCAGAGATCACGTGGGGTGATCCTCAATACACCTTTGGTTAGATTTCGTCAAAAACATAGATAATGCCCTTGTGTACCAAGATGACCATAAAAAGAAAGTTGCACGACTGTATCACGATGATCTACTTGGCTTCAATTGCAGTAAAAAGATGTTACATTCATTATTTCCTAAATGAAAAACACTATTATGTATATTTATATAATCAATCTTGAAAGAAGGTCACATTAGGTCAGATGTTAGGAGAAGTTGGAAAGAAGTATTGGCACTTTACATACACAGTTTTCTTTTTGAATTGGCCACTTGTAGGCTTTGTTACCACATTAATAGTCTGCAGTAGTTTTTGTGTAGAGATCTCCTGTACGTAAAAAATAAAATAAACGTGTGTTCTGTCCTTTTAATTCTCAAAAGGAAGAGAGAAAACATGCTGAGATTCCTTTATAATACATCAAATAAAAGATTGACCACTTATACTTGTTAGTGATGATTATTTTCAGCAAGAATCAAAAGTGACCGACTATTTAGCAGCTTTAGAGGGGAGCATGCCCTATATGAATCAAACACGATCTTTGCTCATTTATTAAGAATGTCAAAACAGCACTAGTTACGGCAAGACTAATACTACCTGCTGATGTTTAGTTGAAGGTGAAGAGATCAATGAGTCTGAATATTAAAAAGTTTATTTGATGCAAAATAATGAAGTTCCTTATTAGAATGCATTTGTTATTTAAGTAATTGAGCTGCTTTTTGAGCTTCAATACCAGCTGCGCCTGTACAGTATGAATTTCTTACAAATGATCGACAGCACTTATATCCCCATCTTCCTTCCAGCCAATATGATCCCCATACAGTTGTATGGTTATTGATATATACTGTAAAGTGTGAGTTTAACCATTATGAAATATACATGCAAGTCGCTTACCATCTTCTTCATATTTAGATTTTGCTTTTGCTCTTTCTTGTCCTTTGATTACTCTACCCGTTCTAGAGTATTCGACATAGTTTTCTGTTTGTGCTAGCAGTAATTCCTTTGGAGGTGCCTCCAAATACTCTTCTCCACCATATTTCTCCAGTATGCTCTTTTGTGTCGCCTCTCTCACTTCATCCTTCTTTGATTCATACTGTTTATGTAGTAATGCTACCTGCGTAGGATTGGCTTGAAGATGAACCTCGTTGCCTCTCTCTGAAGCTTGCCATGCAAACATTTGCACCTTGGCCATTTCAGGGGTTTCACCTGTATGTCGAACAAAGTTATCACCTGCATAATCGAGACTATCTGCCTTTTTATCTTTTAATGGATTTTCACGCATAGAACGTGTCTTGGGGTCATAGAATGCTGACTCAGGATCCAAGTTCAAAAGATATTTAGCTGTGTCTTCACGAATTCTATAAAATGAATAAATATCAAGCTTCATAAGCAACTTCTTTATCCTTACCTCAAATTACGAATAGTTGTTCTTGTCTTTTGGTTAACGTGCTGACCAGGCATATCGGCAGCGTCAGCGTACTTATCGTCATCTTCTTCATCTTCATCGTCAGATATACCAGCAATCTTTTTAGCTTCAGAGGTTGTAGTAGGACCTTGCTTGTCTAATTCAGTTGCTTTAAACTTTCTTCTTGCTTCTTCAATTTTATTATATTCCTCAATGACCTTATCGTGTTCTCTAGGATCATAACCATTCCAACGATCTCTCTTTTCATCCCAATCAAGTTCAACATCCTGTATAATCTCATCCGCTTTGATGTTCTCTCCTGTCCATTTTGCACCCTTTTTTCTTGGTCGCTCTACACAATCCTTCGTTTTATGGGTCATTGCACCGCAGTTTTCACAGGCACCTTTACGATATTTTGTTGCAGCAGGGCCCTTTTAAAAGTTAGTTACATTCTCTTTTGAAATCAGTATATACATACTGCTCTTTTGCCTCTAGCATACCAATAGTTGTCATCAGCTGTAAATTTACTCGCGCTTCGCTTTTCGGGAGCTTTTTGATGTTTCAAAGACACTTTACCAGTGTCAACGTACCAAGGAGCCTTTAACATAAACTGTGGAGTATGGGGATTGATTTCGTTTCCTTCATCGTCAACTTCTGCAGGCGCTGTACCAGCTTTACGTGCAGCATCAAGGTCTTTTGCCTGGCGGTATTCTTCTTTTGTTAATCTAGTCTGTTGCATCAGTAATTTGATGGGGAGAGAAAAAAAAGAAACAAATGCATCTCTGCTGCTTTACAGTCACATACTGAAACTTAAATACTGTCCAATGAGAATTATAATTTGTGCTTTCAAGTAACACTTGACAAGAGAACACAGCTGCTTGTACGATTAAACAATCTTTTGTTACAAGTAGGCACACAGGGTTTTTTATACTAATTTTCTCTGGCAAATTCAACAAAGTGGGAGCGCATAATGTGGTAAGGGTGGGAAGGTACTGTTGGTGAAGGGGGAAAGTATACAATGTAATGGAAGGTAGAGGGAAATAAATTAACCATTAAAATTAGAAGGCCAAGGCTTGATGGTGTCAGGATTCATGCTTAAATTGCCTCTTGTATCATTAAACAATCTTTTTATTAAACCCAATTACACACGCAGTGTTTTTATGCCCTATTTTTTCTGTGTTACAATTCTTCGACTTAACCGCATTAGACACAGTCTCGAATAGAAATTTGTCCGGACCGAGCAAAGTTAAGCCTTCCATGAAGCTTATACCAAGAAGCAAGAAGCAAACCGTTAAGCCCTCCTTTCCAGAATCGTTGGTAGATCAATCTAATAAAAATGGCCAACCAAGGTAATCATCAAAACACGAGCATCAGAGGCAAGAAGATGATGAAGGATGGATGGATACATTGAAAAATAACGATAAAAGTTGAATTCATGCTATATGTGTATACAATGAGGATGAAGTTGACATTAGCAACCTAATTAACTATAATCAGCTGTACACACGTCCTTTACTCTTTTTGCTTCCTTTTGTTATATAACATAGAGAGATACAAATACTAAATACTTTCTCTCTAGCTTCCACCAAGGCTCAAGCCGCTAAGAAGGCTGCTCTCAAGGGTGTTCACAGCAAGTCCGTTCGCAAGATCCGTACTACTACCCACTTCCACCGCCCTCAAACCTTGGTCTTGAAGCGTGCTCCCAAGTATGCTCGCAAGTCCGTTGCCCATGCTCCTCGTATGGATCAGTACCGTATTGTTCGTCAACCCCTCAATACTGAAACTGCCATGAAGAAGATTGAAGAACACAACACTTTGACCTTCCTTGTTGACATCAAGGCCAACAAGCACCAAATCAAGGATGCTGTCAAGAGACTTTATGACGTTGAAGTTGCCAAGGTCAATACTCTCATCACTCCCGTTGGTTTCAAGAAGGCTTTCGTCCGCTTGACTGCTGATGTTGATGCTCTTGACGTTGCCAACAAGATTGGTTTCATTTAAATCATTAAATACAATGTGTTGTTTTAACCATTTACTTGATTAATGCGCATGTGTCTTGGTTTATATTGTGTGTGTGTATTTAATAGATAAGTAGAGAAGAGAACAGAGCATTAAGAAAAAAAGGTGATTGTGAATCCCTTTTCACGTCAGGGACTTCAGTTTATTACTACTATTATTAATTCATCAATTAACGAGTCTTGAAGTAATCCAAAAGAACATTCATAGCTTCAGACTCCTCCCCGAAATCAGTAACAGCAACGGATGAGCAGCCAACAACTTTACGGGCATTTCCTTCTCTGTCAATCTTGCAAAGACCGACCCATTCACCTAGCTTCTTGGGGTCAGCAACCTTGATGAGATTAATATTGTGTTCGGCACAAAGTGCTTCAATAAGCTTCACGTACTCCTGTTCGGTGCAGGACTCGCACAGAACAGCCAGATGAGCCTGGCGTCTAATAAGGATTAACATCTCAGACGCGTCATCGGATTCTCATCTTCATACCTGTCCAAAGCCTTGACAGCCTCCCTCAAGCCGCGAGCAAGACCATCGTGAACCAAGGCACGACGAAGAACCTCCTGAAGGGCGTCTTCAACAGACATACCTCCATTCGTAGATTCAACTGCAACTTCAACTTCTTGGTTCTCAATAATCTGTTCAGCAGACATGGTTCTTCGGTTCTGTATTAGGCACTGTTCAAGTAATCATTTAATCTCTGCAGCAAATACATACAAAAATCCTAATCATCCATCTAACAAACAGATCGATCTAACTGTTTGTTGGATCATTAAAGGATTTGCTGGTTTACCTTGACGTTAAAAAGGGGGAATGGTTGGATACTCTGGCCTACTCTGAGCCTTTGAACCAATGCACCCACTGAAGAGAAATTGTAGAGTGACGGTGGATCATCGTCTAAAATACAGCCAATAGTAGTCTGTTATTTTTTCAAGACAGACACCCTTCATGGACTAGACAATTTTCTATAGATAACGATTCGGGTTTTTAAGTTAAAACGAGACAAGTTGAAAATGACGTTTGGGCCAATCAAGTGGAGATATAGCATAAAAAATAGATAGCTTGAAGCATAATATCAGATACGTACCTAAACATAAGCTTTGTGGACAATTCAATCTATGCATCAATTACAAATAATGGAAAGCTTCTTTCCCTTTTTTTAATGGCTATTTTCTTAAGCTGTAGACGTTGCTGTCAATCATCTTGTGAATATTTTTTTATAATCGTCTTTTATTTTCAACTTGTCTCTCTTTAGGCAAATGCTCTTTTGTCGCTTTTTGTTTTCTATTCATTCAATAAACAACTATGCTTTTGCTATAGAATTCTTTGATCTTGCTAAACTTACTGTACCTACGCGTCTTACTTGGTTTATCATACTAAATGCTGAGTTTATCATTTTTCGTTCTTTTTTTTATTTTTTATTGTTATGCGCTGCTTATTGAACACGTACAAGTCTGTTCTGTCTAAATGCAGATGGTCATTGCACACAATTAGACATTCCAGCTCTGGGGGCCCTTCTGAAAAGAAACTCAAGGCAATTCCTTTTGCTCAACATGTGAATGCAGCCTTAGAAGTAATAAGAATATTGCAATGACAAACGATATATTGACAGCTCTCTTCAACAGACATTTGAACAATATCATGGCAGTGGCTTCTTTTCAGTAAAACTGTCACAAAGTTCCTCTCCAGAGCAGTATTTTCTACCATTCTGGGTTGTATCAGCCACTGTTCATTCAACTATTGAACAAGCTCAAGTGGTAAGCAAACAAATTTAATAAAAATAAAATAATAAAGATATACCAGGGTAGACGCACGATCAGAACACATTATAACCCTACCACAAAGAAAAGCGAGTCTCGATGGGACACAGACTGGGTTTGGGTGCCACATAAGCATAGCTTCACACGAGATTATTCTCCTTTGGCTCACCCAAAGTTACAGATTTACGCGTCACATCGGTACCGCCGTGGTCTCGTTGAAGCCATTACTCACGGCCCAGCGCTGGAAAGCGCAATTCCCTTTTCTCCTTCTCTCCTCGACAGTAAAGAGCCACGTGGTATTGATCCATTTGCGATTTATCCATCTACTGCTGTAAGATTTGCAAAGAGTTACATTCAGTCTACTGAGGAAAAGGTAGCCGATGAGTATCTGCGGCAAGTGTACAAGATGGACGAAACGCGATTTTTAAAAGTCAATGTTCGTCTAGAAAATGTCACTGTCTCTCCTGTCTATTATCCAGCCTACATATTTTCTGTGAATTATCTGGGAAGAACGTTAAGAACGTTTGTGAATGGCAGTGATCTAACCGTTGGCGGAACCAAAGTTTACAATTGGCAGCGGACTGCTATGGTATCTGCTGCTGGCATGGCTACCATCATGACCATGACAGGTGGTATCGGCTGGGGAGGCGCTAGTGGATCGTTCTGGGTAAAGTATTGATTGATGTTTGCTGTGCACCAAAATAGAATTAAATATTGTTAGCTTGGCATTGTACTTCCAACTGTTACCGTCTCCATGTTGACGTTATATTATCCAATTATATCACTTCGGATAAGAGATTTGATACGAGACTATGAAATTAGGTCAATGGCCCATGATCCTTCTACTTGGGATGAGGATTGGGTAAAAGGCTATGCTGCCTATGAAGATCAAGAAAGAAGCCGAACATGGCGGGAAGAGCGTGCGAGTCAAGCTTGGTATACGGGCACCAATGCAGACCCAAAGGGATATTATCGCACATTGAATGTGTCACCCAACGCTAGTCAATCGGAAATACAGGGAGCATTTAGAGGGTAATGAACATTACAATCAGCATACAGATACAATCTGACCAATAAAAAACAAACAGACTGGCAATGAAATACCATCCTGATCGGTATTCTGATCCTGAAGAAAAGAAACAAGCCAAGGTCAAGTTCCAATCCATATCAGCTGCATATAGTGTTTTGCGAGATGGTAAGCTGTATTAAGAATAGTTGTAGGCTTATACTCACCACTATCCCATTAGCAAGAAAGAGACAAGTATATGATCAATCAGGGTCTGGTTAATAACAATCATTGGCTGTTGTTACACTGCGGATGTCAATGCAGATTGGGAATTATTTTTCCTTATAATAAATTTTTCATTTTTTTCTTCTTCTTCTTGTGTCTTTATGCCGCAATCATCTAAAGAAAAGAAACCAACAGAACTTAACCCAAGAACCACGAGTTATGAGTTCCTTGGACCCATAGGGGCCTTAGGCATGGTCACTATTTTGCCTCTGCTTGTTCTCTTCTTGGCAACTTGTTGCGATGCAACAGGTTATCCATCGCGAGATCTCTTTGTTGACTGGAAAGGATATCTTCAGCATAAGTTTTCAGTGGAACAACTAGTCTCATTATTCGATAAGCAAGTTTTTATGATCTATTGTGGATATGTTGCAGCACTTGCTCTATTTTACATTATTTTACCTGGTGACAATGTACCAGGAACTGTGTTGAGAGACGGAACAAGATTGAAATATAAATTGAATGGTATAAATATATAAATGATTAAACTGCAACTAATCTGTTCCTTAGGATTTGCTTCTTTCCATACGCTTATTTTTGGCGCTATTTACTTTTTGAAGAGCACTGGGTTGAAACCATTGGAATATGTCTATGATCATTATGCCAGCTTTACCCTTGCTTCCATCCTATTTAGTTATATTATTTCATTATATGTCTATTTAGGTAGCTTTGGGTCTAACAAGCTTTTGGCATTGGGAGGAAATACCGGCAATCCTATCTATGATTTCATGATTGGAAGAGAATTGAATCCTCGCATTGGAAGCTTTGATATCAAGTTTTTCACCGAACTTCGTCCTGGACTTATTGGATGGTTGGTGATCAATTACTGCTTAGCGGCCAAGCAGTATTTAGATCTTGGATATATCACAAACACCATGATCCTTGTTCAATTCTTTCAAACATGGTATGTAGTTGATTCACTTTGGAATGAAGAAGCCGTTTTGACTACGATGGATATCACAACAGGTTTGTAGTATAATATATATATATATTCATAGTATAGTAACATGTTATTAAAGATGGATTTGGCTTCATGTTGGCATTTGGCTTATACACCTGGGTACCATTCACGTATACACTTCAAGCTCGTTATTTGGTTGACTTTCCTCGTACAGTCAGTTGGTTTGAGTTTGGAGCCATCTTGGCTCTCAATTTCCTTGGATATTACATCTTTAGAGGCGCCAACTCTCAAAAGAACGAATTCCGTGCTCATCCAAACAGTCCAAGCTCAAAGAGTAAGTTACTTATTAATACTGTATGTCAAACTTATATATTATTATAGAATTGAAATATATCGAAACCAAGAGTGGTAGTAGATTGATTATTTCTGGTTGGTGGGGTATGTCAAGACACATTAATTATCTTGGAGATTGGTTAATGGCTTTATCATGGAGTTTACCATGTGGATTTGGTTCAGTGATCCCTTACTTTTATCCTATTTATTTTGCCATTCTTTTACTTCATCGTGAAAGAAGAGATGATCATAAATGTAGAACTAAATATGGTGCAGACTGGGAAAAATACTGCAAGATTGTTAAATATAGAATCATTCCAGGTAAAGAAAAAAAAAAAGACGTTAAAGAAAAGAAAAACTAAGCTTTTGTTGCCGCAGGAATTTATTGAGTTTATGTAATTTAAAAGTCCTTTTTCTTTCTTTTTTTTAAAAAAATAAAAATAAAAAACGAATGGGTAAATCCAAGCAGCCTAGAGTAAAAGGAAACTTGAAGCCTGCGAGTAGCAGGTAAAGGATGATAAATAGATATTGTTCATTTCACTCATTTGGAAATAAAGTCGTGCTGCTGAATTATCGGCAAGTGCAGCTAATCCTTTAGCCTTGAACAATCTCGGTGGATTCGCTCAATTCGTGAGTGCAAACAGTCCAGCAACCTTACTTGCCTCACCACGTCCTTCGACACCTTCTTCAGTTGACAGCATTGAAAGTTTGACGATAGATCTTGATCCTGAACTGGTTGTCATTTGCAAAAAGATTTCTAAACGCGATACAGTGACTAAAATCAAAGCACTTGAAGAATTAGAAGTCTATCTTCAGTCCAACAAACACGCTATTGGATCTGTATTAGGCAGTTGGGTAAAGAAAAAGAAATGAAAATAAGAAGAAAAGAACCTAATAAGTCGTAGGTTGGACTCTATGGAAAACTTGTTCTCGAAGTCGATCGTCGAGTACGATTGATGGCGAACCAAGTCCATACACTCATCACAACCAACGTCAAAAAGAAGTTAGCACCACACTTGAAGGATGTGATGGGCCCTTGGCTTTTATCAATGCACGATCAAGCGAAAGATATCGTCAGGGTAGCAAGGAATTCTTTTGAGGTAAGCTTTATCATTATTTTTTATACATGTGTGTGTGACACTTCTATAGTCCGTGTTTGCTGCGGATAAGAGGGCAGGCGTGATTTCATTTTGTCAAAAGGAAATCTTGGATTATCTGACAGATATGTTGTTATATAAGACCGTGGATACTCTGAGTGATGCACGATATGTGACAAAGGAAGATATGCTTGCCAAGTACGCTCGTGTAGTATCGTCAAGCTTTCAGATCTTATCTTACTTGATTACTGAGCTGCCAGTTGAGGAAAGAATCAAGTGCGAAGATGAGTACAAGATTGTTATGGATGACACAACTTTATGGAGGAAGTTTGTCACTCACAATAATCCACTCATTCGTAAATCATTTTATAACTTTGTAAAGACGTTGTTATTAAGCTGGAAAGGTAAGTTCTTTGCCCCAAATATACACATAACGCGGGTTAAATAAATAAAATATGACATGATAGATGTTATAGAAAGCAGACTAGAGTTGGTTTGCCCCAACTTCTTTGCAGGTGTTTTTGTCGAAAAGGACCCTTTTACTCATTCTGACATGTGGGATGCCTTATTACTTATGACTAAAAGTAAGGTTCGCCGCTTTTATTATGTCATTTGTTAACAAAAACATTAGATTTCCCTCGATCATGGGTTATTATTGATAAAAAGAAGCCCGCATTACCAAAGCTATACAAGTTCCTTGGATCTGGCCTAAATGGTTCTGTAAACATTGCTTATCCTAGCATTATTGCATTATTAGCCAATCTACCAGAGGAGGTAAGTTGATCACACGTAACTAAAAACGATCATTCATCGCTGTGAATGCAGATCAAACAAAATGCTACCTTTTATACAGACACATTTGATCATTTATGGAAAGGACTATCAAGCGAGTACATTGATAAATCAAACTTTCGTGTGTTCCTTGATGCTTATACAGAGTGTATTGTATATTTTGCCATCACATTAAGGTAAGTTGCAAAAAATGAGATATATACATTAATTAACGCACAACAGTAAAATGAGTGACGAACAATCTGTAAAGACAGCTGCCATTTTGATCGAAGATAAATTCTGGAACGTCATCAAGTTTTTCTTTTTACAGTCAAGGAATAAGGTGTTGAATGAAAAGATTGATCCTAGCACGTATGACGTTATTGCGAATCGATTTATTGTTCTCGCCTCTGCTGAAAGTACAAAAGGTAAGAGATTCAAAGGGAGACATATAGAAAAAGAATGATCAACTATATCAAATAGATATACTGTCAAACATGGCTCTTCAACTTGATCAACTCTTTGTTCAAACAGTAGTTGATTGTGCCTCAGTCCAAGAACCACTGGACATGGAACTGTTTTCACAAAAGACAGGCAACTTCTTGACGTACCTGTCTCATAAATGTACACCAAAGACAGCGATCGCTTGCTTTATTGAAAGTCACATGAACGATATGGTCAAGCGACTAGTGTTAGAATCCGTGGGCTCAGCTATTGTGCATAAAGATAAATCTCACGGTTTGCTGTTGCTTGCTAAACAGCTTGTGGATGCCTTTGAAGTGACTGCCACAGAGCATAAAATGGCCTCTGCCACTAGACAACTGCTTCCACTGTTTATGGATAACGAAACACCCATAAGTTCACTGACCTCATTCTTTGTGACGACTGTCATTTCCTTGAAGGATACTGACGAATCTGAGCAATTATGGACTGATTTTATTCAGCACGTGTATGCTATCTATGAACGCTCGGAAGTCCGCGCTTCTGAAATTGTCGTTTTGGCGTTTGAACAGATAAAGATCGAAAATGCCATAGATATAAGCTATCAACGCGAAGCGTTGGATACAATGATGAAAGGATTTGCAGAAAGCCCAAGGACAGGTGTACCCCGTCCCGTTTTGGAAAATGCTGTCTGTTTAGGCTTGATTCAGTCACAATGTAAGTAACTTTTTACAGGCCCCAGAATGAGACGATAACCAGTTTACTATAGCTTATAAAGTGCTATCTGATGCTGCTGTAGACAGCATGTTGTCTACCTTGGAGCTGATACTACAAGATTTTAACAAAAAGGAACACTATGTTCAAGGACTTCGAGCGACGGTATCTGTCTTGAATATGCTGGAAAGGATAATGCAAGATGAAAGCGTGTACAAACTGTCAGAAAGAAACTCATTCTCTAGCATTCCTTCACAAGTGTTTGATGCCTTACATACAAGCCAGAAGCTTCGCCATGACGAGGATACTGATGAATATACGGAAGAGCTTGCCCTTTACTGCGACTGTCAAGTAAAAGCAACAGCCGTCTGGGACTCGATCGCAAGCGGCATTCTAGCGCGTCGACCTGACTTGGCTTACTCAATACTCAATCAGCTAAAGAAATCAATTATTGATGTGACTTATCCTTCAAGTCCGTCAGATTCTGTTCAGCGTGCTGGCAGGCTGCTATCTAGCGCGTTCCACAGTGATGATGAACGACAAAAAGCAGTATGTATTCTTTTGGGTACTGAAGAAGAATGGGAAAAACTCTACTATCCATTTACGCAACATACAGCGGATTACCTGTCGGTGGCTGTGTCTGATCCCTATGTGGCATTATCAGTAGATTCCCTTGTTGATGATGAAGGCGAACTGATGCCTGTCTCCTTTGACGTCTATGGTCTTTCTTCATTTGGACGCCTTGTTCTCTTCTGGGGCGAGTATCTCTCTGATCTGGGCTTGGCCAAATCAATTTTGGTGGACAGCAGCAAAGACTGGCTTATTCGTCAATTGATGCTAGCAAGCGTCGCCTGTAGCCATGAGCTGGCTGTCTCTGGTACCCACCGTATTTGGGAAAAGAAAGCTGTCGAAGGTGTTCGTGCCTTTATTGAGCACATAAAAAATCTCTTTTCGATGTGGCTTTCTACAGCTATTGCATCGTCCAACCTTGCCGAATTCCCACAGCAGTTGCTTGTTAGTGTCAAGCGTCAGCAAGTAATGAAAGATAGTCGTCTACTGGATTTCACTAGTCACTTAGCTTTATCCTGTAAGGCCGTTACTTTATCTGCTAATGTTCTCCATCAAGTCCTATCCAAGTTACTCGTCCTCGGCAGTTGGTCAGCTTCTGAGCTAGAATCATGGTTACCTCTACTCAAGGCTGAATCAGTAGAACTAAACTTGTTGACCAAAGTAGCCATAGTACGTGCATTCAAATATGCGTTGGGCAATACCGATGCCTACAGACACTATCAAAGTGACCTTTGCAGCAAGTTATCGGGCGTGACCAGTATGTTGGAGTTTGATTACTCTCCGGATGAAGAAATTGATTCAAAACGTAAGCGTTACTGGAGCTTATTAGGTCTTTTGAACTCATCTGCCCTCAAGATCGAATCCTTTGATATTCCTCGTCAAAGGCTGCTGCACCTCATACAGTCGCTCCGTCCATGGCTAAGCCAGGACTTTGAGTTCAGCGAAGACCAGCAAAGGGCGCGTGCTCGAGCACAGATTGCTCAACTCTTGAAGCATTTGGCCAAGTCTGTACCTGATGACCTTGGTGGGCACTGGGATTACTTTTTGGACTGTTGCTTTTCATGGACTGCCTATGCTGATGCAAATCAGCCGGAGGAATTACTTGTACTCTACTACACCCTAGATCTGTACGAGACCCTCGTCTTGCTGTCAAAGGATAATGAAGTATTACGAGAGGCGATAAACAACCATTTGGTTTCGTATGGAAAGCTATTACTTGAGCTAGTTGTCAAAGAATACAAAAGAGAGACTGTATCAAAAGCAAGAAGAGCTTATCAAGAGGTTTTAGCGCGACTATTAGAACATGTACCAAAAAAGACGTTGGTAGAAGTAGACTGTTTTGCCAGTGTATGTTTAAAAGAAAAAATATTATAGAAAAAAGGGGGACATTTACCAGTTTTATTAGTTATCTCGACTGCTTATGACATACAATGAAACGCTCCAAAAGCGCGCTTATTCGTTACTTAACAAATTGGTTACTGAGCAAGTTCAAGACTTGTCTGTTAAGCTCGAATTTACAGAGACATCAGGTATATGACTTTATTTTAGAAAGGATCATTCTGACACTCTTTTATATGCAGAGGAAGAAGTGCAGGCAGAGATTGATAATAACATACTATCTGTCATTTTGAACCCACCTGATGCTTCTGAATGGCAAGCTGAGGAAATGAATGAACATCATCATGAGATCTTTGGTTATCTTTTAGCTTGGATGACTATGCTGGACCACTTTAAGGATATTGTAAGTGTACTTGCTTCTTTCAAAAAGCAGTAACTTATTATATACTGTGTAGACATTCAAACTGAAACAAGAGTATACCAACGAACTTAAAGAAAAGGAAAGTGTTGCTCATTTGATGCCTGTGCTCTGTGCCATTTTAAATGTTGGCCAAACGAGTGGCAGCAAGCCTTTCAATTTATCTCCTTGGGATGTGGTGGAATATGACGTCGAGGGCTTCGATGGCGCACATGAGATGAGCTTTGATATCTTGGCTGCTCATCTTTATTACCGAGCCCTACGACACATTCCATCTCTCGTCCGTCTTTGGTGGATTGATTGCAAGAATAGACAACTGACGCTTGCTGTTGAGAGTTATACAGAAAAATACTTTAGTCAACCTTTGATTAATTATGAACTAGAGTTATTGAATAGACCAGATATTAAATCCCAATTAGAAGAAAACGAAGAAAACGAGTTTACGATCAAGACACTGAAAGCAGCGAGTGAAGTGACGGCCAAGTATGTAGTAGACGAACAAGATATGCAGATTGCCATCAAGTTACCTAGCAACTATCCTTTACGTCAGATCGAAGTAGAAGGAGTACAAAAAGTGGGTGTAAATGATAAACAATGGCGTGGATGGATGTTTGCGATTACTGCTGTCATTGGATCTCAGGTATGGGCTATCAATAATAAGTAAAAGGAAACTAATCAAAAATAGAATGGTAATATCTTTGACGCATTGTCTGTATTCAAGAGAAACGTGAATTTACACTTTAGCGGTGTCGAAGACTGTACGATTTGTTACTCAATCATCAGTGTTCAAGATCGATCGATTCCCACAAAACAATGCAAGACATGTAAAAATAAGTTTCATTCTAGCTGTTTGTACAAGGTAGGTTCTCTAATTAACATATAGAAAAGAGGAGAATCTTGTATTTATTTGCTCTCTTTTTTTTTTTACAGTGGTTCAGATCATCTAATTCGGCTAGTTGTCCTTTATGCAGAACTGTATTCTAATCATGCTTTCTTTTTCCCCTTTTCTTTTTTGGAAACTGCAGGTGCAGGTTCTACATCTTCCATATCATCATCTAACTGGGGCTGAACTACACTGACTGGTTCCCATTGGCCTAGAGAGTATTTAAGTTAATAAAGGATTTGCTTGTATATTAAACCTTTATACCTTCGTCTTGATCAAAATAGACAAAATTGATGACGCTTATATTTTCTAATGATTTCATGTCTTCCAAAGGGAGATATTCATCTGGTTTATCAGCATCTAAGAATAGTTTAATATCTTTAGGTGTTTTGCCATTGTCGAGTGCTTTGCATAAATTAATCTTTAATTGTTCAAGTGAATCAGTGGGCTGATAACATAAAAACACGATTGTCTTTTGTCTTTTTGCTTTTATATAATATGGTTTAGACTATATTTGATTTGTGAGTAGCTCTGTGTGCCTATAGAGTTATTATTTGTATACCATTGACTACGGAATGAGTGATGAAGAGAGAGAAAGGAAAAAGAAACGGTGTGACTTTGAATTCATGTACGCGTAGCATATGCGGATAATGAATATACTCACATTTGTTATTATCATATAATGAAAGTGATGTCTGTGTCAAAACAAGCTTTGTGTATATTTTACTATTCGTTTATTTCAAGGAAAAGGTTTTTGATAGTAAAAAAAAAATGAAATATTGTAGTCAGATAGTAAATGGCTATCAAATAAGTCTAAACTGATTTCCGAACCTATTTGGCTCTATAAGGCATGGTAAGCATGTGGAGAACTGTCGCGGGTATTCCTACATGTTTCCCGCAGTGTGTGCAACAAAAAAAACTGTACGCTGGGGTGTAAAGTAACACGGCATTTTGAGGGTAACTTAAAGCATCTTGTTTCGGCGTGGAAAAAAATATTGTTGTATGATTGGTCAGGATACACTACGAAATTAAATAAAAAAGACTTTTCCCATCCAGTTGCCTTAATGCAAAGTAGTAAAGGGACAATCTTGTTCACTTTATTTGATTTATCATTGGCTATCAGGAATTTTGATAGGGTCATATGCCAAAAATACAAAGACTTATACTATAGATTGCGTGTTTATAGTTGAGACTTCAAGTGTACATTTTGGTTGCTTCAAAAAAGAAACGGGACATTACTATTTTAGCAATTAACGAGGGCGTTGTTACTTATGATTATCAATGTTGAGATGAGTACAAGATTGGGGCTTTGGTACTTGTATTTACTGTTATGAACCCAACGCGCCCAATTTATCTGTCAGAGCTTACAGCTGCATTCAATTGATTCGAGACCAAACTTTACGTAAAGAATTGATCATCTGTATTATGTCAACCTCTAGTTTCTGTTTTTTCTTTTTTTTTTTTTTGAGTCACTCTGAACTAGTTCATCCTTCTCTTTTATTCCAAGCTTCATATTAGACGCAACAACCGTCTCTTATATTCAAGCAATACCTTGTGTATAAATATTTATGTATGCTATGCTTAACTTTAGCATTAGTGTAGTACAGTGTACTGAGATTTGCTCGAGCCAAACACAACAATATAAACCCAAAACGCCGATTAAGAAACTTGCGTTATGTCACAAGATTAGGGTTTCACCCATTCTGTATGCGGGGAAGCTGGGCGATGTTGGGAAATGAGACGTGTGTATAACATCAAAAGGTTAATCTTTTTGCTTTTAGGTACCTGAACCAGGCTTATTATTTTTTGGGGAATATTTATGAAAAAAAGTTTGGTTATTCATATATCCATTAGGCAAGTATTATTGTGTGAGAATTTTTTATTAGGCGCGCCAAATTTCTTAACGCGCTTTCTTACCGTGACTAAAGCTATAGATCCCTCTTTTTTGATATAGCTTATAATAAAGACATAACATCAGTAGAGACAGAGAACAAGAGAGACAAGGAAAGAAGGTAAGGAAGAGTTTTAATATATCCTATTATATCTGTGTTTTAAAAGCATTTTTAGGTTTATGTGAAAGTTACACGCTTGAACATGTATTTAAACAGGAAACTTTATGCAAAATAGTTCTTTCTTTTTTTTTTATTCACACATCATGTCTAATCTCGTTGTTGAAACCACTACTCCTAAAGGATACAAGCTTAAGCGTATGAAAAGAAGCTTAAGCCTATAGTCAATAACTAACATCATACATTAGTCCAAACTGGTTTGTTCATCAACAACCAATTCGTGAAGGGTTCAGACACTATTGACACTGTCAATCCTGCTACTGGAAAGGTTATCTGTGCCGTCCAAGCTGGTAAGTTTACTCAATGAATGACATACTTACGCGTGGTATATTCATATCTGTTTATTAGCTGAGGCAAAGGACGTGGATGCTGCTGTTGAGGCCGCTGAAGCAGCTTTCCAAGGTCCCTGGAAAAACATGCCTGCTCTTCAACGTGCTGCCTTGATGCACAAGTTGGCCGACCTCATTGACAGAGATAATGAAGAACTTGCTCAAATCGAAACTCTTGATAACGGTAAGGGTATCACCTTCTCTCGTCTCTTTGATGCCAAACAAATTGCAATTTCCCTTCGCTACTTTGCTGGCTTTGCCGATAAGGTACACGGTAAGGTCATTGATACCGAAGGCTGTCTTTCCTACACACGTCACGAACCTATTGGTGTCTGTGGTGCCATCATTCCCTGGAACTTTCCCTTGATGATGTTGGGTTGGAAGTTAGGCCCTGCTTTAGCTACTGGTAACACCATTGTGGTCAAGACTTCCGAAATGACTCCTCTCTCCGCCCTCAAGGTTGCTCAACTCGTTATCGAAGCTGGTTTCCCTCCTGGTGTGATCAATATCATTACCGGCTATGGTGCCAAGGCTGGTGACGCTTTGGCTCGTCACATGAAGGTCGCCAAGATCGCTTTTACAGGTTCCACTCTTGTGGGTCGTATGGTCATGAAGGCTGCTGCTGAAAGCAACCTCAAGAAGGTTACACTTGAATTAGGCGGTAAATCACCCAACATTATCTTTGACGATGCCGACTTGGATCAAGCCGTCCGATGGGCCCATAAGGGTATCTTCTTCAACCACGGTCAATGCTGCTGTGCAGGTAGCCGTGTGTACGTTCAGGAATCAATCTATGATGAATTCTTGAAACGCTTCAAGGAATACACAAGCAAGACTAAATTGGGTGATCCCCACGATGACGACACTTTCCAAGGACCACAAATCTCTCAAACTCAGTTTGAACGTATTATGGGCTATATCGAAAGTGGAAAGAAAGAAGGCGCTACGTGTTACATGGGCGGTCAGCGTTGGGGTAATGAAGGTTATTACATTGAACCCACTGTCTTTACGGATGTTCGTCAAGACATGAAGATCGTTCAAGAAGAAATATTTGGTCCTGTTGTCACTGTTTCTAAGTTTAAGGATATTGATGATGTCGTCCATATGGCTCTTGATACTGAATATGGTCTTGCTGCTGCCGTATTTACTCAAAACACCGCTCGTGCTGTTGATATCTCAAACCGTCTTCAGGCTGGTACCGTCTGTAAGTATTATCCTTTCAAGAAGTAGGAATTCGTTGTCTTAATAACTCATCTAACATAGGGATCAACTGTTATAATGAATTGGATTACAATACTCCTTTCGGTGGTTTCCGTCAAAGTGGTATTGGTCGTGAAAATGGTGAATATGCATTGGACAACTATATCCAGGTCAAGACTGTCAAGATCAACATTAACCGTCAACCTTAAGTCCAAAGTCAAGCTTAAGTCCTGAAAAAAAGTCCTTTTCCTTTTCTTTCTTTTTTTTACCCCTATTTATTTTGAAAATAAAAATAAAAGATAGCACGCATTCACTTTGAATGACAGGTCTATATTTTGTATGCAAAAGAAAATTCGTTGGCCTTCCTTTTATCAATATTATAAATAGATTTTACAGGGCAAATTATATATAAAACCGTAGATGATAGTGTGAAAGTACTGAGTCCTTAAATACCTTGCATGAAAGTTGTCCATGTGGCGTTAAATAAAATCTAATTAAGCCGTTCTAATATGCAAATTGAGGTAGTTTAAAAGCATGCCTCAAGTCGATGTAAACAGCATTATTTTAGTCTTTCTAAGTCCAATAAATATCTGTTTTGATCAAATGACGTGTCTATTTGATTTGTGGTATGGTTAAATTAATAACTTCTCTAACTGCAGAGAAGCCTGAAAACGCATATGCTTGTCAGTTTAAAAAAGTTCCTGTCGTAATAAGATTTACACAACTTTAGAGGAACTATGACGATAGATTATGGAAAGCGTTGGAAGAACATTAAAAGCGCGGTTTTACATATTCTCTCACTAAAATCAGTCGACTGCCTGTCTAGTACCATCGAACAAGAATCCAAGAAGGGCGTCAGACATGTGATGGAGCTTGCAGAATCAAATGAGACGATTGATCCACTTGGATTCGGTCGTTTTATATCAATGAATCTGATACCTGCTATTGCCTTTAATATTCCTAGTGCAAAGAATGTTGATGATCCCATGTTTAAAGAAATAGTGAAAATTGTAAAAAACAGCTCTTCTTACGGTGACTTCATGAACGGTATTAGATGTTTCCGGTTCTCAAGATCTCAGAAATATTATTCGGAAGGGATAGAAAGATGCAGAGATATGTTGATAAAGAACTGTTTCCCTTTATGAGGCAGATCATCAAAGATGCTCGTGAAAGTAGTGGTGATAGTTTAGTGAAGGAAATTGATAGTGTAAGAAAAGAATATGATATTGATGAAATGGGGATAATTGTTCTTATGGGTAAGTGGTAATAGAGAGCAAGATAGGTTTATTCTTTAACAAAACCAGGTGAAATCCTTCACGCAAGGTCTGACTCAGTAGACATAGCCACAGCATGGTCTATCAGCCTTCTTTGTAGCTATCTTGCTGTTCAATAAAAGGTGTATGAGGAAGTCAACGCGTTCATCAAAAGACATGAGCCTGACCCAACATTTGCTGATAGGGAGGAATTGCCTTATTTTATTGCATTTGAAAAGGAATGTATTAGATTCCGTGCTGTTGTAGATATAGGCTAGCCTCACAAAGTCTTGCAGGACTGTAAGCAGCTTGTAAATTTATGTCCATTAAATTTAAATTATTTTAGTTGTTTATAATGGCAGTATGATTCCTAAGGGCATCATAATATATGAGAATGTCAACAAGTTACACATTGATCCCAAGCTTTCAAGGATGCGACACAAATACTATGTATTCTTCTAGTAATGGCAACTATCAATCACGAAATCATTTCATGCTTGGATGGCGCAGGCGTATCTGTCCAGGCATTTATATGGCAAGCCTATTCTTATATCGTGAATGTCAATATTCAATGTCGAACCAATTTAGACCGAGATCGAATTATTTTACACCTTGATAAAGTTAGTCTCAAGATGTATTATTGAGTCTGAACTTTCACCAGATGGAGAGACTCTATTCTGATCTTCAACACAGCATTAGCACAGGCGTTAGTGTTATGTCTTTGCTTTTCAAGATTCGTTTGATCAAGCGTGATAATAACAATCAGTAAAATGGACGCGTCATAAAATAGCCAAGTAAATCTCACGGTTATTTTCAGCTTACACAAATGATATATTATAATTAGTACAAAAGAGGGAGATCTATCGACATATGGACTTGAATTAACGTCTTGTTCTATACTTTTATATGCTCATATATTATTTGAGATTCACGTAATGTGTGCTCTTTATATTCCATAAAAATAAAAGTCAAATATCACTTGGGTCGCATATTGAATAAAAAAATATAGCCCGGATTTTTTGTTTCTTTTTTCTTTTTAAATAAAATAACCATGTCAGCCAGAGATCAGATGCAATATGTAAAAGTAGTCATGATTCTATGTTCAAGTTTCTTTGCTTATGGGGTAAATGAAGAGAAAGAAAGAGTAGAGTAATTTGCTTACATGCTTTAAGTAGTCATTTTGGTCTGATTGGTCTTTTGATTACTACTTTTTATGGGCTAATCTATCAGAACACCCTAACGCTGTTTCAAGAGCGACAGTAAGAATGCATATATAATGTGTACAATGTAGTGATACTGATATCTTGTAGTTGTATTATACAAATCAATTGCATGCTCCCAATATTATCAAATATATTCCTTTTGCCAACTTGATGATTGCCGCTGTTGGATTTGCTGCTGGTTTGGCTAATATGACAGATGGAAACATTTTGTTTGATGGTGCTTCCTTAGGTAAGAGAATGTGTCATATTATTATTGTTATGTATGCTCATATGTTTTAGTATTGATGCTATTTGCTCTTTCGACTTATGCTTCATCTGTCAGACCTGGTATGAGTATATTTAAATATAATGAATATGTTCTTTTAACATTAAACCATATATGTAGCCATGAAGATCATTTCTGAAACAGTGGATGAAAAGGAAATCATTTCTAGTTTGAAGAATATTGCAGCTGCTCATTTCATTATCGTGTTGGCCATTACTGGCATCATCGGACTACAAATCACATATTATATTGTCACAAAAAGAGCGGATAATGCAGAATTAGCAGCTTTGAAGAAAGAAGCTGAAGTCAAAAAGACGAATTAATATCTCTATAATAAATAATGACAATAGTGTGTATGTCAATGTTTAAACCTTGCACCTTATAATAGTATAAAGTGTCTAAAAGAACATTATACCCATCAGTGAACTAAATTCAGTGTCTTTCATTGTTTAAGTCTGTTGAAAGACATTTTCATAGAGAACAGTGACGATGGAATATACTGATTGGACAATAATAATGTCACACCAATAGAAGCGTACTAATTGAAAGTGACTTTGCAAATAAAAAATTTTTTTTCTCTTACCTTTTGGCTGACATTATTGTTTTGTAATAACAAAAACTTTGTAAATCTCTACCTAAAATTTGATTTATTCTTTATGCTTTGTATTATTTATTTAGCTGTTTATTATACTTTTAAAATGAAAGAGAGTCAACTATTCTACAAGTTCTATCGTTCGTTTATTGGCTGTAGTACGTTTGACAAATATAAAAATTGATCAAATGTTACTACGAATTGTGACTTGTATTTTCATTTTTAAGTTTAAACTCAACTTTTGAAAAAGTATAAATAGAGCGAAAAAGTAAGCAAGATGGTTTTTTCTTTAGTGACCGTACTCTACAGGATCTGTATGCAGTACATCTCTATTCTACGTTTTCCAAACGAGATACAATTCCAAAGTTAGTCGATGATTGTTAGTAGCCCTTCTTTTGAGTGAAGTGTGTTGCGAACTATCTCTCTGAGTGGTTCACAGCAGTTGATGATCTCGCCTGTCTTTTATTCCAAGGACATGGCAGGGAAGGCGCTACAAGTCTGATAACTTTATCCTCTTTTTTATATTAATGAAAATGAAAAACAATTTGTATGTGTGCTTAACATACTATTTGTGAAGTGAAATAAATTATTTACTGCGTGATTTATTACGTTTTTGTGTCCTTTTTTGGTTTTGCCTACTCTCTAACGCACCTCACCGTTTTTTTTTCTCGAATATTTCAATTCATTGTCAGTCTATAACGGGAAATTTAGTTCAATTACTCAAAGGTGTCTGTCGATGCGCTGATAGGATGATAGTTTTGCATAAATATACTCTTCCATACTGATTCGTTTTTGACTGAATTTGAAGTTCAAAAATCGCAAAAGCCACAAATCGAGAGTTCCAGAAAGAGCTACCATCTTGAATAATATAACCAACTTTTTTTTCTATTCTTTTCTATTTTTCTCTTTTTTCTTTATTCATTAAAATAAAAATAAAATGTCTGACGATAACAAGAACTTGGCTTTGTCTGAAAAGGAACTTGGTAACCAAGCCTATAAGAAGCGTGATTTTGAAACTGCCCTTGCCCATTACGACAAAGCTTATGAATTGGATAATACCAACATTACTTTCTTGACAAACAAAGCTGGTAAGTGAAATATATGAGCAAGTTATAGGCCATGAGACTCATCTTTATTTAGCTGTTCTTTTTGAACAGGAGAGATATCAGGACTGCATCAAGGTGTGTGAAGACGCTATTGAACGCGGTCGCGAATTAAGATGTGATTATAAATTGATTGCCAGGTATATGTCAAAAGACATTATCAGAAAGGAGGATGAATTGACAATTATAACTTATAGAGCTCTTCAGAGAATTGGTAACGCTTATGCCAAATTGGACGATTTGGATGCTGCTATCAAATACTACGGTAAATCATTGACTGAACACCGTACTCCTGAGACACTTCAAAAGCTTCGTGACACTGAAAAGTTAAAGAAGGACAAGGAGAAGGCCGCATACTATAACCCTGAACTTGCTGACAAGGCAAGAGAAGAAGGCAACGCCTTATTCAAAGAAGGCAAATGGTACACAAAACCAAAAAGATGATGTAAAAAATCTAGTTAACCCGTTTGTATCCTTGTAGGCCTGAAGCTATTGAACGATATACCGAATCAATTAAACGTAACGATAAGGATGTTAGACCTTACTCCAACCGTGCTGCTTGTTATTTGAAATTGATGGCTGTTCATGAAGCTGAAAAGGATGCTGACAGATGTATTGAACTTGATCCTGCATTTGGTAAGTACACAAGTTATCATTATTATTATAGGTTTAATAACATTTTATAGTTCGTGGTTATATTCGTAAGGCTGCTGTTCAGCTTATTAAGAGAGAATTTACAGAAGCCATTGATACCCTAAAGTTGGCCCAAGAGCATGACAAGGACGGTAAATGCAACCGTGAAATTCAACAGCAATTGATGAAAGCTTACAGTGCTATGAACCCTACCGGTAACGGTGAATCTCAGGAAGAGGTTCTCAAGAGAGCCGCACAGGATCCTGAAGTTCAGCGTATTCTTTCTGACCCTGTTATGCAACAAATTCTTCAGCAAATGCAAGCAGACCCTAAAGCAGCCCAAGAACATTTGAAGAACCCTCAAGTTGCTGCTAATATTCGTAAATTGATGTCTGCTGGTATTATCCGTATGGCCTAAAGTGAATTTTTGTTTTTTTGTTTTGTATTCTTTCCATGTTATTTGTAATTGTAACAATTTCACACCCTCTCTCTCACTCACACACGCACTCACGTATAGCTAGTTTATTAAATAAATAAAAATGGGACAATTTATAAAACAAACAATGATAAAAATCAAAGACAAAACTTGCAATGTAAAGAAAGAGAGGGAGAAGAATGTCAATATTATTGTCATGCTTTCATCGTATGTCAACAGAATATATGCGTAAACAAAGCATGTGTTTATTTATGAAAACTACTACTTCTGAATGTCGCTCGAAGTAAAGTCATCGCACGACCTCTTTTTCTTTCACTGTTAGTTCTAGTCAAAGGTTTAGCTGTATCGGAACCAGCCTGATCAGCCTCGATACTTGTACTACATGGACTACTATGAGCGCGTTTCCTCTTTTTTAACTGAATCTTTTGTTGAAATCGAGTAGGAAATGATCGAACGGCATGCAAAAGGGGTATATTTTGACGACGAGATTGTTTTGTCATGATGTTATTGTCGTTAAGATGAGTTGTCGCGTTGTTATCTATTGACGATGATTTGATGTCTATGCTAGTGTTGTCTATATGATTTGTTGTTTTAATGGTGGATGATGAAGTGTCCTGTGGCTTTGTCGAATGTATGCTTTTCTTTTGTCTTTTAAGTCGTAATCGTCTTGGCCTTTCATGATCCTGCACAGACATTTTGCTGTAGACGATATAAATGATGGAGTAGAACCAATAAATATGAGAATGAAGTAGTGCGACAATAGAAAGGACACCGATGGTAGATAGGTTCTTTGTTTTCATAGGATTTATGAGAACTTGTTGCATTGGTAAATCAGATATCATTCTTGGTGAACGCATTTTATAAACATAAGAACAAAGAAAATTGAGAAAAAGAAAGAGGGAAAACGCTTATGCACGTTATTATGGCAGTTAATAAATAAAATAAAAGACCGAGCAACACAGAGACACCTAAAATGGTTAATAATCACACCATGGCCCGAGTGTAAGGTAAAGGTACGGTAAAGGGCCTTTCATGCCACGTTTTACAATAAGATATGTACTCTCTCTCTCATCTCTTTCATCCTTTCTACATTTTTTTCTATGTTGGGAGAAACCAAGTCAATTCGATGCATTAGGGCGATGTCCACCAAAAAGCCTAAATGTGCAGGAACAGATGTAAGTCACATAATTATTATCCTTCAAAAGGAACGACCTACAAGAAAGACCAAACTAGAATATCGAATGAAGCTTAAAAATGAATCTTCCTATCAAATGAGCACACCGTACTCGTCAAGTGATCTCTTGCAGGAACGAAGGACCATGAAATTTGAAGATATCAAGGTTGAATTGACTGATTTGAGATTGGGCAAATGGTGAAAGAGGAGAGCCTATCAAACACTGAGTCAAGCCAGATAAACCGATTGCCAGCGAAGACAATGCATCTTGAGACCTTGTTTATTTCCCGGAATCTGCAGCCACACATTTTGAATTCACGCACATTAAGACGCCCTTGATTTCTTGTGACACTTGTTTCTTCTTTGTTAATGGAGAAAAAAAGAAATCATCCGTTGTGGATAGACTTTGTGAAAGAAAAAGAACCTGACTTTTCACAAGAAGCGTCGCCATCAAAAAAGGATTCTACTGCGACCCCAGAAGAATGCAAATATAGAACTTGTTCTATATCTTTGAAAAAAAATAAGAAAAGACTTGCCTACAAACATAATAGATACAATAGACAACAAAATGAAAGAGTCCATGAGCAAAATAAGCGACTACCGCGCTAGATTCTTTTGAATTACGCATATGATGGCCTTGATACTAAAAAGCCATGTCTTTATCACAAGAAATGGCCAAGTGAAGCTATAAGAGTCACAAAGTTACGACATTCGCAAACTACTGCCGCCCAAGTTTGTTGAACACAATCAGATGGTACCAATTCTGTCGGCCTTGCCTCTTTCAATCCAAGCAATAGAATGTCATTCACAAAAGATTTCTTTGCTTTTTACAGAGCAACACTTAAAATTGATACATTCTTATTACTTTGGAGCGCAAGGCCCAAACCAAAAAAGCCAGGCAAAACACCCTGTTGAGAGTGCCATTTTTAATGAATTAAACTTCACGAAAAGCTCATATCATCAAAAAGAACTCCACAATGAAGAAATGATGATAGATTTGGCCTCTATAACCACAAATATCAAGAATATGTGGAGTGACAATACCATATTTAAAAACCTTCTAGATCATCTTTCGAATGTTTTATTAAAATTACACTTGGCTGAAAGCAGGGCTGCAGAATACAGCGAATATATCAAAAATATCAAAGAAAAAATCAAAATCGACAACAGTGGCAACATCATCAGTAAGCAATTCTTTTTCTACAATTGACCACAAACGACATGTTCTTCGCTCAGAATACAAAAAACTCGATATATTAGAAGATTAATTAGAGAATCTTGATGATGAAGATAAAAGGCAACGTTATATAAGAAGAATAACACGAGGTCATGGTAGAATAACGTATTTCAAAAGTTTACCAAAGAAAACAGTTTCGGTAGGATTTCGTACAAATACAAAGGGAATAGAAAATTAATTACTTATTTATGTAGTCTGATACTAGTGATATAGCAGCATATGAAGCCAGAAAGAAATATGAAGATGATGCCAGTAGAAGCCGTCTTGTTTAAAATCAGCTGCAAAACATCTTCTTTTTTCATCTTCCACAGATATCACTAGAAACGACATTCAACGGGAGCTACCAGATGCCACTGAAAAAGAGTTACAAACACTGACGTTAATAGCTCAAACATTACAGCCTTACATCTCTGATAAACAAAACCGCTTTGTTCTAGCGCATCAAATTCCCCTTTGTACCCTTGTAAACGTCATTCTGCGAGCGACAGGATACGTAAAATTTACTCGTCAGCTTTTTTCTCTACCATGCCTCTCGTATTTGAGCGTCTTACAAGTCAATGCACCATCCTTATCTCAAATGATGACATCAGGCCCAGATGCATTGCCTATCTCAGATTTTAACCAAAAGGTAATCGATTCGATCGAATACGCTCGATCTAACAAGGACACAGTATTCTGTTCCATCTTTCCTTTCCATGTAATCAGTCATTATATTTTTTTTTCCAAACCTGTTAACTCAGCTGCCGTCGATATTGCTCCTCTTGGTAAACTGGCTGTTTCTTCCAACTTTGCCAGAAGCTTTCTTAATTCGTTATCCAATGATACTCTTTCTTTTCTCTGTATTATCCTCATAATACTATTGTTAAGAAAGTTTCGCATAGAATCATCAAAGCACTTTCTGTACTGTGGGTCGTTATTGTGATGAATCTTTGTCCGCTTGGTAATTGATGGTCTTTTCTCAGTCAACTTTCACTTACCAAGTACTGGAGCAGATGTATAAATAAACGCTGTGAACTTGGTTTTTTTGTTTTGCTTTAAAATTAGGCATGCTATTATCGAAAATAAGCTTTTTGACCTTTAAATCTCAATCAATTGTACATGCTTTTATTATTTAAGCGAAAGAAGATAGCACAATTTGATTCTGAAAAACATTCGGCATCTACAGTGGCTTTGAAAACATCGTGGCTTTACTGATTAATGACAGAAATATCAAGTAAACATCAAGCTGACAACAATTTCATAAACAACAGCACGCCGATTTTCAGCGAGAAAGAAACCCAAGCTATAGGCCATCTTTTCGGAAAGGTATGCTTTTTCGCTATTTACAAAATACGAGTCGAGTTACATCTTGCCTGGAAAAGCAAAGGCTCCGGAGAGCACTATCAATGTGGTTGCCTCTCACGGTTAAATTTTGGGCTTCCTTGTCAACACATGATGAAAACTGATGGACCTGCTGTGGATTTCCATGACATACCCAATAGATGGCTTTTAGACTACGATAAAGGTATTTGTTGATCACAAAAATAATATTCTTATTTACACGAGCTTGCGGTTATGAAGTAGATCAAATGAAGACTGAAGGGTCAGAAGAAGCAGTCCAGAGGAAGAAGATTTCCTTTAATGAGAAACTTCGGGAAAAGCTTTCCCTCTTACAGAATGATCAACAAAGAGAAGATTTACTTGATGATCTGACAAGATCATTAGAGAAGTATAAAGCAGCAAGAATAGATGATATTGATTATGTAGCTGCAGCTATCGTTAAAGGTCGCACGAAATCAACAACGGGAAAAAGGTTGCTCTCCAGTTTTGAAATAGCTGAAAAAGAAGCTAAGAAAAGCGAAACTGCTTTATCGAGAACAGGCAGCAAGCAACATATTTCCCAGCACGGTACCATTGATTACGTCTGGCCATTCAAAAGAGATTTAGAAGACAGAATCGTTAACAACGAAAAGAAAAAGTATTGTAAAAGCAAAGCTTCACTGTCGCTAAAATATTGACTATTTGCAATAGGAAGAAATATGATGATGAAAACTCTTTTGAATTTTTTGTGCATCCTGAAATTCCTAGAGAATGTATCCCTGAAACAGTAGACGTAGGTGCAGATGGGTTTTGTGGATTCAGGTCCCTGGCAACAAACATCAAAGGCAATCAAGACATTTTGGGATGTTAAGCGGGATATGCTTCAATGTTATTATAAGAACAGAGACATATATTTAAAATACTTCGCAACAATGTTTGATCTTGAAAGACTTGAAAGATCTGTCTCGTTTGGACTTGAAGCCGTAGACAGTGGAAGAAAAGTAAGCTTTTGCCCACTCGAGTATTGGTTCAGTACGCCACAATGCGCACAACTTGCAGCGGATACTTATAGAATCCCAATTGCAGTTTATCCATGCAACGTAACATTACTGCCCAACGGTAACTTTACCGAGCCTCCGCTTTTATACTTGCCATTTGAAGGCCCAAAAGACAAAAAAAAAACATACCACAGCCATTAGTTTTACAGCATGTCGGAGGCTGTCACTGGGGAACAGTCAAAGTTAGTAGAAAGCTCAAGATGGAATGGCCAATAATAGATGGAGGAGTAATTACAGCATGTATGAAAATGGGACAAAAACAAAGCCTCAGAAAGAATATATGGAGGGCATTGTCTATAAAAAAAGCTGAAGAGAAAGCGAGTGATATTATAACCATTGAAGACTAGAAAATAAAATACGTATATTCCGTATCCCTTCAACCAAAATCATGTAAATCTGAATATATGCGTATGGTATAATAGGAAAATAATACCGCTTTAAGACACAAGGGTAGCATTAAGCCTAGTCAGGAAATGCTAAGTAAAGAGCTAAGTAAACGGCTATGTACTGTTTACTCTTATTCAAAAAAAAAACTTCCTATTTAGGCGGGACACGCAAAAATACACATTCCTATTTTGGGGGATGCTCTATTTTATTTCCTTTCTTGACGGGACACGCAAAAGTTTAAAGCTCAAGCAGTGCGAAGAAGTAGCGGAGACCAGAACTTGGTATACGGTTACATAATTTGCGTGTCCCTAGTAATTCCCAGAAAAATAATATATCAAAGTACTTTTCAATATCCCATATGACTGCTAAAATCCTAGTAATTTTAAAGCTACCAGATAGCCACCATCGGAATCTGAAACGGATAAATATACCTTCCAGTTCTTATTGAGAAACTGGAGACTTGAATGCCGATTATTATAAGCTTTGTTGAATTATCGTCGTGTATCTTTACGATGACTAAATCCATTACACTGAGAAGACACATCTGTAAGGTCTGCGATGTTAGAGCGCTTTTTTTTCAGTATGAGCATGAAGGGAAGTAATACGAGAGCAGACTTTTAAGCAGTTTACAAGGATTGACTGTATTTGTGTTGCAAGAATCGACTCAGGGAGCAATTACACGGATGCAGCTTTACTATAATGCCTTCTATCCCGGCTTGTATTGTGGTTAATGTGATTTTCATCTAAAGGCACAAATGAGTCTACAAATAACTGATTTTTATGTGATATGACTATGTGGCAGAGCACTCTATTTGATATGATCGTTTTCATGCTCATTTTGCTTTTCACAAAACGCGATTTTCAGAGCTTTACTTGAGAATTGCTCTTGTAACTCCAATGATCATCTTATTGTGCTAATGGATGAAAAAATGTGGCAAACGAACTTTATCTTGTTCACTGCCATAGTTGACTGGTTGATAGCCAGGCAATTGTATTATACGGCAGACTATATCGACACCCAACACGGACAATTGCAAATTGTAAAGTCACCAACTTGGTCTGTTTCTTTTTAAGAAGAGATAAAAAAGAAATAATGTTATTTCTGTATTCTAATTTTATGTTGTCAGTTTGATTAACAAAGATTCAAGAGCACGCGTAATTATGATATATTCGTATTTTATATCAAAGAATATTCCACTGGAAAGCCTTTGGTTAGGCAGAGAATTTGGTAGTGTGAAGTTGTAAATTGATGTCACAGGTAGTGCATAGCGCTGGCCTTCTCGTACACTTGGTGTTCACTCAAAAATGCAACACATTTTGACTAGCTTGTTATCTTTTTACTTTATTTCAGTTCTCACTCATAAAAATAAAGATAAAAAAAAAGCTATTTTATTACAAGATTTTAATATTTGCCTGAACACAGGCGTGGTTTTCTATTTTAAGATGTATCTCAAAATGGAAGAAAATGAACTGTTTGTGACAGCGCATTATTGGTGTCCACCAACGAGTGGTTGTATTAATAATGAGCCTTTACTTTTTTTTTCTTTCGATTTACACTTCTGCTAAACATGTTAGATCAAGTACATGATGACGATGTATGGGCTGACAGTGACGGAGAAAGTAACTTGATCTATGAAAGAAGCCTTGCTGAAAAAGAATGGGAACGATTACAAGAAGATCATGGCAATGTAAAGTTTTTAAAAAGACATTTAAATGATTCAAGCTCACATTTGTGTTTAGTCAGGATATAAGGAAGGAATTGTTGAGGGAAAAGAAGTTAATATGCAAAGAGGCTTTGATGAAGGTTACAAAGAGGGATTGTTTGTAGGAAAAGCTATAGGTAAACTTCGTGGACTTGTCAAGTAAGTCAAATAATAGCAAAAAGAAAGGAGAGAAACATTTGGTTGAACTGTTAAATAGTACACGAATCATATTCTACCAAAAGTTGTTAAAAAATGAAGAAGCAGCCAAAGAATTAGAATCTTTGCTTAATGAAATTGAAAGCGTCGAAGTCAATCATATCTATACTGCTGACTACTTTAGAAAGAATGGACCTAAAGATAGAGATGGATATGTTGCGCCTGAGGAGTTTGTGAGAAAACTGCAAGATAAAGTCAATGCTCAATTACAGATTGTTTCGGAAAAGCTTAGTAAACGATACTGAAAAGGTTGAGAGAATAGGAAAACTCTCCAAGAGAAAGAAGAGAAAGAAAAAAAGGGGACTATCGCGCAAGAAGAGAAAAAGAGAAAGGAAGAGAGAGGAAGTCAACGTTAGTATTTGATTTTATCATTTATATTTGATTGGTTCACATACAAGCAGAACTTGTAATAAAGTATCCAAGATAATCTTTTTAATGACTCGGGTACCAAATAATAGTATTAAGGCACATCTTTTGATTGGCTCAATCTTGCAAACAGCTAAAAACGTTAGTATACCTTTGATTATCCCAATTGCATGTGTGTTTATGAGAAATACGGGTATCTTTGGGATATGATGATAGCTTGCTGTATAAATACCTATTATGATAACGGTTTGATTAATAATCACTGTTGCTTGGCATAAACAGGACTGATTTTTCCATGCCAAGACCTAATATGCTCCAAGATACAAAACAAAACACCAAGAATATAGTATGCATTACCCCCCTGCTCCTTATTCAAACACTATTAGACAGAAACATTTAGAATAAAGAAAAGAGGTAGGTTTATTTCAATAATTTCAAAAAGCTACAAGATAGCTAATAAATAGATGTGTAAGAATATTCGTTGTACAAAACAATAAATAATGGATCTGTGTCTTCAGATAGACAGCCATACAGGATATATATAAAATGGGATCTCGATTAATCAAGTTAATCATTGATATTTGTGAGCATATCTTGATGCATTTGGCGTCGTTGCTGTTTCTGACCAAGAGATGTTTTCTTATAAGTTTGATGTGTTTAACAGATTTGATGTATACGCTTGATCCATTGACTTATTATCGATAAGATGGACAATCACCTTCGTGACAGAATATAGTCACGTCCACTCCACACTTGGGACAGAATGAGTAAGATTCGAATTGAAGAGAGAGAACTGTATCAATCAAGTTCATTTTGTGTAAAATATATAAAGAAAAAAGAAGAAGAAAAAAAGGGGATCAAGCAGAGAGTATATAAGTATTTTTTTTGGTTCCTGGACTGCGGAACTTGGTTTGTACTATTTGACTGCGCATATTCACAGTTCTTCTTTCTTTCACGAATTGTCCAATTAAAGATAATCTTGGATATTTTATTTTTTCCTTTCTTGTATCTTGTTGGTGTCAACAACAGGTACGCCGCGTGGTTTAGGTTTAATGCCGGCCTATTTTGATCTATTGAACCGCAGTCATTGGTATCCATGACAACTCCATAAGCAATTGTCTGACATTAAACATAGCCACGTGGCGTACCTATTGTTGACACTATCAAAAAAGGTTTATTTAGTTTTCAAAGTGATAAACATGTTACATAGACGATCTTGTTGATGTTGTCAATCTTTACTTATTTCGTTCAATGTTTAGAAACAAGTAGAAAAACAAGAGAGATGACATAATTAATTTATTTGGGCATAAAGTGCTTAGCTTTTTATGATTTGTGTTTACATTAATTGCATGCTGACCATCTAATGTAATGAATGTAACGTATGTATTGTAGAGTACAGAGCTTTTTGACAATTGAGGACGAACTACATAGAGGAGAGGCTGAAAGGATCATAATCGCGCCTAGGATCACTCGATCAATGGTAGTGTCCATATCGATGATGTCATAGCGTCTTCATTCCGTGCTTTATCGAGTAGAACAATCAAGACTATAGGAGAGCATTTGTCAAGGCGCTTTTGCTCATGCAAATCTTTAGCTGCATAATCTAGACATATCTCAGCTGTTGTCTTTTTTAAGTTAACTGACCATGATGAAGATGAAAGGGTTAATGATGAGGCTGGTCGATTTGATACTTGAGTTAAACCGTTGTACCTGCCTTAATAATTAGACATTATCATAATAAAATGATTGTAGAATCTGCTCAGCTTGGAATAGCGCTGTTTTTGCAAAGTAGTCGGAGCCCCGGAACGTCACGTTTCTCATGACTCATGCTGATGCTTTAAAGGAGGATACAGAGAGCTTAGATAAAATGCTATTCCTATGATTAAGTCTTATGCAAAATAAGTGCTTGTCATTTGTTTAATTACTTGTTATCAGTCTGGACATTGATTTTTTCTATGCTTGAACCAGGCTAAGCTTTTAGCTGTGCTTCAAAAAGTCTGCTGTTAATTTTTATTGGGCGGAATTTGAAGAAGTAAGTTTGATAGACGTTTCCTTTTTGGGAAAAAACAATGCCCTTTGCTGAGTTTTTACAGCTATTTCAAAAAGTAGAGTACAGATTTTTAACCTAAAACGAGATACGTTGAGCATAAGAATTAGATTAATCAAAAATCAAGTGGAGACAACAACACAAAGAATTAGAAATAAGTTAATATAATAAATTGGACAAAGTAAAACTAATGCAAAGACACTTAAATTGTTAACAAACATGCCCCTAAAAATCAAAATTTTCACTAAAGGGAATAACCGTGTTTAATACGGCGATTGGATTACAAAATAGTTATCTCTTGAACAGAGCAGGGAAGGTCTTCACCTGCTACCATACGTTCAGAAAGGTTGTATATGTTCTTTGATGCGTTGAGGCCTCTGTTCCATATCATTCCATAAATTTGGCAGATTAGAGCACTGCGAAGGACACTTGGTTGCAGTAATGCCATATTTATTGTAACAATATAGGAAAAAGTCAGTTTTTTTCAGTGGATTAGTTTACAAACAAGACAGATGCTGGGTATCTTAACTCATATACTAGACACACATGAAATCTTTATCTTTCAAAGACATTCACTATTCTCTTGTCTCTTGTGACCTTACGAAACTTAAACATAGGTTCTGTAGAAATATTCCTGGAAACCTTTGGTTCAATCTGTTGGTTAGTTGTTCGTCTGACTTCTTGCCATTAATGATTGCCGACTCCAATTTCCGAAAATAGTTTATCCTTTTTCTTGTCTTATTGTGCTTTCCCTATCTTCGTTTTCATAATATACCGTTACTTCTATTCTTGTCCTTTACCTGAAGATACTGTGTGATCTTTTTCGATACCTCCGTTAGAGGTCGAATGACCACTCAGCTTCTACTTGCATTTTCGGATATTAAAAAACTGTATCTAGATCGCGTGGCCGCATACTCCAACTTTGATGTGTGACAAAGAGTTGACTTTTATAGAAAGCATGAATAAGGGTTTCTTTTTTTAAAAGTACATCGTTTGATAAAAGAAACAGTTTCAAAAATGTAAAGAAAATTAAAACAAATGTGTACTTTTTGAAAAGAATCTTGAACCTAAACTAAAAATCAATTATCTCCGCTTACCATTGCTTTTACGTGTCAGGAAAGTTCAGCAAAAGAGAGATAAAGGGAGGGGAACAGCAAGGAGATATAGAGTAAGAGATTGAAAGAAAGGGAGATATTATCCCTTGACTATAAAAATATATGAACACTCTCTTTTTCAAAAGGCTCCTAATTATGGTACTTTTTATTTTTTTTGCTGGCTATTTTACCCACATTTGCTTTAAATTATGGTGACTTGTGTGACCCTAGCCCTGTATATTCGTAAAAGACACGAAGTTACAAATAGAAGCAGACTTACTTAATAAAAAGCATAGAGCAACGTGGAAATATTCCGACTCTTGTGCCAATGTTTGCCTATTCTGTGACTCAAGTAGAAACAATACATGTAATGACACTGGTTGTTCTAATAGTGACTATATTCATGGATAAAGCTTCACTATATGTAGATGATAGTTCTTTTTCTTATCTATCTTAGATGGGATGAATTAGCTCATTCGTTTCCAGAGCGATGTAATAATGACAGCTATTGCCCTGACAACGGGTCTCGATGTATGCCTCTTATTCCCGTGGATGGTCCTTGCGAGCTAGTAAGGTGATCTCTCATAAAGATGATATGCTTATATTTTCCTATAGCAACGTGATGATGAGTGTACAGGAAAAGAGGCCATCTGTTTAAACTCGACTTGCTTTATAAAAGGCGTACCCTTAGGAGGTAATTGTGGCTCAGATAGGTAAATAAGAAAAAAAAAAGTTGATTTATGCGCCATTTTAATTTTTTTTTAAAAAATAGGACAGATTATATATCTTATGATGCAGGAGGATTTACTATTAAACAGACGATTATAAGAGATAATTGTACAGAAGAAACATATTGTGATTACTTTGTGTGCATAAAATCCAAGGAGATAGGGAGCAACTGTTGGCAAGACAGAGAGTGTCTATCAGGCACATGTAGTGATGAAGGTGTTTGTATAACTGGACCAGGTGTATTTCATACTATTGCCAATTGGTTATGGGCCGTGGTCGGATGCAGTGTATGTGCATTCGTGATCGTGACCTTGGGCGTACTTTGGTTATTACATAGATACCAAAGAAGGATTGAACAAGAAAAGTATGTTAAATTCTTTGGTGACAATGATAAATTTCTTAAAAAGTATCAACTAAGTAATTCAAGCGTAGTCTATCTGACTACGCCAGATTATAAAGAATCAGCAGTACTTAGTAACAATTACTTGTCTTGACGTTGATCCCTTTTTTATATTTTTTATATAAATATTTTTTCCTTTTCCGATCATTTACACACATTCTATTTTCTTATTAAAAAAGTTTCGCTTTTTATTTTATATTCCTTTTCTTCCCTTCTTTTTAAAAAAAGAAAAATGATGTTACCCCAATTTGGATTTATTGTAGCTCAAGCAGGGGCGGATTCTCATACAACACCACCGCCTACGACAACATCATCAGCAACAACAAATGGCTCTTCTTTGGCCCCTTTATTAACTAGTTCACACAAACCAGCCATGTTTACAACTCAAGCGCCCTTCTATTCACGTCAACCTTCACCTGCACCAACCAATAATAACACCGCTCTTTTACCCCCACTCTTACCTCCACCCGTTCCCTATTTGTATAACAAACTAGATCATCCTTGGTATTCCCAACAGCAACAACAGAACCTACCTCCACCTCCACCCATCTCAAGTTTCTCTCGATATGCACCGCAACCGCAACCGCAACCACAACCGCAACAACCACAGCCGGCGACGTCTGTTTCAAGCGTACAGAGACAAGAAATAATAGAGGAAGAAGAAGAAGAGGAAGAGGAAGAAGAACTGTTAGACAGATGGCAGGGTAATAGCTTATAACTTTTTATAAAATACACATATGCTCAATATATGTAGGCCAGTATAATGATTTGATCACTTGGATGGATAATGAGTTTTGGGAACAAGCAGATGAGTAAAGTGATATGATTGGCACGTGCGTTTATTGAATTTAAACTCAATTTTATTCTACACTGTTAGCATCTATCAAGAAAAAATAAACAATCTGCAGCAAGAGTTTTACAACCTGCAGAAAGGTAAAGGAGCTTTGATGTAATTATACAAGATATTAACTTATAATAGGGACACATACCGTCTATCAAGAAATGATTGCAGACTTTGAATTAGAGAGAGAGAAGACAATTACGAACGCTGAATACATGATGAAATATGAATTATCTTTTATTGAACGTTATTTTAATAAGGACGTTATGACCTTGGAAGAAGAATATGAGGTAAGCATAGTTGAGTTTATACTATGTAAGCTAATCCCATTGTAGGCTGAGAAAAGGCAAATTGAAGAAAGTTTAATTGCTTCTCTGGAAGACAAGCGGAGGCAAATCAAAGAGGATCATGAACAAGGTAGTACGAAACCTTAATCCGATGACTGGCACTGACCCTTCTCTTAGATGAAGCAAGAACGATCAAACGTAATCTAAGAAAAAGAAATCACGATTCACTGAGTACATCAAGTTCAATAAAAGAACCTTCTTCCAAAAAACGTGCAGGTATGTTTATTGTTTCCTGTATGTATATTTATACATATACTCATTTGCTTTTAGTGCGCCCAAGTACATTACCTAATCTATATACAATATCAGCAATTGAAGAAGAAGAACTAGAAAATGAATTTTTAAGTATGAAAAAGCTGGTGAATATTTATTCTCGGTGATTATTACTACACAAGTAACATCGTCGTCATCATCATTGTTAATAATACAACCATAATAATAATACTACTACTGCCACTATACTTATTATTAATAAAGGGTATCATGCATTCAACAGTGGCGTACGTTCATTTGGTCTCGATTTAGATATATCATTGACTTTTTGACAGATATCAAACTTACAGATTGGACACTACCAAGCCATTATTATCACCGTTACCTATTTTTAATTTGAACTTACAAATTTTTTGTGTGACGTAAGCCACGCATCTACACATTTAGCATGAAACTCATGCTTACAAGGTAGAACTCTTAGTTTATCTCCTTCTAAATAATCCTCTAAACATATCGCACAGTCCATGTGATCTGTATCTGTCACTTTTTCTCTTCGAAACACATAGGTTGGTAACTTGGCAACGAGTTGAGTAGGTGCCATGTCATTTTGTTTATGTTGTCTTTGCCTTAATTGCCATGTTAAATAAACAAAGAGCATCATGACAGCAGGTGATAAAACAACAATCAGCAACATATCCAAGAGTGGCCTATTAGACATATGTAAGCTGATATCACGCCTTATAGATATAAAACATACCATGTTAAAAGATCGTCGCCCGTTATTTCCGCCAGTAGTGAATTGTTTCTGGATTCAAGTAATTCCAACAACATCCTATATGGATATTGTGCTACGAATACACTTGGTATATGAACGCTCAGGGTATCACCTATCTTTTTTATCAATTTTTTGCCCTTGTTTACTTTCGATTTTACTACCTGGTGCATACATAGTCACCCATCTGTTGAGGTACTTATCACCTACAACAACTGCAATAGCTCCACTGGCTTGCATTGATTGAACCTTTTGTAAGAAAGAGCACTGTCCTCGTTCTATGACGGCAATCCAATTTTCTTTCATTTCAGTTACAGCAGAACAGCCGTAGATATCATGCATTGGCATCGAAAGATAACCTATGATGGGCTGTTCTATCCTAGGCCCAAATGCTGCTAAACGGTCAGCCAGGGTATCATTCGTTGCCTATAGAAAGAGCATGAATTATATATGTTTAATATCTAAAAAAAAGTTACAAGAATGGTAATAGCAGCATGACATTGTCGCAGCGATAAAATAAAAAGTAATAAACAGCTAAAGAGGAATCTCATTGCAGTTGGGAAAAAGAAGAAGAAGAAAAAAAAAAAAAAAAGAAAAAAGAGAAAAAAGAAGAGAGAGGAAATAATAATAATAATAAAAAAAATCAAAATAGTAAATAATAAATCAATAATAAATCTGGTGATTTGACAATAGTTCACATCCACTGCATATGTTTATACACTCACCGACTTTTTTTTTAAAAAAAAGCTTGGGTTTATGCGGTTGCAGGAGTTCTATAGGAAAGGAATTTTTATGTTGGGAGCATTAAAGGACGGCTTATTTTTAATTGGATGAGTCTATTTGTTTTTGATCCAGTAGAGAGAAACCAAGAACAGCAACCTTTTACTTTGCATAATAAAGAGCTTATATTGTCAAAGACTACAAATGTCTTGTTGAACAAAGCAGGAATGTCTGTCATCGTACAGATTCAATATGCTGCACAGTACTATTCTGACCTGACCCTAATGGGCACCTTGAAGGGCTTCTATAAATTCTTTTAATAACCCTGATTTCCAATATGGACATTCTACTGGATGATCGACACAAAAAATCATATTACAGCTGGCTATATATTATTATGCGCAATCTATACTCAAATGTTCAGAATTGATAACATTTGATGAATATATCTTATAACAGCACTTTAGGATATATCAGCTGATGAGCTCTAGCGGGTATGTGTGAAAAATGACGGTATTTATTATCATGAAATAGAGGCAATCTGCTTCCTGGATGTTTCTATCTTTTCTGCTGAACTGTAATGCTGACCTATTGATATAAAAGTACATCAACCTTTTATATTCATCGTATTATATAATATTACCTTTCTTTTCTGCTTCTTCCTGTTCTCTTATATAATATGTTCTATCCCACTCAATTGCCGCTGTCTGTACAAAGATAATCGTGCCTGATACCCTCAGAATACTTATACTACACGGCACAGAAGCTATCTTGTTCATATAAAACATAGTCGATAGATACATGTTTGTATAATCTCTAGGAATACGCATAATGCCAATCCTTGTATCTGGGTTATACCATTTGACTGTATATTTTTATTAATGTATATGTTATATATATATTAACATTGAGTCACTGTATACCTGCTACACTGCCAAGTCCTTTACCGAATTGTCCATAGTAGATCTCGATTTGATTATAGATTGCTCGACTGATCATTTGATCATTTAATTTCAAACTGGCTCTTGGATAAACTATTTGACCATTTTCAATCACTGGATCTTGATTAACTTGAAACAGAATCCAGCGATGCTTAAATCGAACCATATTATTGAGAGTAAGAGAGAATGGAAGAGAGAAAAAAAAATGACTGCAGGCATTATTAACTCCGGTTAAAGCAGATTTAGCTAAAACAACATTTCTTTTGTTAAGCAATCATGCCAAATGACAAACCACTCATCAAGCTTTCTGTCAAGAATTGGGCAAGAGAACAAAGAATGGCTATTGCACGAGCGACTGGTCAAGCATTGACAAACTGTGCGATGGGCGAGCCTTGGTCTACTGATTACTGGAACAAACTACTTTCCTATCTAGACTTGACACAAAAACAACTATGTAAAAAAAAAAAAAGAGAACATTAAAAAGAGATCACTTATATTTAATTAGGCGTCCTCACTCTTGACCAAGCTATAGACACGCTATCCAGTCAGAAAGACATACGCATCGACGTCATGCTTGATCTTGTCGCCTTGTCTATCTACGGTCATCAAAAGGCAGAGATGTATTATGATGCGAGAGCCAGGAATCTATTGCTTGAACTTGAACGTCTCTTACAATTATCATGTGGTGATCTCAATGCAGTCGAACGCAGTGTCTCTCAGCAAATGTACTATGCTCTACAGGAACAGCAGTCGTCTTCACACACTGATAACATGGGTGCCTCTGCCAAGAAGGCCGTACAAGAGGGTAATAAGAAGCAACAGGCATTACGTTGGGTTGCTACTGGTGCAGGTATCTTGGGTGGCGGTGCAGTGATTGCCCTTACAGGTGGGTTGGCCGCTCCCCTCCTGGCGCCACTGCTGGTAGGTGTCACAGGCGCTGGTTTCTTTGCAACCGCCGGTGGTGTGGCTCTTATCACCAGCCTCTTTGGTCTTACAGGTGGTGGATTGGCCGGATGGAAGATGCATCGTCGCATGAAGGGGATTGACGAGTTCGAGTTTCAGCAAATACTCAGAGATCCTGATTTGCCTCCTATTCCTAGCTTGCACTGTACCATTTGTATATCTGGCTTCTTGCTTGAATCAGCAAATGAAACCAAGGTACGTGACGCAATACGTTTATGTAATCAGCACTTACAAAATGAAAAAGGCTCCTTGGGAACACGCGTTTGAAGGAAAGCATGGGAGTGGTAGTGATATCTATTGCTTAAAGTATGAGAAAAAGGAGCTACATGACCTAGGATACTCTTTCAAGAGATTCGTTAAAGACTCAGCTATCAAGTACGCTGGCATGGAAGTAGCCAAATCAACCGTTCTCCATGCATTTTTCGGTAAGTATTGAGATACTGTGTGCAGGATCTAACAACAAATGTAGCCGCTGTTGCTCTACCTGCAACCATCTTGAAAATGGCAGATGTTATAGATAACCCTTGGCAGATCGCAGTAGACCGATCAAGAAAGGCCGGGGCAGGTAAAGGAAATAGAAAACATAGAAATGTCAAAAACTCACTGCTTTAAGTCTTGGCCGATGTTTTACAACAAAGGGTGCATGGAAACCGCCCTTGCAGCCTGATAGCTTACAGCTGTGGATGTCTTGTCATCTGGCACTGTCTTCTTGAGCTCTACCAAAGAGGCTGCATAGGCATCGTGAACCATGTCGTGCTTATGGGAGCACCTTTATCTACAGAGGATGAGCAGGAATGGCTACAGGTTCAATCGATCGTGTCAGGACGTTTTGTCAACTGTTACACTTCAAACGATTGGGTCCTGGCTTATGTTTACAGGCTACATTCGCTGGCTACTAGTGTAGCTGGACTGGAAGCTGTGAAAATTGGTCGGATTGAAAATTTAGAAATACCAGAGCTAGATGGCCATACAAAATACCCATACATCGTAAAGGATGTGCTTGATCAAATCAAACTGGAATAAAAAGAAATGAAGCGTTTGTTGTACATGAATCTATTGCTATATACGAAGAAATAAAGTAATATTTTAACATGCTTCATTTTCTGGTATCTGAACAGATCTTTTTCGCTTAAGAGCTTGATGTCTTTTCTTACGTATCCATCGCTTTCTTTCCTCAGGTGTCAGTAATTGCCAATGCTGAGCATCATCTAATAACATCCAGTCATACATAACGGTATCTTGATCTTGTTCCTTGAGTACATCAAAAAACAAGCCTTTTATCCAGTCATAATCCGGGTCCTCCTCAAAATCAAGCTGTCGTACGTAACGTAAATACTTTGCAAACTGATCTGGATGCAGCAATTAAAAAAAGGTAAGAATAGAGAGAGAAGGGGTAAAACCAACTCACATTGTCTTACCGGGGTATCCTTCACAAAGTGCTTGCACGCCTGTCACTCTTTTGGTCTCTCCAATCTTTTCATACTTTTGTCTATTTGTTGGTGCCTTTAGTCCCTGCCATGGAAGTGATCCACGTAAGAAGTACATAAAGACATGACCCAAAGCCTCTAGGTCATCACGACGTGATTGCTCTAACAAAAGTTAGCTAGTTATGACGCGTATGATTCCTTTACCTCTTCCGAGATGCGTATTGATGCTCATATAACGAGCTGTTCCTGTCAGATTCTTTCCCTCTCTATAGGGTATATGTTGATTTGTCCGAGGGCGTTTGTATAATTTAGCCATACCAAAGTCAATGAGATAAATGTCGTTTTCATGCTTCGTGTTTGGTCTGCCCAAAAGAAAATTATCTGGTTTGACGTCTCGATAAATCAACCCTTTCTCATGAACTGATTGCATCAAATTGACCTGTATCAAGAAAAAAAAAAGAGAGTTATTAAATCTAGTAGCTGAATACTTTTTAATACCATTTGAATAGCCAAAATGGCCACTGTCTTGATTGAGAACTTTCTTTCACACATATCAAACATATCCTCAAGGCTTGGACCCAGTAGATCGATGACCAGGATATTGTGCGTCTTTTCATTCCCAAAATAATACGCATTTGGTATTCCGGCTAAAAGATGAAAATACTTTTTCTTTCAGTACTGAATAATGCAGCACATCAAGCGCGTACGCAACGAACCTGTTCCAGCCAATATTTTATATGCTCTGTATTCATCCTTTAGTTGCGGCGCCTCGCAGTCCCTTGGTTCAAACTTTATTGCGACCTTTTCATTATTCAGCAAGTTGAGGCCTATATTATAATTTAATACGTACAACTCATAATCAAAAGTCTTTATGCTTTCCTTCATATATTATGCCAAAACTTCCTTCTCCTACTTTTTTGCCTACTTTGTACTGAATTCCTACAATGCTATTTTCGAGCATGTCTGGCTCTTTGTGAGCAAGTACAATCTGTTGGGTCATTTATGCAATCAAGAAAAACCTAGAAAAATTAAGAAACTTTTTTAATAAATACATCATTTCCAGAAATAGATTGCACAACTGCAAAAATTCTTTACACACACACATATTAAAAAAGGTTGCATAATAACCTGAAATTTCAAGCAATCTGATTGGTTTACTGGGGCTGATATACCACATTGCCACTCTGCCTCCTTGACAAGATGACAGTAGGGACTAAACTAGCGTACCTGAAACGATAGTGTTCTTCCTTTCTGTTTATTGTAAAAAGTATAAATATACTTTTAGCAACGTTTCTTGTTCAAAAAGTAATCTGATGTAGAAAAGGTGTTGTAAATGTGTGTGCTTGAAAAAATAGAACTGAAAAAGACTTTGATGTCAAGTTGTCTAACGTGCCATCAGACATCTCCAGCCATCTCAAGCAACAAGCCAAGCTTGCATTCTGATGACGTATCAAAGCCTCATGTGTTAATGGACACCATGATTGGCGATGTTGATAGTATCGCTAATCTTGAATACGAGAAATATTAAAGAAATAGAGACGAACAGAAAAGCAATCTTTGATTCGTACATTGGGTGGAATATTGCCTTTATCTAGTAAAAGTTACTCGAATTGTCGCTCAAGTTGCAGAATACGTTGGCCGAACAAGAAAAGGCGATGGAAGATTTGCTGCTTGAACGCGTAGGCTTGAAGCAAGTTGACCCCAAAAATGCAATAGAAGAAAAGCTATGAATAAACAGTGAAAGCTGCAGCCTCTTTATATGCGGTGATGCAAAACTAAGCCCTTTTTTGAGCGCGTAACGTTCAGTTTACATTGCTTTCTTCTTATTATTGCTTTTTATTTAAAATAGAGCTCTTTTTTAATCCTTGCCCAACATATGCTTAATAGACTCTATCATCATTCGAGGATTGACTTCATTGATATCTGAAGTCACAAAGGTACGAGAAATGAATTCGAGATCTTCAAAATGTCTGTGCTCATCTGTACTTTCTATCCTATCAATCTTTTCTCCTTTTGCATATTTTTCCGACAACAACAGGGCTGTATGAAGTGTTAATGTGGAATCTAACGTTTGGTTTAACTATACCTCTTTCGGTAATCGATATAGGTAGACCAGCAATGCCAGCGCACCATATGCCAAAAGATGAAAGATAGCTGATGCCAGGTACAATGCGGTATAAGAAGACAGCTTCATCTTTTTTAGGTTCGCCTTCGATTTCACTTAATTCTTGATACAGAATCTCTGTTTGTGATAGCGTAATGCGATCTTGGGTTGACAGAATATTTTGACTTATGACATCTACATGCAGTGCGTCTGTATTTGCTTTAAAAATAAAGATTACATTATTACCATGAAAATGTGTGCTAGCCAGGACTTTTGGACAATTGTCTGTCATGGATAAAAAGTACCCTAGCACTGAACAAAATAATGCAGCGCCATCTGCACTCTCAGTACCCTTTTGTAAACATAAGGTTCATTTCGACCACGTAAATTATGGTCTAATACCTTGCCAAATTCATCAATAATCACCAAGCTACGGGATGTACTGTTATGCAAAGCCTTTTTTAATTGTTGCAAATCGTAAGCAAAAGCACTTTGAGGCTATTTCGAGGTGACGTTTACTAAAAAAAAAAAAAAAGAAGAAATAATTAAAGAGTGTAAAATACCTTTAAAACGGTTTCCAATGTTTGTATTCTTGTGTATATCTTGTCAGTGATGCCAATGATGGCCTCTTGAGCAGGTACAAAGCTATACATCCAACTTAGAAGGGCCTATTACTCATCGCTTCTTTTATTATACCTCCCTATGTGAGCCATGTATGTAATGAGTGCAACTTGCTTTAGATACACACTCTTTCCAGAAAAGTTGGCTCCAGTCACCACCTGTATGCTATTGATGGCAGTAGAGGTACTTTGTGAAGCTTCATTTTGTTCACTTGCTCTTACTGGTTTTGTAAAAAGATTAAGACTATCTTGTGCATATTCGAATCCTTTCCCGCCTTCCAAGTATGTATCATTTGGTATAAAGGCATCCACGCATAACTCTTGAAGAGGATGCCTGAGCGCGCACCCCATTAAATGACAAGAGCATAATCCAAGTTTGTGTGTCCTTACCTTCCTTGAATAATCTTTAGCTCATTCGTATCAGTCATCCTGGGCTTGATGTAATTGAATTTTAAAGCAACTACAGCTAGTGATACCAGACTAAGGAAAGTAACTATAAATATTAGAATAGCAACCTTATCTGTTTAAAATACCAATCAAGGCTGGATAATATATCTGCAATATCAGAAAATTGTTTCGTGTGCTCCAACACCCTTTCTGAGAGCCCTTGGATGATTTCAATTTCTTTATCTGTGATCATGGAGTGTATGTCACCAATTGTTCTATCTAATTCTACATCAGATGCTTAGAAGAGCTTTCATGGGTTTTCTCCTTGTGTTTTACCTTTTGTCCTTTCGTTCTTGTAATATAAGCTATCTGCGGTCGTAAACTGTGATATGTTGATTATTTAAAAGCTTGTTTGTTACTTTTCCTATTACCTGTAACTCAAATTCAGAGAGACATAGATATGGATCATCACTTATGGCTGTGCTCTGGCTATGATTGCATTGATTTCCAGATTCTGATGAGCAACGGTACTTGGGCAAGACAATGAGGTAGCCCAGTTGTGGAAAGTAAACTACGTTGAGAGCAGCTTTTATCTCATGTGGCAAGTTTGAACCAATCTCCTGAGCTGCTTCAAGCTTTTGAAGCATCAGTTTTAGATATACGAATTATTCATTTTGTCTTCTTACCAAGCAGGCGTCCATATTTTCATATCTTGATTTTAAAAAATCCAGTTCCTAAACATTATTCATTTTTAAAAATTGCTAATAATCAGGTTTATCTTATTTCTTCTACCGCGTCTAATTTCTCTTTTATGATATTTCGACTCTCGTGCTTACTAGCTTCAAAGTCAATCTTGAAATACTTGTTAAACTATTTAGTACCAAAAAAAGCTTCTTTTTTTTTACCAAATTGTTAATATCTGTGCCAACAACTTTCATGTCTTCTATATCTGGTGTATGGCCTTGAGTGCTTTGAAAAATAGACAGCTGTTCTGCGCCATTGATGGATTGTATCTGACTCAAAAGACCAAAGATGCAAATAGAATAATATGCAAACTACTCCTGATTTTAATACTAGCATATTGGCCGATGCCTTTTACCTTGAGAATATGCTGCCAATCATTAGGTGTCGCTTTATGTTCCTTTACTTTTGATAGTAGCCAATGAATATTCTTTATTTGTGACAAATATGATCGAAGTTCTTGAAGTTCTTCTCGTACATCTGACCGGATAAGGAATTCTATAGATGCATGTCTTTCTTCAATTGTTTTCCTGATTGTTGTTGGACGCATGACCCATTCCTTTAGGCGATACTTCCCGAGTACACTTTTGGTTTTATTTAAAAGACCTAAAGAAAAATAAGTAACAATAGAAGCAATGCAAACTAGACTTGTACCAAAAAGTGAAAGGCCTTCTTTTCCCCTTTTTTGATGCATGCTGGGATGCGAATCGTATTCAAATATGCTTAATGATCTAGTTTCATCATTAATTTTATTTGAGTTCAACAATACAAACAACATTGTATACCTTGCTACATCCAAGCTGATATGCATATATGTGTCACTATTCGTGGCAAGGCTGGATTTAGGTTGCCCACTTTCTATCTCCAACTAAAGTATCCTACCTCGAAAATACTTCAAGCAAAGTGGGTTGCAGAGATAATCTACTTTCATCTCTACTGTCTGCATTTTGCTGTTCATGTTTACGTACATGTTTCAAAAGCACGCCTGCACAACCAATCTATTATTTTGTAAACACGTTTTGTAAGTATTTTCTTGATTTTTTTCTTTACCGTTAATTGACTTTCGTTTAAGTTGATGAGCCCTTCCAATTGTAAGTAGCTATGTGTTTTATTTCCTTGTTCAGGATCGGCAAGCATCATATTATAGTTTATGACGCTTGTTCCTACAGTAGAAACGCTGCCTTGCTGGGGATGAACGTAGTCAATATACCAATTCAGCACTGTATATCTGCCCTTGTCAAAAGCAAATTCCTTGGTAGCAATTCTCTTTAACTCAATTGTTTCATCTAAAAAAATTACGTATTGATATCGAAGCCTTTTATGCTATCATTACCATATTCTTGTAAAAAATTAACAAACTCATCACTGCTTGAGTCAGGTATTAGTATAGACTTTAGCATGAATTGAGTGATGACTAATGTTCCCAAGTTAGATAAAGCCTTGTGAATATTTGCTAAAGACAAGCTTACGTGCGCCTGTATATGAAAAATTATTGGATTCTAGTATATCCTCCATAACATATAGCTTTAAAGTTTCGCCAGAGTAAAAGGAATACCCTAGTTTGTTTCCTTTCAGCTGAATGCATGCTATAGACTCCATATTTGAAGGGCAAAAAAGTAAAAGTGTATAGATTGATTAAACAACATCTTTATATCTCAGTTATTGTTGTCAATCTTATCACAGCATACAGCAAATGTCTAGTTTATGATCAAAAACGTGATGTGATATGCATTGCTTACAAAAGAAGGGTGCTTTATGAAGGGGCAAGTAACGCAATTTAGTATGCATTTAAACTGAAGTCCAAAATTAGAAATACTACTTCGGAAGATGTCCGATGTTCGATCCGAATTAGCCTTCACTGTCCGTGCAAATCAAATTCGATTTGATCGTTGTGACGTATTTATTTTTTTTAATTTCCAGCCCCCCTTCGAAGCCAATTTGTGAAGGGGGTAAAAAAGTTATCTGGCCACAGAAAAGTGTTGAGAGAGCCGATTTTTTTCTATTTTGCTATTTTCTCCCCACTCTTTCTTTAAATTAAGAATTCAAAATGGCTTCTAGGCTTCTTGCTAACACCTTACAAGCTAATGTTGGCTTAACCAAGCAGGTAAAAAAAACACCAAATTATAACATCACTCTTTACTTACATGTCACAGTTTGTCCGTCCTTTGGCTACCGCCGCCAAGCAAGCTGGTGCTACTCGCATTACTAACTTGCCCAACGGTCTTACTGTTGCTACCGACGAAAATGCCTCTTCTGGAGCAGCTACTGTTGGTGTTTGGATCGAAGCCGGTTCTCGCCATGAATCTGCCAAGGCCAATGGTGCTGCCAACTTTTTGGAACACGTTGCTCTTCAGGTAAATTATCAATTTACAATATGATATTCCAGAAACAAGGGAGAGAGAAAAGAGAAAAGATATACACACAGCACAATTGAATAAAACAATGACTGGAAAGAGAATGAAAGAAAAAAAAAAAATGGATTGTAATTTATTTTGACAGACATTAACAGATCCTTTTTTCAATGTAGGATCAAGTCGCCAAATTCGAGAAAGTTGGTGGCGTCCTCAACGCCCAAACTGGCCGTGAACAAACTTACTATGCAGCCAAGACCTTAGGAGCCAACGTAAAGGAGTCTGTTCAAATTCTTGCTGACCTTATTCAAAACACCAAGATTGATTCCACCACTGTTGATAAGCACCGCTCAGCTGTTTTGAAGCAACAAGAAGATGCCCAAAACAATTTTGAAGCTGTCGTTTTCGATCACTTACACGCCACCGCCTTCCAAGGAGAATCTCTGGGACGTCCTGTCGAAGGTATCAAGGAAACCGTTGAACAATTGACAGCCGATGATTTATCTGCCTTCTACAAGCAATATTACACTGCCGACCGTATGGTCCTTGTCGGTTCTGGTGCTGTTGACCATGAAGCTCTTGTTCGTTATGCTGAAGAGAACTTCAAGAGTCTTGCTGGTTCTGCTTCCAATGTTGCTACTGCCAAGCCTGCATTCACTGGCTCAGAAATTCGCCTCCGTGATGATGTCTTACCTCAAGCTCGCATTGCCCTTGCCGTTGAAGGTGCTCCTTACCTCTCTGAAGACTACTTCCACTTGCTTGTTATGCAAGCCATCATTGGTGCTTGGGACAAGAACTTGAATGGTGCTTCTTTCCTTTCTTCTAAATTATCCAACATCACAAGCGAAAACAAGCTCGCCAATGCCTTTGCCTCATTTACCAAGGGATACAAGGATACCGGTTTATGGGGAATGTACGTAGAAACTGAAAACAGAGCCCAAATTGATGATTTCGTCCACTTCCTTCAAAAGGAATGGAACCGTCTTTCTACATCTGTTACTGCTTCTGAAGTTGAACGTGCAAAGCAACAAGTTAAGGGTAGCTTATTATTGAGCCTCGATTCCACCTGCGCTGTTGCACAAGATATTGGTTCCCAAGTTCTTGCTTCCGGAAAGCACTTGAGTGCTGACGAATTAAAGGCTACTATCAATAAGATCAGCGTAAACGATATTCGCAAGTCTGCTTATAAATACATCTGGGACCAAGAAATTGCCGTTGTTGGTCACGGTCCCTGTGAAGGCTTAACTGATTACAACAGAGTTCGTGGTAACATGGCGTACAACAGGTAAGATTTGCTATTGGAATAATTACTTTTTGATGACTTATATTTTATTTAGATTCTAAATGATTATACTTTTGATTAATAAAACTCAAAAAAATGACACTATTTTGTAGAATGGAAAGCGATTGACCCTTTAAACCTTGTTTTATCTTTTAATAACGAATGTGACCACATTAGAGCAAAGCTACAATGTAGTAACGAGAAAACATTGGTCCTTGGTATGCTTTTTTTCTTTTTCCCTTTATTTATCTTTAATATGATTGGATAAACACGAGAGCTCTTTCTTTTTCATTTAATGCTTATTATAACCCATGGACATAAAACTGCTCGATGGTATATACTTAACTCCATATAATAATAAAATAGAATACAACTAAAAAAACAACAAACTATATAAAAGGGTACTTGTCCATCAGCAATCCAGGGGCTTCTTCTCTTTTCGAAAGCTACTTTCAAAGTATGTCTATTTCTATTCAACTCATTTGACAGATCTTGACTCGATCGCACAATTTTAGAAAGCCAGGTCAGTTACCAAAGCCTAAAGCAATAGAAGATATTCAAGTGCATCATGGAATAACTCGAAAAGACATGTTTTCTTGGATGGAAGACCTTTCAAACCCTGTAATATACTTTATATGTAATATTACTCTCAAATATATTAATGATATGAATAGGATGTTGCATCCTATATTAAAACAGAAAACAAGTAAGAAAAGGATGAATTGTTACTGTTTTGTTAATCCCCCAACTTAGTTACATACGTCAATTTCTTGGTCGACACAAGTTATTGCACAGAATAGTATTGCAAGAAATGAAAAAGAGGTTGTATTTACCCAATGTATTACCCCCTTTGAAAACAGTGGCTAAAGGCTATGAGTATTACTCGACGACATCAGCTAATGGCATGGTCTATCTTCGAAAAAAGCTAGATGAAGGTAGAGATGCACGTGAGGTAGGATTGATAAAGAAGTAGTATTATATTCATGGTTCTTACTCTTATACTACAGCAAGTCCTGTTGAATGCTGGTTTCTTGAAATCATTAAATATGTCAATTCGAAAAGTATTACTATCACCTGATCATACTATATTTGCTTACAATGTAGAGAGAGAAGGCATGGAGTATGGCGAGTTACATTTCAAGGACTTGAATGACAGAGAGGATTGGGAGGTTAGAAACTAGAGACTGGCTAAAGGTTCAGACAATTGATTTATGTGGTAGAATGAAATCTTGGAGAACGTGTTTAACTTTGTATGGGCAAGCAATCATGTGGTTTATTATACTGTTCCTAATTCACAATTAAGACCTTACCAAGTAATGGCAATAAGCTTTAAAACATTGATGTCGTAAATTATTACTGATAACCATCAAAGGTCTACGCTCATAGAATTGGAACAGATCAGTCAGAAGATATATTGATTTTTGAAGAACCAAATGACACAATATTCGTTGATATAACCAGTACTAAGGATGGCGTAGGATATAACTCATTGTGAACTGATTGCCATAGTAACATTCTGTGTTTCTATAGAAATATATAACCATCAATGCAAACTCTCTTTCTTCGTCTGAAGTTCGCGTAATTGATGCTCAACATGACTTTTCTGATAACAAGTTGCCTCAGGTACAATTGATCAGGGCTCGTGAACCAGGCCTTGAGTATTACGTCGATCATCACCATGTAAATTGAAATGTTAAAAATGAGTTATGTACAAAATGTCAACCTCATACATATAAATGAATAGGATAGGTTCTACGTATTGACAAATGCGGACAATGCCAAAAACTTCAAATTGGTGCAAGTATTTGACAATGTAAAAGATAAATCGCTATGGAGCAATTTGATAACAATGCAACCGACCGAAAAGATCGAAGATGTTGATCTATTTCAGGTATGACAGGTGTTCCTAAAAGCTACTACTAAAATTTTCTTAGAATCATGCTGTGATCTATGGTCGTCGCGATGGTATGCCCATGATCTTATGCTATGACCTACAAACAAATCAAACACATGAAGTAAACTTGCCCGAAAAATTTTGTGTTGTTCAACCAGGGACAAATTTGGATTTTGACACTGAACTCTTTCGCTTTTCCGTTATTTCGCCGTTTACTCATGAATCTACATATGAATATAATATGGTGTCAAAAAAGCTGACGCCAATAAGAGTACAGACAATCCAAAGTAAGCAAAGAGTACCATTACTCTCATTATATCTTAACAGCAAGAATCGCGTTCTAGAGTTTGATAGATACAAGTACACATGCAGTCAATTGCATGTCCAAGCCCACGATGGGGAGAAGATTCCTGTAACTTTGATCAAAAGGAAAGATATAGAACTGAATGGCAGGTAATATAAATAGTGATAAGTATGCTTGAATTTTAGCTAAATACATCTTCAAGGAACCCAGTCCTAATGCGATCCTACGGCGCGTATGGTACCTCAACAGATATAGATTTTCGTATAGAGCACTTTCCTCTTTTAGAGCGAGGTTGGGTCATTGCATTGGCACATGTAAGGTAGGTAAGTGAATGTGCCAAGACAAACAATAGTAACAAATTGACGAAAAGGGGTGGTGGTGAACTGGGCAAGGCTTGGTATGAGAATGGCAAATTGAGCAAAAAGATGAATAGCTTTAAAGATTTTATATCTGTTGCAGAACATCTGATTGATATGAAACTAACTTCATCTGAGCGACTTGCTGCTATGGGCACAAGTGCAGGAGGACTGTTGGTTGGTAAGTCGATGTAGTCTCTTTTTTTTTTTTTAATCTTGCTGTTACTTATGTCATGTATAGGTGCAATGCTTCATATGCGGCCAGATCTTTTCAAAGCTCTTCTTCTGAGGGTCCCTTTTCTTGATCCTCTATCTGCTATGCTCAATCCAGACTTACCCTTAACTCAGATAGAGTATTCTGAATGGGGCAACCCTACAGACGATCCTGACGCATATAAACTCATAGCCTCATACTCACCCTATGAAAATATATCAAATGAGCTTTTCGACAACAACAAGTCTCTGCCATCCTTATTTATCACAGGAGGGATGAAGGATCAAAGAGTTGCTTACTGGCAGCCGCTTAAATTTGTTGCCAGACTACGCCATTTTACACCACCTACTTACAATAAGAGCACCACTCTTCTTAAATTAGACTTGGATAGTGGGCATTTTGGAGGAGGAAGCTCAGAACAGGAGACAAGGCTATCTGAAGTTGCAGAGCAGATTGCTTTTCTTATTTCAGAAGTTCAAAAGTAATAAATTAAATGAAACGTGAGCTAAAGCGGTTCGTCTTTGTGTTCATTGGCAATCAAATTTATATGTTCTTTTTAATAAAGCTTGTTAATGCAGTACTAAGAAGCCTTTTACTGTTTCTTCGTACATATATCAATGTAGGTATTCATTTCATTAACACTTTCCCTTAGCTGGGCTTCGACTGCATTCTTGTTGTGTCTACAATTCTATTTGAATTAATCAAATAATAAATCCATAAATGGTGGACATATCATTCATAATTTATTTGTTCATTGCATTTCGTTTGTTTATCGCTTAAAAAGGGCATTGTTCATTCGCAACCATTCAGGGCTTACGGAGAAAGGAAGAATGATGGAAACTGTTGAGGGAAAAGGACCCTTTGCTAACAATCACATGTGCATAAACAAAGACGCGCGCTAGCCAATAGATATTCATTAACTGGATGATTCATTGTCAACGCTTTAAAGTATTTCTGACCCACCTCTTTTTTTCACCTTTTTTCTTCCTGTGGTGATGCTTTGTGTTTTGATTCTGTCATCCTTTAGAGGATTGGACACGCTCTCTGTTCACACTGCAACCCTAGTACGATCATATTGGTGATTTAAGTGACTTGCAGATTCTAGGCTGGCTACATCGGTTAGGACCAGGCCCTGTTATGTGATTAACCGCTTTGCCCTTTATCCATGAGCAGAGAAATGTTATCTAAGTGTGGCTACTCGAATAAATGCTTATGCTGTTACTAAGCGGTATCGAACCAAAAGCTATTTTGGGTAGTTGGCTGAGTCAAAACCATCTTCTGAGTTTGCGAGACGACTGGTAGACGAAGTTGGGCCGATCGATAGCTACCTGTAGGCAGCCTGTCAATCCGACTGATAAGGACAGTGGTTCTCGTACCTGGGGCAGGGGCTCTCTTATATCTATTGGTTTTGGGCTGTTCAGCTTGTAGTTTCTAAGTTTTTCAAATGTATAGGTTCATTCTTGATACATTATCCCCTTTTTTATTAGGTATATACACCATTGGCAGTGTATACCTTCTTTTTGGAATCATATGTACTCTTACCTTCCCATGGTTGGTCCTGTTAATCAAGACTATTACTGTTTTGAGAACTAAAAGAGTACGCTTTCATTATAAATAAATGTAAATGAAAAATAAAAAGCCGCGTTTTATTTTATGCAGTACAGCGTAAAAATCTATATGAACATGCCTTTGTGGATATGTTTCAAACAAACCTTCGTTTGTAAAAAGTGTAAAAGGAGCTTGATCTCATCGTCAATCATAAACAAGAAGAGATCACTCTTACCAAGATGCTCTTCATGGGCTTAATATACTATCAATAATATGAGTATGCTTCAATGTTAAAGTCAGTGGTTATAATCTTGCAAGGTATGCTCATCCAGACATTAGCATTTTCGAATTACTCTTTGTAACAATACCTATTTTAGTATATACTGAAGTGACATGGTAGTTTTTATCTGTCATAAAACTCAAAGCATTCGTCAAGATTAGGCATGAGTTTCTGTTGTCTTCATTATGTTTGATCAGAGTTACACAACTGTGATGCCATTTCCTTAGAGATGATAATAATGCATTTACTTGTATCAGTCAGCAGAAATAAAGGGACTATTATGAGTATCATTCATTCAAAGAAAAATTATCAGGCTGATTTATTCGATTTGGCTTGGCTTTTCGACATCGTGAATGTGAGCAAAATAAGTCGTCTATGCCAAAAGGCGAAAGGCAACTACCTTCAATAGCTCTGGCATTGGTTTCTTGATATCTTTTGCAAATACGGTTGTTAAGGGGAATTTTTTTAAACAAAGGGCAAGTATCTTCATGTAGGGTTGCACTATGTTTAAATGCTGACAAATTGTGAGAAAACACCGAAAGATATCACTTTTCTTTTCTTTTGCAATGAGCAACAACGTTTTTGAAGCTGCAGCCTCTGGCGATTTAGATTATATAAGATCAAACTTGGCTCATATCAATGATAAAAACGAACGTGAATGGACACCTCTTCATTTTGCTGCACGATTTGGACAGCAGGGAGTAGCCAAGTTCCTGAAAGAGAATGGTGCAGATATACACCAAACCAACTCAGAAGGAAAGACGGCTGCTCAACTAGCTGCTTTTTGGGGAAACACAGAAATTGCTAATCTGTTGCAAGAGACATCGACTGTTGTCCGCTCTTTTCCTGACAACCAAATCAATGTCTTTGCAGGAAATCATTTAAATAGGTAAATTGTATGTCCCTTCCCAAGGTAAAGTTGTGTTGTTCATTTTTGGGGTTGTTAGATATGGTTGGGCAAGAGATTCGGCTGATTTCCTTTCTGAACTTGCCAAATCCCCACGTTCGAAATATGTTGTGTTGAAGAAATTAAAGGCTTTATATGATGAATCTGGTCAGCTTCATCTTGTTAGCTATAGCGATGTTGCTTCTATTGTGGATGAAGTGTACACTGAGAATGGGTTCAACAAAACTAATGATGAAATCATTCTTGTCTTTTTGGGTATCGATGAGACAAATGGTAAAGGACAAGATGGTGAAGCTTACTGGGCTTTGGATTTAACACCTAAAGGAAAATATGAAAATGAGTTGGATGCACTTGTTAAAGGTAAATGTTGTTAGTGCATTTCTCTATTAACAAAAAATTAACAATAACAATTGCAACAAAAAGGATTTGAATCTAGCTCATTTGAATTCTGCCCAACTCTTCCACGTGCATTTACACTCAAAAGGTCAACCAGTGCAATCATTGCACAAGCTGTGGCCATGGGTAAATTATATTCGAATATCAAGAGTAAATAATCATGTTTCTTGTAGTCGATTGGAATTCACGCAACTTATTTTGCTCTGCTTGCGGAAGTAAAACTGTAATGGCGGAAGGAGGCCACAAGCGCACCTGTACCTCAACAAAGGAGGCACCCAAGTGCATCAGCCACACCGGAATTCAAAATTTTGCCTATCCAAGAACAGGTAAAGTGTACACAAATGAAATCATTCTGCCTTCAAAAGGGAAAGGAGTGGGACAAATAAAATAATTACATTATAAATAGATGCTGTTGTCATTGCTTGCATTATTCATCCAAATGAAGACAAGATATTATTGGGTCGTCAAAAGAGGTGGCCCAAGAATATGTATTCGTGTATATCAGGTATAGTGCGTATATCTCTATGTATATATTTTCTTTTAACAAGTGCGACAGGTTTCATAGAGGCAGCTGAAAGTTTAGAAGAAGCAGTACGTCGAGAAGCATTTGAAGAAACAGGTATTGTCGTAAACCGAGTAGCATACCACAGTAGTCAACCATGGGTAAAGAAAGGAGAGTTTGTCGCCAAGCCAATTGATATGCTTACATCTATTTTTAGCCATTCCCGAATTCACTTATGCTTGGATTTCATGCTGAGGCACTAACCACGCAAATTTCATTTTCGGATGATGAATTAGAGTCAGCCAAGTGGTTTACAAGGTCAGAGGTCATGGCTGCGATGAAAGGAGAAGCAAATGCGCCACTCAATCTACCGTTCAAAGGGTCACTTGCTTATGTGCTTGTTGACGCTTGGTTACATGATAAAAGATGGCATAATAAGCTTTAGCCTTTTTTTATGTACGAAAGCGGAAATTGAATGTACTATAAAAAGTCTAATAAACACGTACACTTTTTCCTTCTTTTCTTTTCTTTTTTTCACTTTTAAAAATGTCTTATCAACAGCCTCCTCCTCCACAATACGGTCAAGCACCTCCACCAGGCAGTGGTGGATATCAACAAAGACCCCCTCCTGGTTATGGTGGGTACCAACAGCAAGCCCCTCCTCCAGGTACTCCTGCTCCTCACTCCGCTGGTGCTGGAGGCTATGGCCAAGGTATTCAGCAACAGCAACAACAGCAACAACAAGGTTACGGTACTCAAGCTCCCTACGGTGGTAATGTATATATGTCTTTTTTTTTGTATACTGCCTACTCATCTCGCAGTAGCGCCATCAGCTGACCAACAACAGTTGTGGACATGGTTTAAAGCAGTTGATACAGATGGTTCAGGTCAATTATCAGCTGATGAATTGCAAAGGGCACTTATTAATGGTGACTGGAGCCCATTTAATATTGAAACTGTTCGTTTGATGGTCAACATGTTTGACTCTGGTAAGTGAAATATAAAATTCATCTATCAAAAATATATTAATATAGCATATTAGATAACAGTGGTACCATTAACTTTAATGAATTTTCTGGCTTATGGAAATATATCGAAGACTGGAAGAAGTGCTTCCAAGCATTTGATGTTGATCGTTCAGGAAGTATTAATGAGACCGAAATGGGAAATGCCTTGAGAACATTTGGCTTCAATGTATCACCCAAGTTTATTAACACATTAATTCAAAAATTTGATCGTTACGGTAAGTCAACGTCATGGGTTTGTAAAGGGAGGATATTTACCATGAATTAACAGCTACTGTAAATAAAACAGGAAAAGGAGATGTTACATTCGATAACTTTGTTCAAGCATGTGTTACAGTCAAGACACTGACTGATTCATTTAGACAATTTGATAATGATAACGATGGATGGATTCAAATCAACTATGAACAGGTAAAGTTAATGCGTGTATAGTTTTATCACCCATACTTATTCTTTAATATAGTTTTTGGACCTTGTTGTTCGTCAACGAGCTTAATGTAAAAAATAAAAAATCGTGTGAATAATAACAATAATAATAAAAAACCCAAAAATGGCTCTTTATTGATGACCAAAAATTGTATTTAATCTGTTTCTCTTTCTCCCTTTGAGCCTTTTTTAAATAGAAATTTAAATTCACTCTTTCTCTTTCTTTCTTTCCTGTTTTTATTCTGGCTTCAATGGAAGTTGTACAAGTTCAGCCGAGAGATTCTTATCTGTATAATATCTATGTACCCACCCAAGGGACAGTAATAAGGTGGTCTTTTACAACAAAAAGGAATAATATATCATTCGGTCTATTCCGTAGAAGAGAAAAGGAACCTTTACCCAACTCGTCTGATATCATATTTCGTGCTCAACAACAGCCATTACAAAAGAGACAAATGTCATTAGCCTCCATTGACATTCCTCAAGCAGGTAACTTTTATTGTTGTTGTTATGGTTACAGTTGCTAAGTTTGTGTAAGATGCAATATCGATTGATGATGATATTGAATCCACTTATATCCAACATCAAAACAGCCATCATTCAACTAGACCACGATCAAAATCGGTTGCTACCGTCAAATTAAAAGAAAGTGGCCTTGAAGAAATTATCCCTATACAACACACTCAATCATGTAATCAAAAGGTGCAGGGAACTTATAAGGTAGAAGAGCCGGGGAATTATGTACTCGTCTTTGGTAAGCCCTCTTTTTTCTTGTTTATTCATTAGACATTGATGTTGTTAGACAATACCTTTTCGAGAAATACTCCAAAGATGTTGACTTACTCGGTTGCTTTGGGCAGCCCTGAGGATGTTGAAGTGCCAACACAGCATGAAATGACGGGTTGGCTATTAAAGAAGAAGAGAAAAAAGATGCAAGGTACAGTTAATTGCTTTAATTGGGAAACTGTCAGCACTTATGTCCCCTTTTATTAAAAAAAGGTTGGGCTAAACGCTGGTTTAGCCTTTCACCGACAGGTGTCCTTTCCTATTCTACTTCTCCCAGCAGCGTCATTAGGGGATCTATTCAAATCATGGTGTCCACCATCTCATACAATCCCAAGCTAAGACAAATCCACATCGATTCTGGTACGATGATTTATCACCTCAAGACTTTAACACAGGAGGATTATGACACATGGTCAACTGCCTTAAGGGAAAGAAATTATATTCAAGAGCAGCAAATCGATCAGGAAGTCCCATCAACACAAAGCGGTCTTAGTCTCGGTAACTCCAAGCGTATCTCGTCGCGTAGTTTAAACATGTACAATCAGAGCGATAAAAAGCTCAAGGCAGAGATAGAACAAGCTGCAGAGACAGCATCTAATTGTCAACAGATCATTACTCAGTTAGTACAGACACTCGATCAGCTGCAGCCTTATCTTCAGTCTATTCCCGCTGAACTTGCTCATTCACTCAAACAGCAAAAACTCGCAGCCATTTCGAGCGTGCAGGAGCAAGAAATACAGTGGCGTAATGTTCAAAACTGCTTCTTCAAGAACCGTCGATCGGGATCTGTATCCCCTGTGGTCGGATCTAGCACACCTCAAAAGTCAACCATACTAGAACACGACGAGCCCTCGCTTCATCGGTGTGCAAGTGTTTACTCTCAAATCTCGGGATATTCTGAACAATTCTTTGATGCAGAGGATATCGAACTGAGTGAAGATGAAGATGAGTTCATTGTAGATCATACATCGAGCATTGACGACGGTGCCAGTAGTGAAGAAGAAACAGGTAATTTAATTTTATTTTACTTTATTTTTCCCTAATGCTTGTGTTTGCAGATAGTCGAGGCACAGGAAGTACTGAATTTCTTGATTTACAATCAGTCAATAACAATATCCAACGACGTACGCGCCTGCCTTGTCCAGCTGTGGCTGATGGTGGATCTGCGCTCTCGGTAATCAGGAAGAACGTTGGCAAAGACTTGTCAACAATTGCCATGCCCATCAGTATGAACGAGCCATTGAATCTACTACAGAAAGCCTGTGAAGAGCTTGAGTACTGTGAGCTCTTAGAAAAGGCATCTACACTGACAGACTCTATGGAACGATTGATGTATATTACCACCTTTGTTATTTCCACCTACGCATCATCTCAGTACCGAACAGGTCGAAAACCATTCAACCCAATGATGGCAGAGACTTATGAAAACATTCGTCCCGATAAAGGATTTCGTTTCATTGCTGAAAAAGTGTCTCATAACCCATTGAGAATCGCTGCTCATGCAGAAGCCAAAGGTTTCAGATACTGGCAATCAACAGAAGTAAAAAGCAAGTTTTGGGGAAAATCTATGGAATTTATGACGAATGGTACTTTCCATGTCACTCTCACGGGTCATAATGATCATTATACGTTCTTTAAGCCTTCCAGTTGGATGAAGAATATGATTGCGGGTGAAAAGTATTTGGAACACTCAGGTGAATGTAAGGTTACCAACCAGACAACGGGTGAATACGCCGTCATTGTGTTTAAAGAAGGCAGTGGTGGTGGGTTATTTGGTGCTCCAACAAAACGAAACGATGTTGTAGCCACTCTTTATGACACCCAGGGAACAAAGCAGCGTCGTATAGTTGGCAAATGGAGCGAGTCTCTTGCAGAAGAAGTAGGTTTAGACAAGAGTAAGCTCTCTGTTCTCTGGACAGCGCGTCCTCCTGGCGTGCCTGATTACAACAAATATTATGGCTTTACCAAGTTTGCTACAGAGCTAAACGAGATTACAGAAATTGAACAAGGCAAGTTACCCATTACAGATACCCGTCTTCGCCCTGATCAGAGACTGTATGAAGAAGGTAAGACTGAGGAATATAAGAGACTATGCCCTATCCTCAACACTTTTTTATGAAAGGCCAAGTAGATAAAGCGGATCAAGAAAAACTTAGGATTGAGCAACAACAAAGAGAAAAACGCAAAGAACTCGAGGCAGCCTGTATCGAATGGAAGCCTCAATGGTTTACTTCTGAAGGTGATGAATGGATCTATGGTGGTCAGTACTGGCATGCACGTGAAACAGGTCAATGGCCCAAAGACATATTTCCTCTGTGGTAGAAAAAAACCAAAAAAAACCAAAAAAAGCACTCTTCTTCCCCTCAATTAGATAACATGTGTAGAGTGCGGCTAAAAAAGCATTAATAAAAAAAAAACTATTTTACATAAAAAGAAAAACAAAATAAGCTGCTATTTTTTAATATTGTAAAAAAATTGTGTATTTGATTTATTTCTTGCCCTACACAAAAATTAAACATTAGATCATTTAAATTAAAACAGCATATAATTTACTTACACGAGCCATGTTGACGGCACCGTAAAGAGAACCAGCGACACCAACGCTGAGAACAGCAAAGGTAGTAAAGACAAAGAGCTTATCTCTGGGACCACGAAGGAACAAGGGTGTGTTAGAAGGAGCCTAATGTAGAAGATAATGAGTGACATCTCTTCTGTTTGAGCATGTTTAATTATTCTTTACTTGGAAGTATCTTTGATGAGCAAGGACGTTGTTAGGTCTGTTGACAAGAGACATGGCGGTTGATTTAGGATGTTCTATAAAGAAAGAAAAGGCTGCAAAAGTGGGATAATAAAAAATAAATTTGCCAGGCTGGGCTGACTTATAATTTGCTCGTCTGTTGGCCGCCTTGAGTGCACTCACTTAAATCATCCCAGAGATTTTTGATTGGATACCATAATGATGACGTTAGCATTTTCTTTTCGGTACATGTGTAAAGGGCCAATCTATCTAGATTTCGTACCCTTTTAGTATTCTATACAGAGTTTGAATAAAACGTATACATCTGAATCCTGCTGGAGGGAACCGTGTTTTCGACGGCGATTTCTCTAAAGAAAACCGAAGGTCTTCCTTCGCCTCTCCAAATAGCGCAAGAGATATCAAGCATGTTTTTTACTTGCGTTTACATCTCTGTTCCGCAGTATATTGCAGATTTTGCAATCTAATATACTGTGGGACTTTTTACCATTCGAGAGCTTCTTTTGTTCCAGCCTCTTCTACTTACAACTATTGCATATCTAGATGCTCGCTCTGAAGCAGCATATATCCTTCCTTGTTGGCTCTATCCGACCGTCTCATAAAATTTTCCAGAGAATTCATTCGACGGAGAATTGGTCAATAGACCAGAGGATAAGCTAACAAGAAAGGATATCATCCACCCACCCACTCCTTATCAAGACCTCGCTCATCAAGATCAAATAATAACTATAGGACATTATATCTCTTTTATTGGTTTTGTTGGTTTTAATTTTCGCTATTTTAAATAAAAAGAAGATCACAGTATATATCTTTCCTTGTTGGCTTATCCTCTGGCCTATTGACCAAAAGTGGTCTGCAAACTTAAACTAAAAAACCAATATATTCTTTGTTCTTTTTTAAGGAACTTACTATACTGCAGAGTGACATAGCAAAATTGTGCGCTACTGACAATTTCTTTGTTCAAAAGAATAGTTAATCAAACGCAGTATAGTTTATTTTGAATCAAATCGCAAGTGGCTTGTATATAAAAATAGTATGTAAATAGGTACGGTAGCAATTTCCTATAAAGTGTTTCTAAAAACATGTACTCAAGAGTAAATATTCTTAAGCTTGTTATATTCGTTTGTTTCAAGGGAGTGCACACCATGGTATCAACTACTTCATCCAATTTATAGCGATATAGTTGCCTCTTGAAACAACACAGGCGACAGCCAGACGGAAATTGAACAGGATCTCTTCTCCAGTTAAACAAATTCAAGCATAGGAAACACTGCTTATCGCTCTTATAAAGAAAATCCGTACCACCTAACTGATGAACAAATAGCAAATATAAGATTGGGTACGGAACTGATATTGTCTGCAATTGACGAAAGTAATACTAGAGGAAACAATGCAACAAACCAGAATTTTTCAACCCAAAGACGATAAAAAAAAGACGCGACTTATTTTCCTTCAAATTAAATTTTAAAGTCCCCTTAAGTAGCGAGGATATAAGCAAATCGTTTAAGTGAGTGCATCAATAGCCGATCAATTGATTGAAGAGTAAAATACCTTTGTTTTTATATACTTCAAACAGCAAAAGGCACTCTATATTCGTTGAAAGGGGAAGTTATTAGGCCGTGAAAAATAACTCCTATCCATAAGTCAGGAATATTATTACCGCATAACCTTGATAGTAGTTTTTACTTTGTGCTTATGAGCCAAGCTTCTATCATCTTTATCAATATCACACAGAGTTACACTAGAAATAATACAAGGTCATAACTTGATTCATGCAACATCTTAAAACTACTCCTTAAATACACCTTTTTAGTGTTGAGTTACTCCTTAATGCTTACATGTTTTTTTCTTTCTTTACATGTAAATAGACGATAATCGACGACATACTTCAAAATGATCGCCTTGTTCTAATTCATATCTTGATGCCTACACACGTTTGTTAGCTTGGGGGTATCAAATTACTTCGAGTTAGGATACGGAGAGACCTACGCTCGTCTGTTGAAATATAATATTTGTCACGCTTTTAGACCGTATAATAATACTAGGCTAATTGTAAGTGGCAAGATATGGTTGGATCAGAATTGCAGAGCACTTCTGAATGGATTTCATGTTATTATAAAACAATCAGCTTTCTTAAATGTTGTGGCTGTCGCGAGTGTTGGCATCATGGAATGTGTGAAGCTAATTCAATATAGACGTGCTTATTTATTCGCTGTCCTACATGTGTTGAAATGGGTATGCTAGCACTTAAAATGCTCCAAGGCTAATTTATGCATTTTCCCTTTCTTTTCCTTCTTTCGTCTTGTTAGAAGGAAGGAAGAGCTTAAATGTAAAAAAACGATAATAGACTGACAGTTTTAATCAACCATGTCTTCAATTTCTGCATGTGATGTCTTATACATGTAATTTTATCAAAATATGCATTCTCATGAGCATTAAACATTTTAGTGTTCTCCTTTATTTTTTCTTACTCTGCTTACTTGAGAGCAGCATTCTTTTAATTCAACACATTGCTTCTAGAAAGAGAAGCTTTCTTAATCACGGGTATTGGCCACTTATGACCGGACAATTCGTATTCCGGCAATCTGATGTAGGCCGGTTGCGTCACACTTCCCTGCTTTATATATATATATTTTTTTTTTTTCACTCTCGCTTTGACATTATAAAAGAAAGAAAAAATGAGAAAAATGTTTAATTCTGCTTTTTTTCTTTTTTATATTTTTTTTTCGTATTTCTTAAGCTATTATTCTATTCATAACAAAAACGCTGCTTGCCCCCACTAATGTCGAGGTTAAAATCAAAATATTCAGATTCATTTAACGACCAGTTCTCTTCTACGGAAGAAGAGGAAGATGTTGATGTTGCTGATCAGTACGATTCTGGTGTGATTCGTTGTATATGTGATGATCCAAGCGATGATGGCTTCACTATTCAGTGTGAACATTGTCTAGATTGGCAGCATGCATCCTGTGTGAATGTAAAGCGTAATAGGATTCCAAAACATTATTTATGTGATCGCTGTAGTCGATTGATAAAAAAGAAACGTCCTACTGATATACAAAATCGTCGCAGAAATTTACAGGAGAGTAAACTACTCATAAAAGGTAAACTAAGCTATGATATCCCTGAAAGCATTTTTAATTATAAAAAATTATAGAAAAAAGGAAACGGCTGGATAATAAATCGAAAAAGGACAACCACGAAGGTAGCGACGACGATGAAGACCTCTTGTTGCCTGCTCAGAAGATAAATAGAAGCTATGCATATACTTCGAAATGCATAATCAAACAAAAGGCCGTATTAGATATCTTTAAGGATGTTCGCCACTACTGGTTTCAATTGAACAGACAAAAAACCTCTATTAGTCTGGACGCTGCTATTGTCAAAGGACTGGATTCACTTGTTGTCATGGAAAGTAATCTATTGATGCCTAGTATCCCAAAAACATCCGTTAAACCGCTCAGAAAATCTATGCGTAGCTCATATAACAATGAAAAAATTCCTTCTCTCGAAAAGGGCGTGTTTGCGGATATTCATATTCCTGAAGATCGTTATTTGATGGAAGTCACAGGTGAAGTCAAGTTGAAATCAGAATATAAATCCAACAGCAGCAATCGTTTTTCTTTACTTGCAACGCCACTTCGACATGTTTTCTTTTATCGTTCTCTAGACGTTTATATTGATGCTCGTGAAGTTGGAAACGATGCACGCTTTATTCGAAGATCTTGCAGACCCAATTCTGAAATCAGAAGTATCATTTTACCAAATGATAATGATGATAACCTGATCCACATGGGTATCTACACCATAGAAGAACTAGATAAAGGTGAGGAAGTAACCATTGGTTGGAACTGGCAGCGTGGTCAACTTATGTATCAAAAGCATCAGGAATTTCTGAAAAGTAAGGGAAATTTGGAGCTAAGAAAATCAGAGCCTGAAGTGAAGAGTGCTTTGAAAAAATTCTTGACCTTATATGAAACCGAATTTGGTGAATGTGCTTGTGAAGACAAGGATGAATGCTTTATTGAATGTATCAAGGAAGAGTTGGAGAATGATAGTGACTCGGAAGCAACGGAGATGAAACCACTTTTAAAACGAAGACGGCCTGGAAGACCTCGCCTTAGTGAATCTACTACAAAGACTACTAATGCAAACTCCTCTGACGAAGAACAAAGACCAAAGAGTAGAAAAAGAGTAGCATCATCAGACACAATTGGAAAGCCTGTCTTCGTTAAAAAGTCTTCTTCTGTTGGCCATTCGAGATCCACGTCGATTGAAGAGGCTGTAAAGTTAGACACAGCTCCTATAACAAACATGAATTCTCTCAATTTGAATAGCAGCAAAGAGATCATTGAAGAGTCGCTAATAAGGAGATTACACTGTAAAAAGAGGTGGTTACAGCTGTATTTGCTAGAACAAAAATCTAAAGAAAACACCAAGCTTGATATAATGAAAGTTGAACAACTAAGCACAGCTATTACTATGCATGTCACTTCAACCGAGACAACGTCAGTAGTGCAGTCTGAGCAGTTGCTCAACAATAAGAATGATGAATATCTCAGTGATGCAAGTTCAGAATCAACTTTACCGTTGAATGATACCCCTAGCTCTCCTCCTAGCGTACAGATGGACCAGCCAAAGATAGAAACGCCTCTCGAAAGTGAATCCTTACCCATAAGAAGTAGTGAAGAAACCAATAGACTTGGTGTTTTCAATGGAGCAAACGGATCGTGTATAGAAGCAAGAACAGACACTACAGTTGAACAAAGTAAAGAACAAAGACATGACGACACAAATCAGAATGACAAGAAGCCAGATGAACCATTGAACAGCAGCAGCGTACCTTTGAAAGAATGCGCAGGCCCATCAGAAACACAAGCGGGCACAGCAGAAAACAAGCCTGTCGCTCGTGTAAAGCTGTCTATACAAGAATATTTATCTATGCGACGAAACTTATCCACTGATTGAGACGATAAAAGTAACACACCATGTACATTCACTCTTTTATCTTTCAATAATCTTATGTAAATACATCTTTCCCCTTTCTAATTTTTTTTATTTACTTTGCATCGTATGTTAATAAATTTACACACTTGTTCTTTATTGATATACATTATGAGCGATAGTCAGCATTTATGCTAACATACTCATGACTAATATCGCAAGTCCAAAATTTAGTCTCACTATTGCCCAATCCAAGGTCAACTTCGATTTGTAAATCCTCCATCTTTAATATCTCTGACGCTCTCTCTTCATTTACTTTTTCAGGCTCTCCTTTAACCATGAGATTTAAATGTTCGCTACCATCTGTAGGAACAAACTTCACGCTCACACGGCTCGGGTCAACATCAACCCCACTGTGACCAAGACTAGCACAGATTCTTCCCCAGTTTGCATCTTGTCCAAACAGTGCTGTCTTTACCAACATAGAGGTCGCAATATGGGAAGCAGCCTTCTTGGCACTTTCAAAAGTTTCAGCTCCCTGAAAGAAAGAGTGAGATAAGCATGACATTGTTAATATATATTGAATTGTACCTTAATATGAAGAGTAACAAACTTGGTCGCCCCTTCGCCATCCCGGACGACTAATTGAGCAAGTTCTGCGGCGAATTGTGTCAAATGATCTCTAAAAGCCTCAAAATCGCTCCCTTCAGATTCGATACGTACGTCACTTGCACCATTAGCAAGCACAGAAATGGTATCATTCGTACTCATATCACCATCGATGCTGATAGAATTGAAGCTACGGTCAACAGCATATTTTAACGCCTTCTGAAGCAGATCTGGTTTAATATAGGCATCGGTAACCATAAAGCCAAGTAAAGTAGCCATGTTTGGGTGAATCATACCAGCACCTTTTGCAATACCTGCCATCCTAAATTTTGCATTCTGCAAACTGAATTCACCTGAGCGCAATTTGGGGAAAGTGTCGGTTGTCATGTAAGCTTCTGCGGCCTTTGCCCAACCTGTCTTGTGTTCTGAAGAGAGATTGGCATAGGCGTCACGGATACCTGCTTCTAACTTGTCCATTGGTAAATTCTGTCCTATTACACCAGTTGACATGGTCAAAGCAGACAAGGATTGATTTGTCAATTCATCTACAATTGATCTCATTTTCTTCGCATCAGCAATTCCTTGAGTTCCAGTGACAGCATTGGCGCAACCAGAGTTGGTGACTACAGCAAAGATTTTGTCATTGTTCTGGTTCAGCGTTTCCTTACTGACCAGGACAGGGGCTGCTTGGAATTTGTTGGTAGTGAATACAGCAGCAGCAGAGCATGGGAGCTCAGACACGACGAGCGCTATATCGCTATTCTTGTTCTTTTTTATACCAGCAGCAACACCAGATGCCTTAAACCCTGCTGGATATAGACCAGATTGAGCTATAAGTGATTGCTTACGTGCGCTCAAATGATCATATGTATTTGAATAGAATCTAATTTGTGATTGCTTGCCTAATCGATTGCTCAAACGAAACATATAAAAAGAATAAAAGAGAGAGAGAGATGTCGATAAAAGATAAGAAAAAATCAATGGATCAGTACAGCATCTGATTTAAAAGTCAGAATAAGTATCCTTCATGAGTCATGATCAATAAGTTGCACAAACCTTGACAGGTCATTACTCTATACTTATCAAAATAGTTTTTTATACATTATATTTTAATTATCAGCGATGGTAAAGAGAAAGGATGTGATATAGAGAGAGACAAGAATAGAGACATAGAGAAAGAAAGAATTGCTTAGTATTTACAATATCATTGTAACCATGGTAACCATGAGCAACTTTTATTATCCGGCTTTATAAAGCATTATATCAAAGTAAAGAATTGTGCTGTCATGGGAATAATGCAAAAAAAAAAAAAAAAAAAAAAAAAAAAAAAAAAAAAAAAACCAGCGAGGTTATCTTTTCTCAACTGCGTGTCACGGTCTTTGGCAAGTTAAAGCTACGCGTTTATCGTCTCGTGTTTTTTAATTTTTTAATTTTTTTTTTCTTTAAAAAAATGTCTGATCAAGCTATTGAATTGTCGTCTGCACCATTTGCACCTCACAGCAACATCAAGAAAAGAAAGACTACTCATAATGGTTCTTCGCAGCAACCAAGCTCGTTTGAGCATGAGTTACTAGCATTAAATGAACATATGGATCTTGATATTAAAGGTGTTTATCTTTTATAGATCTATTAATCTTTGTAATTGATAAGTCTTTTAGTTGAAAATACGGAGGCTGCCTGGGCTCGCCCTCCACCTCCACCTATTGATCCTTCAAAGGACTCTATTGGTAATTACAAATAACAAGCTTTACCTTACCTTTTTACCAAGATCATACTAGTGTTTCAACAGATTGAAGTCGATGAATACATGAATTACAATATCCGCCAGCCCATGATCAGAATGTATGGCGTTACCAAGGTAACTGCTTTTCTTTTCCCAAAAAGCAGCAAGTACTAGAAATATTAACTCTATTGAAGACCGGAAATAGTGTTCTTTGTCATGTGAAGGGATTCTATCCTTATTTCTACTTTCCAGCTCCAAGAGGTTTTCAACATAGTCATCTTCCAGCATTGAAGCAATCTCTTTCGGTTAGTAGCAACATTTATATAAACCAAATGTCAATCAATTTCTGATCAACTCGATCTAGTCTGCGCTCGGATTCAATAATGTCGTTCATTCCTTGGAAATTGTCATGAAACAGAGCATTTATGGCTTCAATGGCAACAAAAAGTCACCTTTTATACGAGTCACAGTATTGGATCCAAGAGATATCTCAAAGTGTAAAAACAAGATAGAAGCAGGTGTATATGTCCCTGGTTTGGAAAATCCTTGTCAGTCTGATACAACATTCGAGAGCAATCTTAGTTATGTTCTTCGATTTATGATTGACTGTAAAGTGACGGGCTCAAATTGGATTGAACTGCCTGCTGGGGCATACTCCTTTTTGGAAACAAAGACATCACATGCACAAATAGAAGTCGAAATACAGTAAGTTCAAGCAAAAGGAATAGAAAAGGAAAACCAGTGAGATAACACATTCTGCTGATAGATATGACCAATTCATTAGTTATACTTCAGAAGGCGAATGGTCTGATATTGCTCCACTAAGAATTCTAAGTTTCGATATTGAATGCGCTGGTAGAAAGGGAGTATTTCCTGAACCTAGTATGGATCCTGTTATTCAGATTGCATCCGTTGTTCAAATACAAGGTAAGAGAACTAGAGAAAACCTGATAATTCCAAGCTTAACACTTATGAAATTTAGGTCATAAAAAGCCGTTTATCAGAAATGTCTTTACATTGGATACTTGTGCATCTATCGTGGGCTCCCAAGTGCTATCATTCCAAGACGAGAAAGAACTTTTGCAAAAGTGGAGCGACTTTATAAGAGAAGTTGATCCTGATATGATCATTGGCTATAACACCACAAACTTTGATTTCCCATACCTGCTGGATCGAGCACAACACTTGGGAGTTACAAAGTTTCCATTTTTAGGCAGAATAAAAAACATCAGAACAGAGGCAAAGGATACAAAATTTCAATCTAAAGCCTTTGGTACTCGTGAAAACAAGTCAATCAATCTTGAAGGTCGCCTCCAATTGGATATTCTTCAAGCTGTTCAAAGAGATTATAAACTTCGCTCATATACCCTCAACTCTGTTTCTGCAGAATTTCTGGGCGAACAAAAGGAAGACGTGCATCACTCGATTATTACTGAACTACAGAAAGAATCTCCAGAATCTCGTCGACGTTTGGCTGTTTACTGTCTAAAGGATGCCTTTTTACCATTAAGATTGATGGACAAGCTCATGCTACTGTTCAATTATACAGAAATGGCCAGAGTTACAGGTATTCCCTTCAATTACATCTTGGTCCGTGGACAGCAAATCAAGGTCGTATCACAGCTATACCGTCGTGCGCGTGAACAGGATTTGGTTATTCCTGTTATCAAATCAGAAATGATGGATGAGCCATATGAAGGCGCTACAGTCATTGATCCTGAAAAAGGCTATTATGATGTACCTATTGCCACTTTAGATTTCACGTCACTGTATCCATCCATCATGCAAGCTCACAACTTATGTTATACAACGCTCGTGAAGCCTGATGTTGTAAGAGAACTGGGTCTGGTCAAAGATGTAGACTATGAAGTGACTCCTAACAACGATATGTTTGTTAAACCAAACCAAAGAAAGGGACTGCTTCCAGAAATTTTAGCTGATCTCTTGAGTGCTCGTAAACGCGCTAAGAATGATTTGAAAAAAGAAACTGATCCCTCTAAGCGCGCTGTGTTGGATGGAAGACAGTTGGCACTGAAGATTAGTGCCAACTCTGTTTATGGTTTTACTGGTGCCACTGTTGGAAAGCTGCCGTGCCTTCAGATATCTTCTAGTGTCACTGCCTACGGCCGTGCAATGATTTTGAAGACAAAAGAAGCAGTAGAAGAACACTTTTCGAAAAAGAATGGATACAAGCATGATGCCAAGGTTATCTATGGTGATACAGATTCAGTCATGATCAAGTTTGGTGTGGATAACTTGAAAGAAGCAATGGAATTGGGCAGAGAAGGAGCCAGAATTGTGACTGAAAAGTTTATTCGTCCTATTAACCTTGATTTTGAAAAAGTTTATTTCCCATATCTGCTGATTAGCAAAAAAAGATATGCTGGGCTCTATTGGACAAGAGAAGACAAATATGATAAACTAGACGCTAAAGGTATCGAGGTAAGATTGACATTCTTTGTTTTTTTTTTGTTTTCTTGTGGTAACCTTTCTTCTAGACTGTTCGACGTGATAACTGTCGTCTTGTGCAGAATGTTGTTGCCAAGTGCCTTGACAAGCTGTTAATTCAGCGTGATGTGGAAGGCGCAAAAGCATTTGTGAAACAAACTATTGCAGATCTGCTACAAAACAAGGTGGATCTGTCGCAACTGGTCATCACCAAGGCACTAAGTAAGTCTGATTATACTAACAAGCAACCTCACGTTGAACTGGCTGAACGCATGAGAAAGCGAGACCCTGGGTCTGCCCCTGCTCTTGGTGATCGAGTTGCTTATGTGATTATTAGAGCAAGCAACAACACCCCTACGTATGAAAGATCAGAAGACCCTCTCTATGTGTTGGATAACAATATTCCTATCGATACCAAGTATTACCTTGAGCACCAACTATCAAATCCAATCATGCGTATCTTTGAACCCATTCTGGGTGATAAAGCAGATAGTCTATGTAATATATTTACTGATGAAGTCAAACTTTACCACTAACCATGAGCTTTTTATTTAGTGAATGGTGCACACACTCGTACAGTGAACATTGCTACCCCGACTGTAGGAGGTTTAATGCGATTTACAGTGAAAACAGCCACTTGTCTTTCATGTAAAGCAGCACTTCCCAAGGGCGATAATTCAGCAACATGTAAACAATGTAGAGATAAATTACCCGAACTGTATCAACATCACCTCAATAACTTGAACGAACTTGAAGTCAAGTTTTCAAGGCTATGGACACAATGTCAACGATGCCAACAATCACTGCATCAGGATGTTATTTGCTCAAATAATGACTGTCCCATCTTTTATATGCGTAAAAAGGTGCAGAAGGACATGAATGAAGTAACTGAGAAACTAAACAGATTTGACTATGAATGGTAAATAAAGACAAGCTCTTAGCGGACTTTAAACATGATTGTTTCCTTTTCTCTCTCTTTTATTTTCTAATGACCAAAAGACCATTAGAAGACGCCAGTTTTGCAAACGTGTTACGGCAGAAGCCAAAAGAAGATATCTTCTTTAAGCATCAAAATGGCATGTTGATCTTTTCAATAATAATAATTAAAAGTGTGGGAAAGTTTGAACTAATTTTCTAATTAGCAAAGCAAACTGTTCAACTGTTAATGAATGCTCAAAGGAATCTTTTAATACCAGAACCAAACAACGACAATAGCAATAAGACTCTGGGCACATGTTATCGCTGCAGTCATAATACATGTATAAAATGTACCTATTGTGAACACGTCTTTTGTAATAATTGTATACAACAATGCATAATGTGTCAGTTACCTTATTGCACAACCTGTTCAGAGATAGAGTAAGAGTACGAACAACCCAAAAAGATATATTTCTCTGAACGCGTATTTAATAGTTATTCGCAACCTATGGAGCAAGTGTTTTGCTTCACTTGCAAACAGACATAAGGCATTCAATATATATATATATAACATCATCATGTTGAATAGAAGGAAAGAAAGAAATAGAAGAAGAACATCAAAGGGAGAAAAGAGAGAGAGAAGAGAGTCATTTTATCATTTGTCCGTAATCAAAAAAATGTCATTTAGCAGAAAATAAATGTCTCAAAACTACTAAATCAAATTGACGGTTAGTTAATTGACTATTGTCTTTTTAAAAAGATAATACCTGTATGAAATGATCAAGCGATTGTAATCAAAACTTGGCTACGATCTGGCGATAACCTTGGTGGAGAATTCTTCTGTTTTTGTGCGAGTAAACAATTCAGGGCATGATCCCTTTTCTCTTTAGCAGGTTAGAATTTTCTTGAAATTCAGTACGGCTGCAAGATCACGATTCCACAATTTTGGCTTTAATTGTTCTAAACAGCCAGAGAATATACATCTAATAGCCCAGTAACTATTGGTTAGAAATCTCATAATGTCTGATATTATCATCATTCTTACCGTTGTAATCCATGACAGAGTACAGTAGGCCTAGTCTTTTTCTTGTAGGGTCTTGGATTACGTAATGTTTTAAAATTCTCCAACCTTCCCTCACATAAAGGACAGAAAGACGACGTTCTAAATTCATCAATTAAAAAAACTACAGATCCGTCTTCTTTGAGCATTTGGATCAGGCCCTTGTTTCTTGTTAGCTCTTGATATTTTGTGTCAGGAGCAGGCCAATTACCGAGAACAAGAACAGCATCAGAACCAAATTTTTGTTTGAGCTTTTTCACCAACATAAGATCATCTTGATCATAATATAGCTTGGAGGAGAACTTCATTTTGCGAAACGGCAAGACTTGTAGCTTTTCCAATATTTGGCTTGCCTGCTGCTTTAAACTGTCTTGATCACTGCTTTCTTTGGACATTTTTGCTACAATCCCAAGTAACTTGGCTTTGCCACCATTATCCAAACGTTCTGATATGTGTCTCTGCTTAATCATCAGCTCCAAATAAGTAGCGTGCATATCGATACCAGTAGATTCGTTGGGCTGAGGGAAATACCCCCTGATTCTTGCCAACGAACAAATGTCCAAAGTACAAATCGGCTTTATTTTTCAAATGGAAGTCAAAGCAATGATTGGAAAAATAAGTTTGTTTTGTTTGCAGTGTTTCATTTCCATAATATGAGCAAAGTACTTTTTCAACCGAAGCTCTTGTCTTGATATACGTTTCGTATTCTTCTATCTTGACAGAAGATGACTTGGTCTTTGCGAGCTTTGCTTCTGATGATTTGACGGAAGCAGGCTTGGTTTTCTTTTGTAGAATTCTATAATGGCTTGAAACCTTTGTTCTTGTCATCTTTGTGTAAACCATGACTTGCTTATTTTGCGCGGTGCTCGTCTCCATACAGTGGAGTAGATCTCGTCTTTCAGAATCCATCAAGACACACATACTCTTGGCTTCATTCAGCTCTTCCTGGATCAGGCTTTCCATATATCTTGCGACATCTTCAGACTCCTTATACTTTGTCTTAGGTTGTGCCATTTTTCTATTTATAGTAGTGTTTTGCTTGATTATTGATGCGCCGACACCATCGGTTTCGATAGTATCTTGAAAACACAGCGATATGTTCATTCCTTGGTCTTTGAAAGCCTTGTTATTTGTATTTACTACAGAGCCCCAGTTTTGAAATTTGTTGTCCATTTTTGGTGCTGTCTTGTTCTTTAAGACATTACAGTGAACAATCTTGAAATCTAAAGTCATGTAGCAAGGAATGGATGTGGTTCGCAAGGGAAAGCAAGAAAATTGGCGCAACCCCTCTGAGTCAAAAAGTTCAGCTATTTTCATAAAGGCCATGTAGTGGCATTCAGTATTAGATTTTACGTCGTAAAAAATGGAATCCTTTTTGAACTTGTAGTTGTTCAGATATGACTGCAGTACGGCTTTACTTTTTTTCTTGCAGAAGTGTCCAAGATGGTATAGCATCTGGAATCTCTTTCTTTTCAATAGCACACTTTACCTGGTTGCAAGGACCGTACACTTCCTCTCTCAAAGCTTTGTTTACGGCTCTTTTGTCTACATTTTTCTTTTTCAAATCTTTGCGCAGGTCGGCAGCCAGTTCCTTGGTCTTGCAAACTTTATTTAGAATAGCCCTTAGTCTATTCCCAAAATGAGCCTTGATGTTGTTAAGATATGCGGTTTGAACCTTCGTGCATTCATACAGTGCTATCTGTTGAGCATTCACTAGCACGATTGGTGTATAACTTGCACTTAAACAATAGGATTCTTTATGTTTTGAAACCAACGACCTATAGTTTGCGGTTTTACCAAGAAGCCTTCCAGATATATTGTTTCTAACGATAGGGCTCAAGAAGATCTCTACAAAGAACTCTTTTCTTATGTAATCGCTCAAGTCAAAGTTAAAGTCTTCTTCTAACTCCTCCAGAAATATATACTTCGAAAAAGCAAACGTTTATGCTACTTGTGTGTTGGTTATATTCACTAGCTCATGCAAAGCTTGTGTATAATTTGGCTTCCATATAGGCTTCACAGTGGCTTTGACTGCTATCGCACACTTTTTGACTATGTTTGCGTTTGCGGATGAATTATTAGAGTCACTAACGGTGTTGTACTTTGCAGTAGCGGCGGTGGGCTTTGTAAGAGGAGCATCATCACTGGATTTAGATTCGACGATAGCAGTAGAACTAGAGCTACTAGACTTCTCTTTGCCTTTCTTCATTTGTTTTTGAGAACTATTTACAGGCGTAGGTTTCCTACCTATATTGTTTTCATATTGAGACGACTATTATCTAGATGACCTATTGTGCTTATACTTACCTTTCCTTTTTCTAGTTATAGTTGACTGAAAATCATCATCAGAGTTCTCTTCTGTCATATTTTCATATTTGTCTATAATACCATGATTTTTGTAATCAGCATTAGGTATAATAAAAGTCAAACATTTGTATATATATCTTACCTTCCACTACGTTTTTGGGCGACTCCTTTTATTGTGGAGAAGTAGTTGTTTGCTTATTCTTCCCTTTCATGTAAGCTCTTTTTTGAAAGCTATGAAGGAAGAAGCTTGTCTCGATACCGTGTGGTAATCAAAGAAAGATAGACAAAAGAAAAGAAGTAAAAAAAGAAAAATGAGATCGAGCTATACCTACAATGATAATTTTTTTTCTGGAATAGCTACTGCCTCCATTTACGATATTAAATTTAAAATATCATATACATATTCACTGATATTATGGGATGCTTGTGTTGTGAACTGACTTGACTTTCCTGAGCTTTTTTTACAGTAGTGATTGATCCTGAAACAAAGAAAACCAATGCACTTCTGTTGTTGTTTTAAGGATATCAACTCAATAAACTTATTTGATAAAGTAATCTCAATGATAGAATATCAATACAGTAAATAGACAAAGGCTTAAATGTAAGGAAGGTTCAATTAATGGTATATATCATAGTATTATGGATAGTCAGTTGTAGCATTTTTGCAAGTTTCCAGAAAGGATTACGACTACAGAAAATTAACGAATATAATTGTGCTAATTGCCATAGCCTCAATAGATACGCAACTACGACCAATCATTGGCTAAATACAACGCTTAAGAAGAAAGAGAAGGTACGAGTAGACAACTGTTTACATTTAGAAAAAGTCACAATAGGGCCTTAATCTACAGATAAAGTAAAATTTCGAAAACGACAATCATTTGATAACAGGCCGCTGATTATTTTTTAGCTAGACGCTATTTATTTTTCAAAAATCGCTATCTATTTTGTTTAAACATGATATTTTATTGATAGTCCAAATGAGCGCAAAAATAGCTATCTATTTTTCGATCACACTGTCTTTTTTTATTTTTTTGTTTTTCAGTCAAAAGGGAAATTTGGTGGCTTGGGCAGTGGACTCCAAAAAAAATATTTCTCAATACGGGCCCTCCAGTTCCAATTGTTCTTTCTTTTTACCACTTTGTATTAAACATGGAGAACTCTGAAGGCCAACTTGTTGATCTCTACATTCCTCGCAAGTGGTAAATAATAAAAGTTGTATATACGGTTTACCTTTTTTGACATTGACATTCTATATGTAAATTATAGCTCTGCCACCAACCGTCTCATTACTGCTAAGGACCACGCTTCTGTTCAAATTAATGTAGGCGATGTCAATGCTGATGGTCGTTATGCCAACACCTTCTCCACTTATGCTTTCTGTGGCTTTGTTCGTAAGGAAGCTGAATCTGACGACTCCCTCAATCGTCTTGCTCAACAAGATGGCTGTAAGTATTGTAATAATATTTGTTGCTGTCATTCGCTAACATTTATGTGTGTCTACAGACTTGAAGAACGTCTTCTCTTACCAACAATAAACATATAAAAATAAGCGTTTGTCTTAACTAATAAAAGCAACTGTCTTTTTTGATGTGTGTGTTTTTATTGGGATATCAAAACTTGCTATATGTAACTTATCGTCTCTTTTTTCCTTTTTTCCCTTTTGGTGCTTGCTTTGGCGCTGTTGCCTTTGTCTTTGAAGGAGCTGCCTTTGGAGCTTGCTCGGTTGCTTCTGCCATTATCGTGTCTTCTTCTATAAAGGAAAGTTTATAAGTAACCCTTTTTTGTTTTACATGATTCTTTAAAGTCATCACTCACCGATGGGTCCTTTACTCATCATCTGCAGCATTAAGTCGCTGTTTAAGCTGATGAACTTTTTCAAGTCAGTCATTTGGTTTGTTTTATATTTGATATTCTGTGTTCTAATCGTTAGTCCTTCTTTCCCTTTCTCTCTTCCTTTTTGTAATTAATATCTAAAGTACATTACAGTTCTATCATCTGTCACTTTCAAGACAAGCTCCCCATTTCCACGGTGGAATGTATGCACATAACGAGTCTAGAGTAAAAAATACATATATATATAAATAAAAGGCATAGGGATATACTCCTTGTTTACATTACTTGTTCAGGCGAAGCAGCATAGATGTCTATTGCTGCCTTTTGAAACTCGTCCCAATTGCTAATATACATAACGTAATTTAGAGATAAATCAACTCGAGCATTGAAATTCAATATAGTTGGACTATAACAGCGCACAAGTTGAATATAAGCCACTGTTGCACTTTAGAGACACACCAAAAAAAAAAACGGGAGTCAAATTGCACTCACTGCCTCTCCTTGACTCAACTTAAGACAAAGTAACATATACTTTATTCACAAATTATTCGCACATTGATAAAAAAAAAATGATAATTTCTGACAACAAATAATAATAAAAGAGAGCCCATCAGAAGCAAAAGAATGAGATATAAAAGTTCTTTTTAGTAAATCAGTTATTTACACTGGTATTAAATACTTACATTATAAAGAAGAGGATCTGCAAGAGAAAAAGAAGCAGGAACAGTGAGTAAACTTGTAAAAGAGATTATTATTATCTTATCTGAAATGCATTAAAAAGGGCCAGCGGTAACTGGTCCGGATAAAATGGCGAGGAGAGAGAGAGCAAGAGAGAGAGGATGGGACCAAAGTTTGGTAAGAACCAAACTACCCCCAGCTAGCACCGGTACTAGGTTCGATTTTATGATCTATAATACTATACGCAAGTTTCTTACAAGAGTAATTACAAGAGTAAAGAATATAACATACCTTAGGGCTAGCTGGGGGATAGCTGGTCTTACTTTTTGGTTCAAAGAAGAAAAGAAGTCAAGATCAGATTATTTATATGAAGTCTCTTGTAACTTTTTCAGTTACGTGTTGTTCATAAGTGTTGACCACATTCATCTTCTCTTCTCTCAAAAAGACAAAATTCATTGCCTTTTTAATAATAAAGAAAGGATTGATAATCAGCTAAAGTGTAACTGTTATTGATCTTGTAATATGCGAATAATCTCTGAAAATGGTGTATACAAAATATCCAAAGCAATCTTCCTTACCTTATCTTGAAATTCCCTTTCGCCCTGGTGGCTATCTTGATGCTGTCGTATTAATCAATCAAAACAAAACCAAAGCCCTTGCTACTATGAACCAACTCTCAGCTATTGGTGCTCACCCTAAAGGCTTTTCTTCTTTCCTTGGTACTCGCTTCTACAGCCACATTGTTCGTGCTCAATTGGAATACGGGCTGGCCATTATCAAGAGCATCATATTCCTTAGCAAACAACTGGAAGATGCCCAAAACGTCTGTTTGCGTCGGATTTTCGGTGGCACTCACACATCTTTCACCACGGTAATGCTACATATGTCGAAGCTACCAGCTATGCAGGAACGTGCTTATACTCTGCAATTTCAGTCTCTCTTACGCTCCCTTACTCTTCCAGAAGATGCTCTATTACATCTTCTTCTACTTATTCGCCAGCCTCGAAGTCACTCCCAATGGTACAAGCTCTATAGGTCTTCCATTTGGAAGAGATGTCCCCCCAACCCAAAATCCCTGGATCGTCGCTCTTTACGATCGAAACAACGAGAATACCGCCAAGACAACCTCAACAATAAACGTTCTACGCATATCTCCATTCTTCTTACGTACTGTCGCCCAACTATCTCTCTCGACCTTGTCCTATGACTACCTATGTCCAAGTCTGAAAGAAGTCGCTGCATATGTTGGCGTCTTGGCTGGCTTCCTGGTGGTCGATACAAAACCCGTCCCTGATACCCTGATCAATCCTTTACAAAAGTCCATACCATACACTGTCTCCAGATGCACCGTAGACTCATGATGTCCCAAACCATTTCTGACCCACTGTCCTTCCTTTTAAATATGTTACCTACCAAGAAACCTCGCTCTCCTAACACAACACTCTCGTGGACCATCCGCTGGCCAACTATATGCAGAATCCTATATGAACCCGATTACCTATATCAAGCTAAGCCTCCACCTACCCACCCACTCACCTCGGGCAAAGACTCTTAAAATGGCTCCTCTCTTCTCCTTTTCACTAGTGTATTTTACACTTGATCCCATTCACTCTTTCTAAAGCATTTATACCCTTGACCTTAAAAGAGTTTTTTAGTCACCACTATCCTTCCTTTCTGAACTGCCTCGGGCGGGAAAGATGTAATATTACAATTGTGCGCTCATTAGAGGTTTTACTTATTTATAAATAAAAATCTGTTTAAACGTATACAAAATATGCAAACATTCCTTTTCGATATTTTATAGTTCGACTTTGAGAAGAGACAATATATTTATTTCTATGAAAGACACATATGTTCTTTGTTTTTTATATTATAGTTTCGAAAATCATCATGCTTGATGGATATTAGGTATGTTGCCGATCAAAAGGTGTCTATTCTTTTCCCCTTGTGCAGTGATTTGTTGTTTAATTGATTCTGATAACGAATGGATAGTAGGTATTGAATAGCCCATGACTACTAAAGAAATGAGAATGATAAAGTATGAAGCTTGTAATTTCATTGTCTTTTTTTAAAGAAAAAGAAAGACACTGGTATTTATATTTATATGACATGCAAAAGGTAGATCATTTGGGAGGCCATCTTAATAATGGTTCACGTGGCATTAAAGTAGCTGTACATTTTATTCATGGAAACATAAATAAAAATGGGTATATGTTCAATTGATAACCCATTAAATACATCACTTCATACACAGAACGGGTCTTTATCTTGATCTATGAGATCCTTCTGATGAACCACTGAGGTTATACACTTGCCAGTATGAAAGACTTGCACCCCTTGTTTCTTTACATCTGTACAAAATAGTTAGTTACTATAATTTTTGATGTTATCATTTACCTTCCGCCCAAAGTCGTTCCTCCCAAGAAAGTGGCATCAAAGACGACATCAATCACTTTATCAAGTACACCAACAACTGTGCCTCTCAATCCAAGAGGTACAGCACCAGTATCCGTTACGTAAATGACGCGATCGCCCAAAGCAAAGGATTGGTTGATTAGCTTATAAGGCGCGTCGGAAGGTCTAAGCAAATTCTTTCGAGGTGTATTATTGACAACAAATCTCGCTCTTGATTCTTTATCATAACGCTGTTGATACTCCTTAGCAGCTTCTTCAATCATAAGAACATAGTCCTAATAAACCAATAAGTGTCTGACTACAGAGCATGATAAACCACTTACACTCTGCAATTCCTCAGTACTATGAGGAGCCCTAGGTAAATCATGTACTTTTCTTTCCTTAATCCATTCTTTCATCTTGTGCAAGTACTTGTAGCCTTCGTTAGTCCAACCAAAGTCGGAAACATCCATCATCAGGTTATCCTTCTTGTTATTCAACATTTCAATAAACTCTGGGAATGTAGTTGTGTACTCCTTGATAAGTTGAACAGCAAGTGTAGAGTATTCCCAATAGCCAGCAACAGGATTCTTGCGCGTGTAGCCAGGTACTTTCTCTCCTCGAGATTCAAACTTCAAATTAAGCCCAATGTTTAGCTTTTGTCCTGTACGTTCTACAACCTGGAGTGATGAAGTCAACTTGGCCAAGGTGAGAGAACTGATGTTGAGCTCACGAGCAACAGCATGAGCAGGTTGATAAGTGATTTCTTTTTCCTGCTTATTGACAATTGCATAACCAAAACGAGGTTCATGGTCAAAGCGTGGGTTGCGGATTTTGGTCGCCTGGACATTAATACCATGTGGTCCGTGACCAATGACCTTTACCTTTGTACCAGCAAGCACGCCAGAGGTAAAGAAGCAGTGAGAGCCTACAGGATGGCTCACTTGAATAGGTGGTGCGGGCTTTTCGATAAATCGAGGATCAGGATTAGCCACCTTTATGACAATAGTTTGGAACGGAATGGTTTCGGCCAAGGTGGGATGATCATATTGCTTGACGAGCGCACCTTCCTCGTTTTGACACATACCCTTCAAAAGACAAACGTGTGCTAAAACATCTGTTTCACCAATCAATAGACCAAATCGTTTGCTGCGTATATGGTCATGGCGACTGACGGTGTTGTACCAATCATCTCGCTCTCTGTCGTTCCATTTGTGTTCCAAAAAGTGCTTTCCTCCATTTGAGTCAAGAGAGACATGATACTTGCATTCGGCATTTGAGACACCAATGACGACAGCTTCTTTCAAATAGGGGTATCCAACATATACCGTGCGATAGATGAAGAGCTTGGCAAGTTCACGAAGACTGGCATTCTTGAATCGATTCTTGATGTACACAACCACTGATTCATTCGTACTATCCTGTTGGAATACGCGAACTCCGTGATTTGCAATATGAAAGTCATGTGCTATCGTATGCAATGATGGGAAACCTGCCAAAGCCTCCTTACCTAGCTTAGCACCTGGTAATAAACCTTTACGCAAACCATGGCTTGAAAGTACTGGCAAATGATACTGTGTCTCACGAACAAAGCAAGGACGGACATCGGGAAACTTTCCTGGCAATGGGCTTTTGAAGACGGGCCAAGTTTTGGGGTCACCCTTTGCGAGTGTTTCATCATATACAAATTTGTAACTTTCGCCAAATCTGGCCATCTCCCGTTCTTCCTTGGTCAATCGTGACTCTCTTTGTTTCATAGCATCCAAGAGTCGCTGTTCGTCAATGAAAGGAATTCGTACGATCGCTTCCCAGTCTTGCTTTTTACCATTCATGTCGGTGTCAAAGTCAGATGGATAGAAATCAATAATGGGTGAATCAGGGTCTGTCATGAGATCTTGATAAGCAGCAGGCAGTAGCTTTCTGCTGAGAGCAGGTAATACTCCCATAAGCTGTTCATAGGGCTTGAAGGGCTGACCAAGGGTAAACGAGTGGTCTTGGAAACGAGCGATATCCTTGAGATCAGAAATCTTGGGTGCATAGTGGTATGGATAAAACCAACTCCAGGAGGCGACACCATTGTAATAATATTGAAGCACCCATTGAATACCGATAACATAGGAGCTGACGAGTTTATCCATCTGCTCTTGACTGTCAATATCAATGTCCATTTTTTCCTTGTAGTAGTCGGCCTTCCATTGCTTGAATGCGGCTTCAAATTTAGCCTTTTCTTCTCTTTCAATCTGTTCTCTGCTGACTTCTTCAGGTATGATCTCAGCATTCTCGTACTTCTTCAGCACACGATCACGGGCAGCAATAGCTTCTTCGTCTACATCTGATTCCTCACTCGTTGTTGATGGGCTATCATCCGTATCATCAGCATACAAATTGTGGGTAAATGAAAGCTCTACTTCCGTCATTTGGTGAGACTGACTCCATGCATACACATAAGACATGTTGAGTTCTTTTGTAAGTTTATCCAGAAACTTTTTATCGCGGCTCTTTAATGGGAACGCGAAATGAAGGGTTGATTCAGTGTTTAATTTAGGTGGAGTTACTAGAAAATCGCGTATTTTGCCAAAGATCTCTGCTTGATGTTCAGTAATGCTCAACTTATCGGTTGCCTTCTTGCGTTCTATTTCATGGAGCAGTTCTCTAGCATTATCACCATCGGGTAACTTCCCGACAAGGTAAAGAGCGTCAATGTTTTCGGCTTCAAATGCTTCTTTTTCGACGACGGCAGATATTTGATCTAGTACTTTCTGAAGTCTGCTGAACTCGACATGTCCACCATCCTGTAAGTAACCGTCACATGTTGGTAATACTTCCTTGTAAACCTTAAAGATGAGGCCCAGAGCACCTTCGTTGATATGCAAATTGGGTAAGTTGGGTAAAAAGTCATTACCAATAAATAGAGCAAGTAGAATAAAATCATCCAAGATGCGTTCAAAGTCATAGCCAAATGAAAGAGTATTCCTTAATGCACTGAATTCCATATCCAAATACTCTCTCATTAAGCATAAATGCAGTAGATAAAAGCTTTGATTTTCGACACTAGAGAAGAAAATATGAATAAGCCTGGACAAGTTTCTCGGAGGTTATTTTAAAAAGCTTACCTTGCAATCTTCTTTTTTTGGTGTTTACCAAATACTACTTCTTCACGTAATAAAGCAAAATGAGGGTCGTGACTTAATAAACCAAGCATAAGCAAGTCAGCATCCAGACCATACAAGCAATGTCTTGTATTTGGATCATAATCTGGCTGTGCTTTTGACAGACGAATGTACTCCATGATCTTATGCTCTCCTTCACCTGGTACTTCGGGGCCCGACAGGACAATTTCCACATTTCGCCAGTTGGCGTCTTCTTGAACCTTTTTCGAAATAAAGTAGCGTAATTGCTGTGTGAGCTTGATCATAAACGGGGTTCCGGGTGTAATACAGTTGGTATCAAAGGGGGCTTCCGGGGGTAGCTCCTCGCCGTTTTGTATAGCCTTTCGTCGAGCATCTTCCGCGTCCTTGGCAGTTCGGAAACGACGTGAACGTTGTTGATTCATTTTAGCACGGGGAGCAACACCATCGATAGCCATGAAGAATAATTTTTTAGGCTTAATCTTGGAAAAGAGGTGGTCAATATATTGAAAGATGCCTAACCAGATTTGCTCTTCTGTGATGCGAAAGTGAGGATCATCCGAATTGTTGTGAGAGCAGTTATGAACAATGCCGTTCATGTCCAAGTAAAGGTTATCTTTTTTAAAGGAGTGTCAATACATGTTTTCAATACATAAAAATAAACTAACCAAATTCTGGAATGCCGTTGTCAGTGATAAGTTCGGAACACATTGGATAGCGTTCGCTATAAGGCGAGATTAGTTAAAGAAAACGACAGCATACACACACTACTACTAACCTAATCCATCGAAAAAACTTCGGGATACCCATCTCGTAATAAGGTCTCTTTTTTTATTATTGTAAAGGAAAAAGGAGAATAAAAGCAACGGAAAATTATCATTTCAAAAAATAGCTGCGTCGTTTTATATATTAGACCAATCGCTGCATGAGTTTTACTGCTGAGACAACTTTAGATGGTAAGATTTGGGCCTAAGTTTAGAGTTGAGTATAAATGATGTCGATGATGTTATCTTTCTTTACCTCGTAAATTGACCAAATCCTTGTTTGCTCATCGAGAATCCTAAACCACTGTCTTTTGCACCTACCCAAGCCAAAGCAGGATCAATGTAGTCACAACGATTCATGAACCATGTTCCTGTCTCGATCTGATCTCCTATCTCTATTGCCTTTTCTTCATTTGTTGTCCAAATACTAGCAGTCAGACCATACTTGGAGTCGTTCATCAATCGAATGGCTTCCTCATCTGAGGATACTTTCATGATCGGTAAAACAGGGCCAAATGTTTCTTCAGTCATCACCAACATATCATGGTTCACGTTGACCAAGATCTGTGGCCCTACATAAGCTGTTCCAGGTTTATCTGCTGGGAATGTCTCGATCAAAGGCTTAGCTCCCTTTTCGATGGCATCCTTTATGTGCTCTCGAACAGTATTGGCAAATCTAAGATTAGCCATTGGACCCAGGGTTGTTTCTTGCTTGGAAGGATCACCAAGGACATAGTTCTTTTTTAGTGGAATTAGATCATATTGAAAGCAGAGGTAAAGTGGCTATTTACCTTTGTTAATGCGACTGCCTTTTGTACAAATGCATCATAGATGCTCTCGTGAACATAGCAACGTTCAATAGAACAACAGCACTGTCCAGAATTGAAAAATGCACCGTCAACAATGTTTTCGACAGCAAAGTCCAAGTTTGTATCTGGTAAAACATAGGCCGGGTCTTTTCCTCCAAGCTCCATTCCACAGCCTATCAAGTGTTCACAGTCCCCGATGGCTCTTCTGATCTGTTTACCTACAGCGACGCTTCCGGTAAAGTTTACGTACTGGACTAGAGGATGCTGTACGAGATAATTGGCTTCCTTATCCTGTACATGAATAGCCTGGATGGCATTATGAGGTACACCTGCTTCTCTTAAGGTGTCAACAAATATATCAGCACATTGAGGTGTTTGAGGAGACTGTTTCAACAAGACGGTATTACCAGCCAGGAGTGCCGGAATCACGTTATTGACGGTGGTCAAGTAAGGATAGTTCCAAGCAGCGATAATAAAAACGGGACCTAGAGGTTCCTTACGTTGAAAGCGCTTGACGACATCAGGAACATGTTCAATGATGGTGTCCTTTAGGCTTTCTTCTGCTACGGATACCATATACTTGGCTCTTTCCAAAACACCCTTCACCTCACCATGTCCGTAACGTATGGGTCTTCCCATCTGTTTGGTGATAGAAGAAGCCACCAGGTCCTTTTTTTGCTCAAAGAGGGTACAAAACTTTTCCATGATGGCTACTCGTTTAGCAACTGGTACCTTTTTCCACTCAAGAAAGGCCTTTTGAGACTGTTGAACGGCAGCATCTACTTGTTCTTGAGAAAGGCAGTCTACTTCATATACAATAGATTGATCAGTAGGTGAAGTTACTTGGATTCTCATTTTTATATATATAAAAAAAAAAGAAGGAAAAAAAGGTGGGAAACTATCAATGCATCCGTTATCTCGACTGCATGACGGACTTTTCTATTTTTTCTCATTTTGATGTCAAGTTGCACAGAAGGATGCCGTCTACAAAAAAAGACTAAAAAACGAACCTCGGTAGTTTTCGATACAGTAACTCTGGATCAAAGCTTCTTGTTTGGAATACGCGTATTTTTTTATAAAGATTCATTTTATCATAACCCGACTTTTCAGTTCTTAGTTGGGCCAATATAGAAAAGCCTCATCAAAGACACACGTTCGGTTGAACTCTTTAACTTTACTAACATATACAATACATTAAGTTGTGCTTTCTATTTTATCAATCAAACTCATATATAAGTCTTCTCCTTGGGAGGATGTCAATCTAAAGATTAGCCCTGGTGAAATCTATTTTGAAAGGAGTATGAATTGGTGTGTTTTAAATTTGTTTTGATTGGATAAAGAAAGAACCTATACAGCCATGATCTCATTGAATGAGTGTTACATTTATATCTATTTTTAGGCTCTCCTTTTATATAAAAAAAAACTTTCCTTATATTCTCTTTTTTTTTCTCTTCTTTATATATTTCTTAAATAAAAATGAGTGCTATCACTTATTCTTTTGAAGCACTAAATTTTAATGGAATATGTAAAACGATTGCTATAAGTCTATGTCCTTTAATAGGACAACATAATGGAATAGAGCCTGTTTGTTATTCTCGTAATGTAGAATTAAGTGGAAATATCATCTTTCAGCCATGTAAGGACAATCAATAAAATAGGGGATTATTAAATTGACTTTGCTATTCACAGCTACATTGATTATTGATGTTGTTGCTATTATAATGACAATGATTATGATTTATCACATTAGGTCAAAATATACTGCAGTTGGTAATATATACATATAAATGGTGTCTATTATTATTATTATAATAATAATAATAATAATGAAATGTACTAGGTCGTCAGGAAATCGTCATGTTCTTTTATTTGTATATGCTTACTACTCTACTTGATATGCTATTAGTAACAGGCATCATACCGACATCATCTACTGCATATCCTGTAAGTTTATATAGAATATATCCTTGTGATATACTAATCAGACAACAATAATAGTGGTTTACAGCAATACATATCGGCTTAGGTTGCGCAACCTTTTGGTGTCTATTATTAAATGGATTTGTCGGTTTTCAATTTGCTGAAGATGGAACTCCTTTATCACTTTGGTCCATTCGTATCAGTTCTTTCATTTGGTTCCTCGTTACTGGTTTCTTGGCTATCGGTACATTCAAAGGTGTTGCTGGTCTTTCTTATACAAATCAGGCTGCTTTATGGATCTTTTATATCGTTTTGAACTACTTCATGTTTTTCATTTACATCATTTCTCAAATCATACTCGTTGTCAATACTTTGGATGATAGATGGCCATTAGGAGATATCTTATTTGCTGCTGCCTTCTTTGCTGTTGGTCAAGTCCTGATGTATGTCTTTTCAGTTGTCATTTGTGACAACACAAAACACTATGTGGATGGTATGTTCTTTGGTGCTATCTGTAACTTGCTTACTGTCATGATGATTTACAAGTACTGGGACTCTATCACCAAAGAAGATCTCGAGTTTTCAGTGGGTTCAAAGCAAAATGTTTGGGAAGTAAAGGAATTGATGACTGAAGATGATCATACTCCATACACAAACACTCCACCTCAGCCATATTACGAACCATCTCCTGCGCATCCCTACTAAAATCATTACACACACACATTAGTATATATATATAATTTTTTTTTTCCATTTGTAGCATCATCTTTTTATTCAGCCCGGTTTCAGTTTGGTTTTTATTTTCCTTTTCTTCTTTATTTAGAATATAAATAAAATATAAAAAAAAATAATGTCCATAATACCAACTCAATCAGACTTATTCCAGACCTTAGAAAATGGATTAGACGGAAAACCTGGTGGTATACTCATTACTAGTATCGGTGAACAGATAACAGACTATATTTGGCTTGGTGGATTCAGAACACTGGAATCACGAGAGTTTTTAGAAGATAACCAAATCAAGCATGTCCTAAGCTTGGGTCACTTTAAGCGTTGTAAACCGCCTATCGAGGTCAATCACAAGGTAGGCAATTATCCTTTTTTTTTTCTTTACCTATACTGCTACATAGATCATTGCTGTCAAAGATGACCCAGAAGCTCACTTGATACAACACTTTCCCGAGGCTATAGAATTTATCTCGAACGCAGTATCCAAAAGAGAACATGTCCTTGTTCATTGCTTAGCTGGTGTATCAAGAAGCCCCGCGATTTTAGCAGCCTATTTGATGGCTACCGAGAATTGGACAGTCGAAGAGGCTTTGGCCAATATTCAAAAGGCAAGACCGTTTATTAATCCTAATAGAGGATTCTTGAACCAGTTACAACTATTTCAACAAATGAAATGTCACTTTGATGAAAAACATCCTGCCTATATAAAATATCTAAAGGAACATCCCATAGACACTAGCCATTTGGGTCATGAAAAGAGTGAGTATGAATCTTCATGCAACTAAAAATAAAAAAAAACATTTTGCATAATTGTTTTTTCTTATATACATGCAAAAATGCTATGGGTATACCAGAAAAGAAGGCTTTATTTATTTGTATGAAATATCATTGTCTTTCATGTCGTTTTTTATACAGGATGGTTCATATTATGGTGACAATATCGGCCAAATTAACTTTCTGTACGTATTTTCAATCTGTCAGGTACCAACATTGCATGTTGATCTGTCTAAGTAGCAAACATAATTGGTCCAAAGGTTTCAGGTGACTCGGACCAAAATAATAGGTGCAGCTTATTACCTGTTGTCTCAAAGTATACATCTGCAGCTCATTGAATACAATCCAAAGAATCGAAGTAACAATTAGGTGAAAGAGCAGGGTTATAATTACTAAGGGTTCTTTTAAAACCCATAATATTCATTTTATCTACAAATATCAAGTTAATTTAGCATTCACTTTAAAAGAAAGTATTTTGTATGTATATCTTTATATAATTTATACTTGTGCAAGCCAAACCATTCCTTCATTTCTCGCTTAACCCCCATGCGAATATAAGCTCAAATCAACCAATCGCAAATTGGAATGTCCACAGCGTTTTTGCGCGTATATAAGAAAAAACGGGATTTTGCTATTTATAAATACTATCCTTTGATCAAATATGGCTTCTTAGAGTTTTTTTTTTAGACAGCACTTGAGTCTGTGCCTGACCATTGTTGAACTGAGCTAAAACCTAAGCACAAACAGAAGAGGGTTTATTCCGAGGAGCCTCATTTAAACTTTTAATGCAGTAAGCAGCAACTTTCTGTCCCTGTTATATTGTTATGTCACTGTGAGGCTTCATCTTATCTTATTGTATTCATTGGTTCTCTACTTGTCTCAGTACAGCTTTACTGTCAATATTGGATCGTACATGTTTTAATGCAAAGACTATAAAGTTTATTCATCACTTCTAAATCAGTTTTTATTCCTTATGATGCAATCCATCGTCAGATCTGGAGTAAACCTTGCCTGTATGAGTGATGCTGCTCAAGCTTTATTATATAATTTATTATCTATAATAATTTCTCTTATAACAGGATTATTACATGAATTTATCATGTCCATTGAGAATTGAACAGGATACCTTATATACGCATAACGCACGTTGTGGTCAGTCTTATACTTTTCTTTCTTCATATAATATGAAGTATTTATAAGGTAGTCACGACAGATATACTGTTTACTGTATAAATTGAATTACTTGTGTCACGTATTATGCTAGTACTGTGTAGCTGTACAGTGCAAATGGGAGATTCTTGATACGCTTTCTTTCTTGTTCTTAGTAAAGAAGTTATGTAGAGACTCATCGCCTTTCATCTGTAATTATTCTTTACTATCATTCGTCTATATCACTGACGTTACTCTTTTAGAATTGGTTATGCGCAAATATATGTAGTCACACTAATTTTGTTTTTGCAATAATGTTTCCTAAAAAAAAAAAGAGACGGTCATTGAAATCCAAAAGAACAGTCAATAAGGACTGGGGCGAAATAAGTCTCTAGTATCTATTCTTTTTCCTGACATGTTCCGATTAACAAGATTAGCAGCAAGACGCACATTAACAAAGCCTTTGATTAAACCACCTTTTGTTTATAAACCATTTGCTTGTAATAAATCACCATTCGATCACTTCATAGCGAATTACACTACAGACAATCACGAAGACATTGAAAAAGTAGATCCCAAGGATTATCCAGAGTTATACCCTGACGAAGAAGATCAACAAGTTGACACAGAATGGTTTGTTGATTCAGATTATAAAGTATCTGAAGAAGACTTTATACCACTCTGGCAGCGTCGTGCCGTGGGTGAACATTTGGAAGATCGTCTAGCTTTACGTCAAGTATCACAGGAATTGATGGAGACTGGACAGTTGACTGCGGACAGTCTGAGGGACTTGTTGATAGAGAGTAAACTAGAATCAGTAGAGGTATTGGATGTTCGAGAGAAATGTGATTGGGCAGACTATATGATTGTTGCCTCCAGTTCAAAAGGTGACAAATACCTCAGCAGTGTGGCTGAACATGTCTATACGGTGGTCAAAAAGGCCTTAAAGCAAAGTCCTCATGTGGAAGGAAGAAGTGACAATTCAGGCTGGCTATTGATTGATTTAGGACGAATCATTGTTCATCTGTTTACACCTGAAATGAGAGAAAGGTACGATCTAGAAGGCCTGTGGAAATCCGTACCTAAAAATGAAGTGGAATTCAAATAAAATTGTGTTACGCATTTCTGCTCTCAATTCCTTTTCTTTCCTTTTCTTTCCTTTTTCTATATATGTCTTGTCATAGCGCCAGTAGCAGTGATAGTGATGGTAGCAGTAACCCTACTGAGTGGACTATCCTAGAAAAGCTGCTGCTTTCTCAAGCTGTTTATAAATACGGTGAAAATAGCTGGTTAGAAGTAGCAAGTGTACTCAAACAGAATGCCTTGGTTCAGCACCGACACTCTGACTTTTTTAATCACAAGGTAAACAGTGAAAAAACAGATAGTGGACAAAATATAATCATCACTCTTTATATAATTAGAATTGCTATTTTCAGTATTATCTCTTGACTGAAAGCCTTCAGACAGAAAAGTAGTAAATTACAAGATTTATTATTCAAGAAAAGCAATCAATTTACACTTTATAGGGATAATCCAACACCGACTGTTGTTAGACTGGCAAGACAACTTTACATGCAGAGAATTCAAGAAATTAAAAATGCACTAGTCCATCATGAACAGGAATTAGGGGAATTAGTATCGGAGATTGATTTAATACGGAAAGGAGAGCTTGATGACAGACTCAAGGTTGAATACAATATGGTATCAACTAATATGTCACAGTTAGATCCAGAGTTAGATTCAAAGCATGTCAAGATATATACACCTGAACTAGAAGTAAAAGAAAAGATCATAGCTAATGATAAAGAGGATATACCCGCATCTCTAGAAATTACAACAAAATTAGAAAATCAAAGACAGAAATCATGGCAAAAGAGTGTACAGTTATTATGGCAAGAGATAGCCAATCATAAAAGTGGACCTTTATTTTTAAATCCAGTTAAAAAGAATAGAGCACCATTTTACAACAGGATAGTAAAGAGGCCGTTAGATTTAAAGACGATAAAGCATAAAGTGAGAGAAGGAGTAAGGATCAACAATAGACAAAATGAAATAGACTCACATTGCTTTTACATAGATTATAAAGACAACGGTCGAATTTGAAAGGGACATTGTTCTGATGTTGACAAATGCATTAATGTACAACAAAGAAGGAACAGAAACTTATCTATTGGCTTTGGAAATGTTGGAAGACGTCAAGGATCAAATTGAACTATTTAAATTTGCAAATTCATTTTTCAAGCGAAAAATGTAAAAATAAAAGCAAACGATTACATTGATAACTGTCTACTTTGTCCATTCAACCAAGGAAAAAAAAAAAAAAAAAAAAAAAATACTAGGCAAAAATGACAAAAATGACTCTTTGTTTATTTTATATTGTTTCCAGAAAGTAGAAATCAAAAAGAGATGCAGATCACTTGAAGAAATTGATGACGGCAAAGTCCGGGCACTGAACAGATGTACGTTCTCCTTAAATTCGGAAAGCTGCCGTTCACCAACGTCGTCTAGTCAGTTTTTATAATGTAGAAACTATTGTTTCATTAAAGACATGTACTTAAATAGTATGATAGAATACATGAACAAGACGAACATCAGCTTTCGCCTCTTTCTTTGCCCTATGCGAGTTTGGATCGTTTTCTTATCACCAAAGAGGGAAAGACCCACAGGGTTGATTGCCATGGGAGTGTTCTTAAAAGCTCATATCTGCCAAAAATACAGCAAGCCGATCTGATATTTCTGATGGAGTAGTGGTGATGGCCAGACTGGGTGTTGTAGTCACTGATATTGAAGTAGAAAGTGAATACAGGAATAATTTCTGCGAAGACAAAAACAAAAAACGACCATTCAAATCTTTGCCAGAAGCAATGGAATTCCTGTGTCGAGCTTTTTACAACTGCCATTTGACGGCTTTCCCAAGTTACTGTGGGGAGCCTTGAATCAGCCAAACATGTAGACGAAAAGTTAATGGTCAAGATCATAAAGTTCGCATTGACATCATTTCACACATACACTATTTGCAGCCCAAAGAGCTTACAAGAAATGAACGGACATACTTTGTCAACTTAATCATACCTGTATTTAAAGCACCTGGCTAGAGTAACTGGTCATGTAAAATACCACTGGCAATTTTAAACAGATAGACTATTAAAGCAGTCATGCTGAACTAAACCTGATTACATTTGAAAATGTAAATAGGTGCAAGAAACAGTTGTTGATAAGCAAAAGTTCGTTTATTTAAAGATATTGGACTACAGCGAAAAAGCAACAGATCAAAGAATGATAGGTGATCTTGGATGAACCAATATCTTCCACAGATAAAATGAAGTCGTTACTCCTGAAGGCTTCAGCTTGGTTAAAAACCTTCTTTTTTATTCTTTTGAAGCAATTAATAATAATGATAACAATAAATCTTTAGCAAACAAATGTATCACTTGGCACACCCCATTTCAACATCAACTCAAAAATAATCTCAGCCAATCGGTCATGGCGAGCAATTACTCAATTTCGAGCATTCCATTTCTTATTGGACACAAACCTATTGCGCCATCATGTGCCTGACTCGTAACATCAATAGCCAAACACGTCCAGTTATATAAAAATAAACAAAACACTTCATCTTTTACTTTCTTGTCTTTTCTCTCTCTCTTTTTATCAATCAATTTATAATTAAATATGGCAAACACTCCTCACGGTGGCATTCTCAAGGACCTTCACTCACGTGATGCTCATAAACAAGAATCTCTCTTGGCTGAAGCTCAATCATTACCCTCTATCGTCTTGACTGATCGTCAATTATGTGACCTCGAGCTCATCCTCAATGGTGGTTTCTCTCCTCTCGAAGGATTCTTGAATGAAAAGGACTATACAAGGTAAAAAAAATGAGCTATCATTAGTAATACAAGCGCTGACTTTTATTGTAGCGTTGTTGAAAACATGCGCTTAACAAATGGTTTACTTTGGCCAATTCCAATCACTTTGGATGTAAGTAAGCAAGAGCTAGAAGAGAGCAAGATCGAACCATCCAAGCGTATTGCCTTATTGGATCCTCGTGACAATGAACCCTTGGCTATCTTGACAGTAGAGGATATCTATAGACCTGATAAATCAAAGGAAGCCAAGTTAGTCTATGGTGCTGATGATGTTGCTCATCCTGCTGTTAATTACCTTCATAATATTGCTAAAGAATTCAACCTTGGTGGTTCTCTCGAGGCAATTCAAGCCCCATCTCACTACGACTATGTCGCCAACAGATGTAAGTTGACTTGA